TTGAGTGGCCCAGCCAGAGCCCGGACTTGAACCCGATCGAACATCTCTGGAGAGACCTGAAAATAGCTGTGCAGCATCGCTCCCCATCCAACCTGACAGAACTTGAGAGGATCTGCAGAAGAATGGGAGAAACTCCCCTAAGCTTGTGGCGTCATACCCAAGAAGACTCTAGGCTGTAATCACTGCCAAAGGTGCTTCAACAAAGTACTGAGCACCTAGGTCTTCTGCACAGATTCCATCAGACCTGGGCCCTGACAGTAAATCTCAGTAATACATTTACATTTACATTTTAGTCATTTAGCAGACGCTCTTATCCAGAGCAACTTACAGTTAGTGAGTGCATACATTTTCCATACTGGCCCCCCGTGGGAATCGAACCCACAACCCTGGCGTTGCAAGCGCCATGCTCTACCAACTGAGCTACAGGAGGCCCAATTTTTTTTCCAGTTGTCAGGACCACAAATACAAATTCCATCTAGACACCGTTGCCCTAGAGCACACAAAAAATGATACATACCTTGGCCTAAACATCAGCGCCACAGGTAACTTCCACAAAGCTGTGAATGATCTGAGAGACAAGGCAAGGAGGGCATTCTATGCCTTCTATGCTTCCCTCCAAGCCTGGAGGGAAGCAAACGTTTTTCCCCTACCTAAGAAAAGTAAAGCCCCCTTAACTGGCTCAAATAGCCAACCAATCAGCCGGTTACCAACCCTTAGTAAACTTTTGTAGAAAATTGTGTTTGACCAGAAACAATGCTATTTTACAGTAAACAAATTGACAACCTGCTATATTGTGGATAAAGAGTTACCTGTCTAACAGAACAGAGGGTGTTCTTTAATGGAAGCCTCTACAACAAAATCCAGGTAGAATCAGGATTTCCCCAGGGCAGCTGTCTAGGCCCCTTACTTTTTTTCAATCTTTACTAACAACATGCCACTGGCTTTGAGTAAAGCCAGTGTGTCTATGTATACGGATGACTCAACACTATACACGTCAGCTACCACAGCGACTGAAATGACTGCAACACTTAACAAAGAGCTGCAGTTAGTTTCAGAATGGGTGGCAAGGAATAAGTTAGTCCTAAATATTTAAAAAACTAAAAGCATTGTATTTGGGAAAAATCATTCACAAAAACCCTAAACCTCAACTAAATATTTTAATGAATAATGTGGAAACTGAGCAAGTTGAGGAGACTAAACTGCTTGGAGTAACCCTGGATTACCCTGGACCACTGTCATGGTCAAAATGTTTTGATACAGCAGTAGCTAGGATGGGGAGAAGTCTGTCTATAATAAAGCGCTGCTCTGCATTCTTAACAGCACTATGAACAAGGCAGGTTCTACAGGCCCTAGTTTTGTCGCACTTGGACTACTGTTCAGTCGTGTGGTCAGGTGCCACAAAGAGGGACTTAGGAAAATTGCAATTGGCTCAGAACAGGGCAGCACGGCTGGCCCTTGGATTTACACAGAGAGCTAACATTAATAATATGCATGTCAATCTCTCCTGGCTCAAAGTGGAGGAGAGTGACTTCATCACTAATTGTATTTATGAGAGGTATTGTCATGTTGAATGCACCGAGCTGTCTGTTTGAACTACTGGCACACAGCTCGGACACCCATGCATACCCCACAAGACATGCCACCAGAGGTCTCTTCACAGTCTCCAAGTCCGGAACAGACTATGGGAGGTGCACAGTACTACATTTACATTTACATTTACGTCATTTAGCAGACGCTCTTATCCAGAGCGACTTACAAATTGGTGCATTCACCTTATAGCCAGTGGGATAACCACTTTACAATATGTTTTTTCTTTCTTTCTTTGGGGTGGGGTAAGGGGGGGTAGAAGGATTACTTCATCCTATCCCAGGGATTCCTTAAAGAGGTGGGGTTTCAAGTGTCTCCGGAAGGTGGTGAGTGACTCCGCTGTCCTGGCGTCGTTCTACATAGAGCCATTACTAGTAACTCATGCCAGCAGTAAAATTAGATGTAAAAAACATATAAAAATACACCTTATGGAACAGCAGGGACTGTGAAGCAACACAAACATAGACACATGCATACAAACACACGATAACATACGCACTATACACACATGTACACATGGATTTTGTGTTATAGATATGTGGTAGTAGAGTAGAGGCCTGAGGGCACACACTTAATATGTTGTGAAATCTGTTATGAATGTATTGTAATGTTTTTAAAATGTATAACTGCCTTAAGCTGTTAATTCTACACACACAGAGAGAGAGAGAGAGAGAGAGAGAGAGAGAGAGGAGAGATAGAGGGACGCCTAGAGCGAGAGAGAGAGACGAGAATAGGAGAGAGAGAGAGAACGCAGAGTGGAGAGAGAGAAGAGTAGATAGCCCGGAAGGAGAGGAGGAGAAGAGAGCTCGGAGCGTAGGAGAGAGAAGAGAGAGAGAGAGGAAGAGGAAGGAGAGGAGAGGGAGAGAGAGAGAGAGGAGAAAGGAAGAAGAGGAGGGGAAGAGGAGAAGAGAGAGAGGGAGGAAGAGAGGGAGAGGAGGAAGGAGTTGTTGTGTCGACTTCAGTAGAAATACCACTATCTTTAATTTTATTTTATTTTTTTACAACTTTTACTTTTACTTCACTACATTCCTAAAGAAAAAAATGTACTTTTTACTTCATACATTTTCCCTGACACTCAAAAGTACTGGAAAATGGTCCAATTCACACACTTATCAAGAGAACATCCCTGGTCATCCCTACTGCCTCTGATCTGGCAGACTCCCTAAATTATGGTTTGTAAATTATGTCTGAGTGTTGGAGTGTGCCCCTGGCTATCCGTAAACAAAACAAAAAATAAAAATCGTCTGCTTTGCTCAATATAAGGAATGTGAAATCATTTTTACTTTTGATACTTAAGTATATTTTTGCAATTACATTTACTTTTGATATTTAAGTATATTTAAAACCAAATACTTTTAGACTTTTACTCAAGTAGTATTTTACTGGGTGACTTTCACTTGAGTCATTTTCTATTAAGGTATCTTTATTTTACTCAAGTATGAAAATTGGGTACTTTTTCCACCACTGATGAGGAGCTGCTGTACATTTTGAGTGGTGCCCCCTGCTAGTCCCGGATCCACTCACTCTACTACACCTATGCTCTCCGCTACATTTGCATATACTCTGAATTAATTTCATGCACTTACGCCTGCTACACATGACAGCTTTATAAGGACTTTTGCACTCATGGTTGTCTGGTTGGCTACAGTATACTCTAGTGCAGGGCTCTCCAACCCTCCTGTAGATTTTCACTCCAACCTGTTGTAACTAACCTGATTCCGTTTATTAACCAGCTAATTAAAAGGAATTAGGTGTGCTAGATTACAGTTTGAGCAAAAACCTACAGGACTGTAGCTATCCAGGAACAGGGTTGGCGAGCCCTGCTCTAGTGCTCCATCCTAGAATACAGGTGACTAGGTAGCACAATGATATTCTCCTGCTCCACTGAACAGATGTTGGCCTATCAGACTTTGGTTTCAATGCATTTTGATCATTTATCACAGTAACAGTTGAATTTGTCTTACGGAGCCCAGCCAGAGATAGGCTAGTGGACCTATCTACGCCCGACCACTAGTGATGATGACTGAGGGATACTGACAACTTCTCATTCTACAAATCAGGGTCATTCCTAGTTTTAGGCTAAACTAAACGAACACTTTGACCATCTCTGTTACTCGAAATGTGCGTTCACGAGTATCCTATCCACCTTCAACGTGTCTTAAAAAAGAGCAGTGTGCACTTTTTCATCCTTGCCCCTAGGAAGAAAATGGGTGTACACTATCGGCCTGCTGCTGTTTCTTGTATATTTCATAAACTTCAAATCCCTTTCCCTGCACTGCGGCTGAGTGAAATGTACGTCAATCAACTACAAGGGGCGGTTATCCTTATGTGATAGCCACTCTCATTGGGTAATTGTAAATGTAGGCGCTGCCTTTAAAATATGTCTTAGTTGTGATTCGCTAAAAGATACATAGCAACGAATTGCGTGAACAATGCACATTGTGACATTTCGGCCCCTACAGATCGAGTTCTAGAATGACGTCGTAGATAGGCTACCTTTTAGTCTTCTTCTCTAGCACGAAGGGGAAGTGGATGTTCAGCTAGTTACTCTGTCGTACTTTATATCATTGGCTGTCTCACGCTTTCAAATTACCTTTTCTTTTTTCAGATTTAACATTTCTTATTTTGTGCCCACCCAAAATACAAAGCTGAAGTTCTTTTAGTAAAGGTAAGATTCCAATTTCCTTACAAATTTGCACCAGTTTATCTAAAATGGCTACCCTATGTTAGCTAGATAGCCTCGCCAGCTGATTACTGCATAAAATGGCGTCGTGATGGAATAACATGGTCATGTTTTAATGCAGCCATGCGGTTACCGGCTAATTATAGACAAATATAGAAATATTACGAACATCTTTGTTATACACTAATGTCTGACACATGACCAGCAGTTGAACACAATATGCAGAACATTACACTTCCTATTAGCTAACTAGCTAGTTACGTTCAAGCCCAAGGCTAGCTTGCTGGTTACTTAACGGTAGAGCCATACCAGTAGAAATAAGAATAAATAGAACGGGCGTCCCCATTCAAGGTTCCAAGCCGGTTCTAGTCATTATTTCTATAGTTAGAGCTAGCGCAAGCTAACATTAGCTAACTAAATAACCAATTTCTGATATCTTGGTGTACACATTCACTATTCCGCAATTGATGAACAAACGTGTGTATCATGAACAAATGGCAAATAATAGCAGGTTTTTAGCGACAAATGGAAAAACTTGCCATGACAGGGAGTCCTGGCGTATATAACGTTAGCTAATTAGCCTTTGCTTTGTTGCGCTTGACAAAGACAGCCGTCGAAGCCATCTTTATCGGCTGGCTAATTAGTTGGACAGCCCTTGTCATTTTTGGTAGCGTATGCAACTCATGATACTAACGTTCATGTATGATGCATATCTTTCTCTCCTACAGCACCGTTTTCGCCACCCCTCCCTATTATTATTATTATTTTAAAGATTCATCGTTGTCAAGCCGCCAAAGTGGAGAGTGTGATTGCAGAAGGGGGTGCTTCTCGTTTCAGGTATGTTCTTCCCTCGGTAGGAAACCCTTTAGAAAATGAGGGGACACTTCCAAATAGCTACTGACACAATGGGGTTTCATCAGCAGCATCCACTCTGTGCTGTGATATTTGTTCATCATACCCCAGCCTTAAGCTGTATGGAAGTACATAGCTAGTACATTATTGCGTGCAGCCCGTTGCCGATCAGAAGCTACCCACCCAAATGGATCAGTATGCTGCTGCCCTTAAATCAAATGTTATTGGTCACATATACATATTTAGCATATGTTATTGTGGGTGTAGCAAAATGCACCATAGTACAGCAATCCAACAGTATAGTCTCTGCCCCACAGAGATCTTCCAAACATGTCACTTGACATTGATGTCATCCAAAGGCTTCAGGGTCAGGTCAGGAGGCTGTCAAACCACATTCAAAGCCATGACTAAAACATTGGTAAAACTGACACTGTATAACATAAAATAGTATAGCACTGACTGTGATAAGATTATTACTCCTCTCTGAATGTGCACAATGTCATACCAGCCAGCTCCCAAACAATTGACCATGACAAATGTTTTGTGTCCTCTCTGTATGTTGGCAATTGTAATTAGCAATGTTTATACATAAAGATTGCAGGGTCACTAAAACGCCACCACCATTTCGGATGTACTGATATTGAAATCTGCACCACACCCTGAGCTTTTTGGTTTAGGTGGAACCAGGGATGGCAAGATTGAATTTCTCTGTATTTCCACCATTGTTTCACAGTCAATATTGCAATGAATCGTTATGACTTGTGAACATATGTTTATTTGGCCTCACTGGCTTACCCATCCAGGGGTAGGCTATGTTATCCCAAGAATGTGATCTGCCTAATGTGATAATTAGTAATAATGTATGTACTTGCTTTCCATGAAGATTAAGACCGTGGATATTATGCAACAAGAATGGCTTCAGCAAAGCAAAAACAAGGAAAAGTGGGTTACTCTTTATGCTCAAAATGTTGAATGTAAATAATAAGTGTTCCGATCCACAGTGGTGATATTACTATGGTGATGATAACACGGTCCTATGTCAATCCATTGTGATTTGTCATATCTTTATGGCTGACATAGGCCTATGTGTTTCCAGATTCTCCTTGACAGTAACAGTGGTAACTTAAGCTTGAAGTAGGCTAAAGTCCTGATGACAACAGAGCCTTGTATCCAAATATAAGGCTCTGGGTGACTATGTATTGACATCTTGGGGAACCAACCGTGTGGTGCTTAAATCACAAGCACTTTTTTAGCTTACACTTACAGGACATTATTGGAATATAGAGGGGTGTGAAGCTGCTAGCAACTTTTTCAATTAGTAAAACATTGACAATTCCTGTGCAATGGTCTTGCATACTGAATGTTGTTCTCTTTTTATCCTAACAGTGCTTCTTCGGGGGGAGGAGGTGTTAGGGGTGCACCTCAGCACAATCCCAAGACTGTCGGCAACAGGTAGGCCTACCACACAGGCATGATTCCCAGAAGCCATCCCTAAGAAGGATCCACAAATAATAAACTCTGTGCAGGAGCCATCTTCCCCGTTTGAGCTATAAGGCTTTTTTTGTATGTCAACTAGAGGCCTATGTGTCTGAGTGGAGTTTATGCTCTTTGGAATGATACATGTAATCCTCAGTGTGTTTTCTGTCACCTTTATGTACTGGTGGCCAGTGTGATCTCTTGGTGCCGGAGCTCAACAGTCTCCTTTCTCTTTTACTCCAGCGAGTTCCTGGGGAAACCCCCAGGGCACAGCGCTCCGAAATGGGTTCCTTCACGAAGCACTAGACGAGATGCCAACTCCAGCAATGAAAAAGAGCGACACGATGCAATCTTCAGGAAAGTGAGGGGGTAAGTCAGTGTCAAGGAACGCAATTTGGTCACCAATTGGTTTAAGCGTAATCACCTCACAAGATGTTCTCAGTGTGTGATTTGGTTTTATGCTTTGTGCCCTTGGTGCCTGCATGAGCATATGCTTCTCTATCAGGTGATGTTTACAAGAGCAGAGAACTGAAAGTCTTTCATTTGGCTAACAAGCAAAGCTTGTTGCTTTCTCAACTCCTCTTGATTAGGCATGTACCCCTGACTTGACATTTTCCTGTTCTTTCCCCTCTTTCCTTTCCCCGCTCCTCCTCTTCTCCTCCATAGCATACTCAACAAGCTCACGCCTGAGAAGTTTGACAAGCTATGCCTTGAGCTACTGAACGTGGGCGTAGATACAAAACTCGTCCTTAAAGCAATCATCTTGCTGGTAAGTAAGGCTCTGTTTCCCCTTAACTGTCTGCTCTTTGCAAATGTGTTTCATAATTCCCTGGCATCCTCCATGTATGACTCATATAATTTTTTTAAATAGTCTTCTTTCTCTCTCTCCTCCCTCCTGTCCAGATTGTAGACAAAGCCTTAGAAGAGCCCAAGTATAGCTCGCTCTATGCTCAGCTATGTCTGCGTTTGGCAGAGGACGCACCAAACTTTGATGGCCCTTCATCTGAGATCCAAACATCCCAAAAGCAGAGCACTGTAAGCATCAAGTTTGGATATATTTTTTCCACTCTGTATTTTCCTTACAGTTCTGTCTTTTAATCAACTTGTGTGGTAATCTTTATGTGTTGTACGTTAGCGTCTAGAAAATACAATATTTATTTTCTTAATGTCCAAGTGCCTATATAGAATGTCACTGGTCCTGCTGTTCGATCACAAATGTTGTCCTGATTTTGCAGACCTTCAGAAGACTTCTAATTTCCAAGCTTCAAGATGAATTTGAAAACCGCAGCAGAAATGTTGAAAGTGAGTACTACTACTCTCGTACACGGCTCGTTTGGAAAAAGGCAGACCACCCATTAACTCACCGTTGTACTTGTACTAACTCATTTTTTCTTCCCCTAGTCTATGACAAACATGACAACCCTCTTACTTCTGAGGAGGAGGAGCAGCGTGCCATTGCCAAGATCAAGATGCTTGGAAACATTAAATTCATCTCGGAACTTGGCAAACTCGACCTCATCCATGAATCTATCCTTCATAAGTGCATCAAAACAGTACGTTCCACCATTTGTCTAGTTCTTTTGGATTTTGTTTTGCATACCTTTTTTATCATTGTTTGACAACTTCCGATACAACTTTGTCCTTGAATGAGTTCTGCTATGCTTGACAGTCTTCATAGTTCCATTTTCGACTGGCACGGGTCACTTGTTTAACACTGTCATCCCCCTCCCCCCAGCTTTTGGAAAAGAAGAAGAGAGTCCAGCTCAAGGATATGGGGGAGGATGTGGAGTGCCTCTGTCAGATAATGAGAACAGTGGGGCCTAGACTCGACCATGACAAAGCTAAGGTACGTTCTCTTTTCCTCTATCAGTCTGGCTGTAGTTCCTACTGCTCCTCTTGGCACACAGCCAAGCAGTATGTCTCTCTCATGTATGTGTGTCTCGCTCTCTGTCATGACATAACTGTTAATCTCTTCCCCCAGTCTTAAATCAATCAGTACTTTGGCCCAATGCGATTGTGAGAGTGTATGTGCCTGTCTCCTAACACCACTGTCCATCTCCCCAGTCTTTAATGGACCAGTACTTTGGCCGTATGCTATCCTTAATGAACAACAAGGAGTTGCCCGCCAGGATCCGCTTCCTGCTGCAGGACACTGTGGAGCTGCGGGACAACAACTGGATCCCCCGCAAAGCATTCATCGACAACGGACCAAAGACCATAAACCAGATCCGCCAGGAGGCAGTGAAAGTGAGTTCAGATCAAATAAAATTGTATTTGCCACATGCGCCGAATACAACCGGTGTAGACCTTACAGTGAAATGCTTACTTACAAGCCCTTAACCAACAATGCTGTTCTAAGAAAATAAAAGTGTTAAAAATAGCAAATAATTAAAGAGCAGCAGTAAAATAACAGTAGGGAGGCTATATACAGGTGGTTTCGGTACATAGTCAATGTGCGGGGGCACCGGTTAGTCGAGGTAATTGAGGTAATATGTACATGTAGGTAGAGTTAAAGTGACTATGCATAGATAATAAACAGAGTAGCAGCAGCGTAAAAGAGGGGGTGGGTGGGGGGGGCAATGCAAATAGTCCGGGTAGCCATGATTAGCTGTTCAGGAGTTCAGCTGTTTAGAAGCCTATTGGACCTAGACCTGGCACTCCAGTACCGCTTGCTATGTGGTAACAGAGAGAACAGTCTATGACTAGGGTGGCTGGAGTCTTTGACAATTTTTAGGGCCTTCCTCTGACACCGCCTGGTATAGAGGTCCTGGATGGCAGAAAGCTTGGCCCCAGTGATGTACTGGGCCGTACGCACTACCCTCTGTAGTGCCTTGCGGTCGGAGGCCGAGCAGTTGCCATACCAGGCGGTGATGCAAGTTAGTGTGGACCGGACTGAAACTATGGACTGTGAGAGTCTGTCGTTCAATCTCAATCTGTCTTTTTGAGATTCATTGCTTCCTCGCCTCCGTGGTCTCTCAGGCCAAACTACAGTTGCTACAGCAACCCTAGGCTTGTTTATAACTGGAGTTTCCTGGCAACCCCACCATGTCTCTCTTTTAAAAGCAACCAGAGAAAATCGGTCTTCTGAGTGATAACATGCTTCCATTAGTAGATGTCAGGAGTCGCTCAGTGCATCTAAGAGTGATGGACTGCAGAGAATGCCCATGGCTATATAGCTACAGCATCAATAACCAACAAATACGTTGTGTTTCAGGCCTTTTTGAGCCCAGCTCATTGGAGTGTCTATTTTCTCCCTCCACAGGATTTGGGTGTTTTCATCCCAGCGACCATGGCTCAGGGGATGAAAATGGACTTCTTCCTGGAAGGCCCCTTCATGCCCAACCGCATGAAAATGGAGACTCTCGGGGGATTGGCTGACATGTTTGGGCAAATGCCAGGTAGGTGTGGGCTTAGCTTTGTATAGCTCCCTGTCTGGGGCCATGTTCAGTTGTCGAATGTTGCAAATAGAATTGCCGACATGATTCCTTGTTCTATATGTCAGAGAGGCATGTTTGTTCTACATCAGGGGTTCTCAAACTGAGGTACTGCAGGGTGTCTGCGGCCAGATAAAAAAAAAAAGATGTGTGTATTAAAAACAAGTGAGTCTGGTCTGAATCCGAAAAGGGAAGGAAATTCACATGAGCACCACAATGCTCTACCAATGTTTTCCAGCACACAGCTTTGACCTACTACAGTAGCTATGTTGGTATTGTGTTTCAAACTGTGTATGCAGGTTGCATAGGATTCAAACCGTCTCAGCATAGCTACTGTAGTAGGTCAGCTGTGTGCTGGAAAAACCTTGGTAGAGCATGGGTGGAATAGGCATTGTGGTGCTCATGTGAATTTCCTTCAGACCAATGCATATTCTCACTTAAAACATAGTTGTTTGATTTCCATGGGTTTTTCCCCCGGAAGGTAATTAATGCGACATTATACTACAACATCACACAGCAGTAAAAGTAAACAATGACGAGAAATGTAGTGATTTTCCAGAGGGAAGCGGAAAACCAGAAACCCATTTCAGCCAATATGAAGTAAACTGGGGAAACATTCCCTGATCTCTCTCTTAAGACAATCGAGCAAGCTTCTGGAAAACACAAATAATAATGTACCCGTTGACTATTTACATGAAAATGTACCTTATAGTTTACTGAAGAAAGTACTACGTTACCTGTAAACAAAAGTGAGTTATCACTAAATATAAAATGTACAACCAAATGTACATTCATCAGATATAGTCAACTTTGTAAATATAATTCAGGGATGGCCACAATTGCTCTTGACAAGCTACTGGTTTATGCAGGCTTTTTTGAACAGCTGAGGTCTTGATGAACAGCTGAGTAGGAGAATTGGGTGTGGTAGCACTGTGCTTGAACAAACAACCCTGCATAACCCTGTGGATCGTCAAGCAATTTTGATAACTCCTAATACAAACACTGTAACGAATGACAAACTCTTAAGAAAAATGATACATGTTTACAAATTGGATAGGTGATCTAAACCCTTGAATACGAAACTTCAGCTGCAAAAGTCCTAAGGACAGCTGTGTACAGCATTACAACTCCAGTAAAAGACCACACATGTCCTCATTTATAAATGGCAGTATAAATATGAAAGTACTCACAGATTTGGAACAGAACATATATTTTAGGTATTGATAGTGTGCGAAGTACCATGTGGGTCCCTGATGAATATGCTATCACAAAAGGGGTCCCCGGACCCAAAAGGTTTGAGAACCCCTGTTCCAGATGACACATTTCTATCTGAGCGTTCCAAAACGTTGCCCTGCTAAATGCCCCACTGGTCTCGTCTGTTAAACACTAATTGTCTGACAGTGTTTGAGGGGAGCATTTCTGCTGATCAGCACTTTAAAACGGTGACAGCCAGATGTCATTTTGTCACTCCTCCTAAACTGTCTCAGGCGGTGGGATTGGGACGGGCCCGGGGGTCATTCAGGACCGGTTCTCTCCCACTATGGGCCGTCATCGCTCCAACCCGCTCTACAACGGCAACAGCAGCCACAACACCGCCCCCCAACCACAGTCGCAGTTCGAAATGGGCGCCAACAAGCCCTTCATCAAGTCCAACCAGGTAATCTAGCAGCCTTGATGCTTATCAAACTAGCAGTAAATCATCGGATCTGATTAGCTAATTTGATTTAATGCAGTTTTAATGTTTTTAAGAACAGGAGCGTGTTGGCCAGATTCATGGTTTAGTCAACCTTCAGCATAGATATAACACTGTTTTCAGGGCATGTATCCACAACAGAGATGATCTGTCCTTTCTTCCTGCTTGTGGAAAGGAAACATGTTACACTTCCCGCTACTGCCACCTATTGATGCTCTTTGTCTGGTCTGTATCCAGGTGCAGAATCAGCATTTTCAGAACCAGAACCAGCAGGTCCAGTCCAACAAGGACATGCCTCCACGCTTCAGCAAGAAGGGACAGCTCAACCTAGACGAGGTACAGGAACCCACCACCCGTCTGGCCGCATTCCTAGTCAGAGGAAAACCGCTCTGACTATAGAGTACAAGTTAAAACACTGCTGGTTTGCCTGACTGAGAATAAGCCTAGTCCTGGATTAAAAAGCATTCTCATTGTAGAATTTCCATGGAGAGTGTAGGCCCCGTGTAGCTCAGTTGGTAGAGCATGGCGCTTGCAACGCCAGGGTTGTGGGTTCGTTTCCCACGGGGGTCCAGTATGAAAAAAATTAATAAAAATATGTGTCTGCTAAATGACTAAAATGTAAAAAATGACTGTGTAGTCCAGGACTCAATTTAATCTGTGTCCATGAAACCAGCCCTAAACGTCTTATTGTAAAGGAAGACATTTGTTCCATGGTGTTTTTGGTCTACTCAAAGCAAGCAGACTATAAAAATATGCGTTATTCTGAGGAATAAAACTTACTCCCTCCATCCTGCTCTTCTCTCTACAGCAGGTATCTGGTCCATTGACTGCGATTGAGACATGAGGGCATGACATTCTGCTAATCTCAGAATATCTTCCTTTCTAAGATGCCATGCTAACCTTTCTGCTACCGTTTCCCCTCACATCGCCCCTCTCTGCGTTGTAGATCAGCCTGAGACCGGCACAGTCTTTCCTCCTCAACAAGAACCAGGTTCCCAAACTGCAGCCCCAGATCCCCACTATGATCCCCCCCAGCACCAACACCCCTCCTATGGGACAGGTAAGACAGAGCACAGCAAAAACCCTCACCTTTTTTAACCCCCCAGCATTCCAAACTGTGTTTGGGGTCAATTTCAGTTTCCTTGAATTGAAATGGAATTGACCCCAACCCTGATTCCATCTGAGGTTTTGGGGGCTTGTCCTGTTGGATGTTCCAGTGTAGTTGACCTAGGCTTCTCCCTTCTCTCCCAGTCTCCACAGCTCGGCCTCAAAAGCAACCCTCTTCCCATTCAGGAGAAACCTCAGAAGACCAGCAAGAAACCACCGCCGGCTAGGGAAGAGCTGCTCAAAATGACAGTAGGCAACCATTTTGTACTCGTGTGACTGACAAATATGATAAAACCTTATGCAACGGTACTGTTTCCTAAAATGTAGATCTCATTGGTATCATGATGCTTTATTATTATGACATACCATTGGCACTGATGCAACTCTAACGAGGCTCGCTTTCAACCCCCCTTTAGGAGACAGTTGTGACAGAGTACCTGAACAGCAAGAACATTGATGAAGCTGTGAACGGCATCAGAGAAATGAAGGCTCCCAAGCACTTCCTGCCGGAGATGCTGGGTAAGGTCATCGTGGTGTCGCTGGACCGGTCTGACGACGACAAGGAGCACGTCAGCACCCTCATCCACACACTACGTACCGAGGGCCTCATCACCGGGGAGAACTTCATGCAGGTACGTGTCTTCAGTTAGCAAGTGGATTACAGTTAGTTCTACAGTACATTCACTAGGAGATGATTGTCTGATTCTCTGTCCATGTTACTTTTGGAATAGCATCAGTGATGTAAAATACACACAACTAGGATTTAGTTTGGCAGACGTGGGTCAAATTGTCATACTTTTAATGTGCTTGATAAAGCTTTGTTTTCCTCTCACCAATGTCTTTGGCCTGACTTTATTGGTCTCTCTCCCTCCATCACTTCTTAGGCTTTCCTCAACGTGCTGGACCAGTGTCCTAAGATCGAGGTGGATGTTCCCCTGGTCAAGTCGTACCTGGCCCAGTTTGCAGCCCGTGCCGTTATATCTGAGCTGGTGAGTGTGGCTGAGCTGGCCCAACCTCTGGAGAACGGCACCCACTTCCCCCTCTTCCTGCTCTGCCTGCAGCAGACTGCCAGACTCAAGGACAAGGAGTGGCTCACTGACCTCTTTCAACAGAGCAAGGTCAACATGCAGAAGATGCTACCCGGTAGGTAGACAACCCTCCTTCCTACATACTCCCGCTAAAGGCGCTTCAGTGACTGAAAATGTCTTTCAGTTCACTGTGATGATACATTTGTCATGTGATCATTAGGCTAACTGTACTTGATATCACAGATGACCAACGAAAGACTGCTGATACTGTTCACATTGTGATCATTAGAGACTGCAGCACATTCATCTTCCATGTAAGTGACGCTATGGCTAATCTGACCGGTCTGTCCGTTCTGGTCCTCCAGAGATAGACCAGAACAAGGACCGCATGCTGGAGATCCTGGAGGGTAAGGGCCTGAGCTTCCTGTTCCCCCTGTTGAAGCTGGAGAAGGATCTGTTGCTGCAGATCAAGGCTGACCCCTCTCCCCAGGCCATCTACAAGTGGATCAAAGACAACATCTCCCCCAAGCTCCACACCGACAAGGGCTTTGTCAACATCCTCATGACCAGGTAGGTACTGATCCTCCAGGATGGAGACTGCTTTTTAATTCGGCTGTATTTAGACTGCTTATGGTTGAATAAAGGTATTTCTTCAAGGCTCAAGCCCAATATTGTCACAATATAGAATCATCCTTTCAAGCAGTAAAAAAAAAAAAAGTATACTTTCATTTACCCTGGGGTGGGGCAAGACACAAATAGTCCCAGAAGTCTACATTTATATTTCACCCTGCTCTTACTGCTGCCGCCCACTCTAAGACACTTCCCCTCTCCTCCCAGCTTCCTGCAGTACATCTCAGGGGAGCTGTGTTGTGTAGAGGGGGAGGGGGAGGAGGAGGAGGAGGAGGAGGAGGAGGGCAGTGGTGGAGAGGAGCAGGCGGCGGGGCCTTCCAAAGAACAGCTTGACCAGGAGAAGCAGCTGCTGCTGTCCTTCAAACCAGTCATGCAGAAGTTCCTACACGACCAGCCCCAGCTGCAGGTCTCCGCCCTGTACGCCCTGCAGGTGCACTGCAACGCCAGCCACTTCCCCAAAGGTAGGTTAACTGCCCCACACCACTGGCCACACCACTGAATCATTTGGTGTCAATGTGGTGGAAACCCGTTCACTTGTTTGTTTTCCTTCAGTGATCAAGATTTGAATCTATTTAATAGTTTTTGGACATGGGAGTAGGATATTCTACTGTCTTGACTATGTCTCTGCTGCATACTGTGGTAGAGATGTCATGGTGTATTGTATTTATTTCAGGCATGCTGCTGCGCTACTATGTCCACTTCTACGACATGGAGATCATTGAAGAAGAAGCCTTCCTAGCATGGAAAGAAGATATTACCCAAGAATTCCCTGGAAAAGGAAAAGCTTTATTCCAGGTAATTGTTTTGGAAACAATCTAACGTTTGACCCATGGGTAGCTAATACACTTAAACATGTGGACCCAGTCCTTAATTCTCCTGCGAGTAAATCATGCAAGTCTTTATGCTAGCAACCACAACAGGGCTGCTTTCAGTTGGTGGAAAGCATGTTGAAACTGAGTGAAACGGGGAGGTAGCCTACTACCTGAACTTGTCCAATAACACTGATTTTCGTTATCCTTTGCTTAACATTTTGCTACACTGCCTTAACATGACCCTGTATAACTTTCTCCCCTGTTAGGTCAACCAGTGGCTAACCTGGCTGGAAACAGCTGAGGAAGAGGAGTCAGAAGAAGAGGCTGACTGAGAAACCAACCAGAACCGTCAGGCACCATAGAGTAGTGAAACATACTTTAACATACAGTACAGATATCTGTTACCACCATCACCTCCCCTATTATTAAACTCCTACCGAACATAACCACTGCCAGAGACTGCTTATGTCCTGCAATATAAAGCCAAGCATGTTATCAGGGCATATTAGATAACCATCTGTCTCTGTGTTCTATATAGGCTAGTGAAGCCTGTTTTTATAGTACCTTCCCTTTCACCTTAATGGTTGATTTTGTTTTGGGTCCTGTTTCTGCAATATGAGTTGAATGTAGCCTATGGACTGACTCAAACTACATCTGTACTTTTGTAGGTTTACTCCTACTGTGACCACGTAGTTAGTTTGGCTATATTTACTCATTGTGACAGCAGTATTGCATTTCTGCTAGGTATTATTTATAATCCCCTTTGAAGAAAAGGCTTGTATTTGACACCAGTTTTAGCCTTCAAGTATTTTCCCTAAAGGCCATCCAAAAGATGCCCAATCTAGACAGTGAGTCAACTTTAGTAAACCATGGATTTTGTGTGTTTGATCAACTGACGCTTATCTGAAATACATTCTCCCATTTTATTTTTTTAAACCAAAGTGCTCTTCAATGCCCTGTCGCTGATGAGGAACATGTTACATTTTGTGTATATGGGGAACCTATTCCTTCCAAGCAAGCTGTAGACTTAAGACACACACATCCCTCTGTCATACCTGAGTGGTTGCAATACTCCGTTAACATGGAATCATATAAAGTGTAAGTTAATCATTTGGTGTGCTGCCGTAATGTTTCAAAAGTTGTCTGTTTCTACCTCTTAGTTAGATGGGCTTTGTGTTTCGTGCAGGGATACAGAAGATCCTTTTTTAGAGAGACGTATACCAGAAAGCCCAAGCAAATGCAGAAGACTTTATGAATATCCTGGTCTACTTCCACAATACAACCCCCGATTGGACTTCCAATGAAGCTCCCCTTATGTGGTTCACTAGTTTTTAAGAACGTTTCAGAACGTAAGAACAAGTAACCTTTTTTTAAATTGAGTTGGATAACTCAACGCTGTTACCTCTCCCCATCCCTTTTGCCTGCAGTTTATGTCAAAGTTGGGGTTCAGGAATATATTCTCCCCAGCAGATTGAGTTTATAAAAGTATAACGATATGTTTGATTTGTTTCGCAAACCAGAAATTTGGAACCAAATTAATTTGATCCTGTTTTTTTGTTTTTTTTATTGGTGAATAAAGGTTTACATGAGAGTAATCTTGCTTCGATTGTCCCCTTGTAGAACGGGGGAAAAAAGGCTCATCAGACCGGTAACTCGATTCTTAATGAAATCATGAGAAATAAAATTTTAACTTTGCCCAACACGATTAGCCAATGTGCTCTCAAGCCATGTGAATTTAGAAAGCAATAGATTTTGATCATGTTGTATTCAAGTGATGAGTATTGTGCACCTATATTGCATAACCGTCAATAAAGTCCAATACTTGAGCACTGAAACTTTAAATTGTTGTCCTTTGCACTATTTTGTTTTTAATTCAAACTATTACAAATGTCTTTATAAATGGTGTTCACGTTCCATTTTCTCATGCTGATCATGATTCATTGTTTCATCTTTTGCATGATGAAAGTTGACTACTCTTCACATTTAAATGACACATTCCCTTTTTTCCCTTAGTAAATAGAAAAGCATTAACAAACAAAACAATGGTGGCTATTCTGAAGTGGGTTGTAACTCGTCAGTGTTGAACAATGTGCATAATGCCGTCATTCCTCATCTGTTGGGATCCAGAAATATTCCACCGTTTTCCTGCTTCTCCGTGGATGCCCAGCCTCGTGCTCCCCTCCCATGGCAGGAGACAGGTCACCAAAGTGAGATGGACCCAGGTCCTTTCCCACTCGCGGAGCAGATACTCTGAACATGCTCCTGGGAAAAGGAAGCAGGCAGTACTGTACCTCTGACTGTCTATTCCAGGTAAACTGAACCTGACTTGGAACAACATATTCAAGGGATGGAAAATAACAACCTTACTAGGATTCTACAAAATAAAAATGTTCCAGGCATCCTGGTTACCTGGATGAGCTCCTGTCAGCATCCTCAGCCCCAGGCTCTGGTGTGGAGATGAAGACTGGATCCCCTTCCTAAGAGAGAGAGAGAGCGAAGGTGATTGCAGCAGGGCAAGGAGGAGTATAGAATAGCCTTCAGTTTGCACCAACATCATCACTTGACCTATAGTGATGTTCTGTGTAATGACAGTTAAACCCTCACTGTGAAGTTCCTGGGAGTGCCATCTTGGTTCTTTAGAATCTTCACCCTCTGGTCACTTTCCGTCATGCAGAGGAAAAAGCTTTTGATATTAGCTTGACACTGGGGAGAGAACAGTCAACATAAATCAAATGGACAACTAGTGAGTAAGTAAGAATTTATCCTAGGCCTGACAATAACTAATAGCTAGCTGGTCCACAGCTAGATGGCGCTATTGTCTGTCCTTGTTCTCAACACATCTCAACTACCTCAGTTATTGTGATGGGACCTGATTGACATCCCAGATAATCATTAAACAAACAGCATAGCCCACTGAAAGACATAAGTAGGATTATTGCTGATACATTTGGTGCTGCAGAAGGGGTTTGAGTCTGACTCACTGCTTTGTTCTGCCTCTGAGACGTGAGGTCCTCCTGGGCTTTGAAGATGTCTGCCAGAGCCTGATGTTTCTCCCTCCAGTTGAGACACTCGGCCGTGCGCTCCTGCCTCTCCTTCTCCACTAGCTGCCTCTCCTGGTCAGCTTCCTGCTTCGCCTGGCTGGCCTTCTCACTCTGCTCCTCCGCTACCAATGCCCTGCGCCTCGAACTCAGCTCTCTGCAGAGACAGAGAAGACATCACAGTGGATATTCTAATTCACAAACTGTGTGGTCTATCTGACGACTCTACAGGAGAGCCTTAAAGCCTGGGGTGGCATGTAAGGTTATGCTGTCCAAATGAGGACATCCTCAGTCTCAGCAGGACTTGTGTCAGTCTTATCAGGAGTTGTCAGTCTCATACATAATGCATTATACTACATATACATAGATGAATATATAGCACATCATAAGAACTGCATGATGACACATTTTCTGTAGCCTTACTTGTCTTTGACTTTGGTGTTCTCATCCATCACTTGTCTGAGATTGTGCCTCAGAGCATCCCTGTCCCCCTCCAGGCCTCTGTTCTCTTCCAGCAGAGCCTGTTTCTCTCCTGATATCCTGTCCAGCTTCAGCCTTGTCTCAAAATAGTTCTTCTCCGTTTGTGCCAGAAGAAGCTGAGCGTCTTGGTGCTGTTGGAGACGTTACAGACATCATCACAAGCTACTGGGTCTCATCTATTCTACACAGGGCCTGACTGAGCTAAAGGTTAGTGTGTACTATTACTTGTTGCACTACTATAGTACAGTAATTAGTCACAAACTGTGAGGAGAATTGATACTATAAGTATTATCATCTGACCTGTGCGTGTGTGTCTCTGTGTTTGTGCGTGCGTGTGTTTAGATACCTGTTTTTTTAGCTTCAGCAGGTCCTCGCTCAGTCGGCTCCTGTCTGCCTCTGTCAGCTCTCTGTCCTGCCTGAGGCTGTGTGCCCGGGCCTCTGCAAGGGCCCTGTGCTTCTCTGCCTCGACCCGCGAATCGGTCGCCTCATCCGCCACACGGGTGCACAACGTCGCCCTCTGCTGGGCCAGGTACACCTTGTGCTTCAGCTGCAGGGGCCAGAACGAATGAGTATTACACACAGAGGAGGAATGCTATTGTTCTCAGCTGTAATATGACGATGTAGGATTAGTTTAAGAATGATGATTTTCTAGTGGAGTTGAAAAGCTATAGTGGCACTGGCAAATGACCTATGGCGTTTAAGTTGGGAATGCTGCTTACTGTGTTGAACTAGCCTGCATTTTCTGTTGCATCACTGTTAAATAGTACCTGTATTTTCTGCTGTGTTTTCTATTGGCGAGAGGAAGAGGTACAGTACCTCTTTGACCTGGGCCTGGAGCTCCTGGTTAAGGTTTCTCAGGTTCCTCATGGTCAGTTCATTCTCTGTCCGCATCATAATTCGCTCCATATGGATCTCATTGGATAGATACTTGTTTTCCTTCTTCAGGTCTTCACATTCCTGAGGTTTACATAAATATGGAAACCAAGATGGACACATTTTCACTCTCATTTCTGGGTTTCATGGAAACGCACACACACGCACACTGCCGTCAGGTAGTCTAGTGGTTAAGAGCATTGGCCAGTAACCAAAAGGTCGCTGTTTCGAATCCCCGAGCCAGCAAGGTGGACAAATCTGCCGTTCTGCCCTTGACCAAGGCAGTTAACCCCCAACGACAACTGCTCCTGTGCGCCGATGACGTGGATGTGGATTAAGGCAGCCCCCCGCTCCGCTCTGATTCAGAGGGGTTGGGTTAAATGCAGAAGACACATTTAGGTTGAATGCATTCAGTTGTACAACTGACCAGCCATCCCCCATTCCCCCTTTACCTTTCTCTTCCTCACCAGCTCTCCTTGCAGGTGGTTGATCTGTAGGAAGGATCCGCTGACGTTAACGCTGTGGGCACTAACCGGTCTGACGGCCCGTACAGGCCTCCTGCATGGCCTGGAGAACCCCTTCACCTCCTCCACCTGCTCCTTCCCAAACACTATCCTCCCGCTGCCTCCCCCGTTCCCGGCCCCCTTCCCGGCCCCGTTCCCATTCATATTGCTGCTGCTCAGGGAGAAGGACTTGTATATCCTGCTGTCCAGCGCCAGAGGCTTTGGTGAAGAGAGGGACTGCAGGTTGCCGTGAGATGTGGCTCTCAGCGACATGTTGAGTCCAGATCCAGAGATGTGGTCCGATTCAACCTTAGACAAGTAGGTATACTAGGCTTTGAGTACGGATGGAACTCACTAACTGCCAAATCCCACCAAGAGATACTCTCCTTACTCCAGGAATGAAGTCCTTGTCTAGTGTTGTGTTTACTCCACTGGTCTCTGGGAATAGAAGGATCACTGGTGGAATGGATGAAATATTCATTGGGTAATGTGATAGGTCAGCACAAGGGACTGGAGAGAAACCGTACTCTACCGGTTGTGCTTGGAAACCTTAACAGAGTGTATGGCAGAAGTGCTGGGGTGGGGGCCTGCTAGCTTGACTAATTACACTGCTACTTAGAGACTCTATTTAGAGGTGGTGAATGATCCTCTATGAAGGAATCACTATGGAGGATCAGATAATCATATAACTTCTCTTTAGATCTATGAATATCAGGAAAGTGAGAATAGGGGACTCTGACTTTACTGACAAACAATTATCACACTATTTACCAGAACGCCTGGATATGTTTTCATAGAGTGACATAGTATCCCACCCTTGACACTACACTCTTCACCGACACTACTGGAAAAGACTGGTGGTCACTCCTGACTTCGGAGGTGTGGCCAATTAGCCTCTACTACACTTCCTGAAAGGCTCTCGTCGTATCCTTTACAAACACTGAGCTCCAGTGATCCAGTTTACCCCAGAAGCAGACAGGAAACTAACCCTTCTCCAGTTTGGATGTATTATTTAAACACAGCAGTCAAAGTACGACAAATCCCACTACCCTGCTTTGGCTTCACGTGAATCACTACAAATAATGAATAGACACAACATCCATGACAATGTCTTTCAATCAAAGCGGCATCATGATTGACATTATTTGATGTATCTATACACATTTTAATAGGGGAAATTCCTGTATTATTCTATTTGACTTACAGTTGGTGAGTGCATACATTTTCATACTTTTTCATACTGGCCCCCCGTGGGAATCCAACGCCATGCTCTACCAACTGAGCTACACGGGGCTACATTCTATGAATGAAGTGTTTCAGATGTATTGTTTGGAGGTTGGCGTGGTATCCGAGAAGAATGGCCTTGACACAAGACCTGTGTAGGGTCGTATTCTAGAGTAACCTTGAACAGGCAGGATGTGCTTGATAAGGTCTTTAACACTGATATATTCAGAGGACGTACAACTTACAGTTTTTCTCAATCGTGTACAAGCATTTTTTGGAACAATGTCGATTTTCAAAACAGAGTCCACAAGACCCAGAACTCTGTGGCGTTTTGCTAAACAGTAAATACGTTTTCAAAATGTAGTTGCCTTCTCAAAACATAAATACATTAATCAAAACTATATTATACAGTCAAAACATAAATACATTCATCAAAACTATATTATACAGTCAAAATTGCAAATACATTCATCAAAAGAACACGATTGCCTGCAAAAAGATCAACAAAACCATACTTATCTCTTGAGGCCAAGCAGACAAAACATTAAGTTAGTCTGTCTTTTAAAAATCCCAGTAGATAGATACATTTTCTTTGTATTCACTAAATCATGATGATCAAAATGGGAAGTATAACTATCCAAAGGTGTAGAATTATGGGAAATGACTCTGCTTTCATGCGTATTTCACCAAAAGATGGTTATATGTTCATACACATCAAAACAAATATTATTCCTGCTAATTATTTTAATAAAAAATAAGCACATTGTGTGCAGGATTCATTAATTGGTATCATCCCAATCCAATTCCATGTATTCAATACATAGGCTGGTTTGCACATAGTTTTGTAGACTATTGGTGCACAGAAACACAATCCACAATAGAAATAAGGAAAGGTGAATACAATGCAGGAACACAACTGATATGAATGTATAGGCCTCAATCCACACCAAAGCAAAGCTCTGTAATGGAAGGTCACAATGTTGGAGATGATAACTTCCGATTAACCCAAAGTTACTTAGAAGTAACCCAACTTCATTCTCTGCATCTCTGCATGTCCGCGATATTGTAAAAAATGATCAACATTAGACAGTCCCATTCCCTAGATCTTTTCATATATTGTACATGGAATGACACTGATGGGATGATTTATAATTTTGTGCAGTAGTATTTACTGACTGCCGGAAACAGTTAACATAAGTGCACACATTTCTCTTCTGATGAAAATAATGTGTAACTATTCTGTGAACAAAACACTTAGCATTGAATTTTGTATTCACTGATGACATTTGTATTTAAAGTTTTGCAAAACGTGGTCTAAGATATGCAAGTCAGGTACTAAGGCAAGAAAATGATCAGAAGTTCTGTAAATGTTTTGGAGCATTTGATCATTGCTGTTCTGCTATAGGTACTATACACCAGTGGTTCCCAACCAGGGGTACTTGAGAAGACTCATGAGACCATAGGCTTACTGGTCAAATGCACATGAAGGGGTACTTCAGAGGAACTCAGGCAAAGCTAAATTCAGCTGGTGGCACAGTCAGGGGCGTCATGCACCCCAAAAATCTGAGGGGGAACAAAGTATGTGAGGATGTCTGGAGGTGGTTTGGAGGGGCAGAGGGGTACTCCGGGCAGACCAAAATTCAGTTGGTGGTACAGTAACTGAAAAAGGTTGGGAACCACCGCTATACCGATCCACTGTAGATTTCAACACAAAACTGTATCAGTGTGCCAACTGCTCTAAAGGACCCCACCCCCCCCCCACCCCCCTTCCAATCCTCAGCTTATGAACCGTGCATTACATCCCAAGACTCATTACTAATGTCCCATGCTTTACGACCCGCTTCCTGTGTTTCCTTTGGGACCAATCAAATGTGGTGTTTTGGTGTGGAAATCTACAGATCAGAAGATGAGACCATAAAATCTGTGACGCAGAGAAAATACAGATTTTCTTTTGAAAACTTCCTCTGTATATGTTTATGTTGTTTATCAGGAAGATGGAGGCACAGTGTGGCATCGTTTAGTAATTTGATGAGTTGTTTTCATTCAACAATGGCTTTCCTCCTGTCTTCTTAATGACTCTCTTGATGTCATTATGGGAAGGGGAATTGGCAAGCCTGTCACGTTATGTGTGGGGAAAAAAAATCTGATTCCAAACATCACTCGTTAATGTGTCCCATTCTTAAACCATTGTTTCCGATCTCAAACAGTAACCCGACAACAAAGCCACAACATCTTCCTCAGCCAAGCCTCCCTTTAAAAATCAATTGGTTGCACCCACTGATCCTCACTGGGTTATGTGAACACATTGTAGCCTGCATTATTTGATGTGAGTGCCTTGGGACAGGTAGCCTACAGTTCCATGTTGATCTAAAGAGATGGGAAGAGCATCCTATCACTAGGTCAAAGAGCAGCAGGGGGAACACCACTTGAGAATCAGTGCTATGTTGTGAGGAAGAGTCTCCTCCTCCACTTATAGATTGGCCTGTCACACCAACCATAACTCTGCTAGAATTAAGTGCTGGCGAAACAAAAGTGGTTGAAAACCGGTCCTGTCCATATGAGGAATGGGTCCTTGACTGTTGTTTTCCTGTCTGGCAGAAACTGTGGTCTAAATCAACAGCTGTGCTTTCCTATATGGCTAAATATGCTTTTATCTGCTTTTGTAGACAATGCATTGGCTGTTTGTTATGACATTTCATCACGTCTCATGATGAATTCATCCTGGGTCAAATGCTCACATTCGCCCTCCTCCTGAACCCAGCTATATCATATATCCTATATAAAAAACATGTTATTACACAATTCACATGTTATTATGTAATAATAAAAACAGAGATGTGTGAGAGGTGAATCCAGAACAGGTTGTGCTTCCAGAGCTGCCCCCGTTTGGTCTTTAAAGGTGTGTGGCCCCCAGTGGCCCCTGATTCGGGGGCACCAAGCACATTTGGCCCCTCTTCCCGTTTCCTCTTTCCCAGTGTCCTTTCTGACTGTGTCCCAAATGGTACCCTATTCCCTTTGAAGGGCCCTGGTCAAAAGTAGTGCACTGTAAAAGGAATAGGGTGCCATTTGGGACGCAGCCTCTGTCGTCACCCCTGGAAGTGGACATTATGTTTGGGGAAAGTTGCCCCCCTCACTCTCTTTATTCTGGTAGCATCTTCACTGTAGAGTCTGATATTAAATGTTACCAGACAAACCATGGCAAGGGTCTGGCTCTTTTCTTGCCTTCTGCTCACCATGGCTGTGTATGCACTGACTTTTGAATTCAATCGCATTAAAGGTAAGGCAAGATTTTTTATCAATATGAAAAAAGGGATGCTGCAAATGTTTTGAGTTTCGTTGCATTGTTATGGGCCCGGGCAATACTTATTTATAACTATTTTGATCACACTTTACTTGAAGCAATCAGATATAATGCTGTATTACTTGTTATAAGCATGCATGAGCACTCATAATGTCTTATTAATGTGCTTATAAAATGTCATGTATTTCTATGTGGAATTTCTTTAATGGATTAAACATATTAAGTAATTTAGGATAATTTTTAGATGATAGCAAGACATTATAACAAGTTATTCAAAGATAACATCTTATGACAAGTCTTATTATGCATTATACATTATACAATAATTGAAGTAATAATGTTTTTTTCTTCAGTTTTCATTATTTTTGTGTGTAGTCTACTCTTATTGCAATCCATTCCATCTGATGGATTTGACTTGTGCAGTTTTCCCTGAGGTTGGCAGAATCTCCGGAGTGTCCATGGTGTCTTATGGGAATCAATACGCCCTGAATGCCTCTCAGGCTAGAGCCATGTGCCTGTTCCTGAACGTCACCATAGCGACCAGGGAACAGGTCCATACTGCTCACCAACATGGACTGGAGACATGCGGGTAAAAAGCACAGCACAAATAAAAGTTCTCAGAGCAGGGTTAAATATCCACTACCAAATAATATCTCATGTGTGGTCTTTCAATCAGATATGGCTGGATAGATGAACAGATTGCAGTTATCCCTCGCATTGTGCAGAGCATGAAATGTGGCAGGAATAACATTGGGTTATTAACATGGAAAACAGCGACAAACAAAGCCTTTCATGTGTTTTGTTTCAATTCAACAGGTAAATATAACTTTTATATATTGAATTATCATGCATGTTAAATTAACTAAAGCAGAGCATTGATCATAAACATGTTGCAATGAAAAATGCATTTAAAAAATAGTTTGAATGTGCTTTACTTTAGAAAATGGACTTGTTGATGCCTTCTCTCACAGATTTAGAGAATCCTTTGGATATCACAACACCTAAAGTCCAGACCACAACAAAAACTACGACCACTACAACAGTCTCAACATCAGCACCAACTACTACCAAAACGGTGAAAAACAGGGTCAAGACAACACCTAAAGTTCCAGCACCTAAATCAACGATACAAGTCTCAAGATTGGCCCCCACTACCACAACAACAACCACTTACCTGGTCCAGTCAACAACCAGCTTCATCTCCACCTCTCCTCCTCCCTCCCCATCCCCATCGTCCCTCTCCTCCCTCCCTTGTCCCACTTCCCTCTCTCACTTACTTCCCACATCCTCTCGCTCTCTCCCCAGCTCTTTCTCTCCCTCGTCTACACCTCTCATCTCGTTTTTGTCTGTCACCTCTTCCTCCCTTGTTTCCTCTCCTTCTCAAAACACCTCCACCAACCACGTTGAAAGCCCTGTCGGAGGTAGGTGATCATCCTCATATTGCTATTTGTCATTGTCAATGACATTTATGATCAGCTTCCATTTTAGCTGTGTATAATATATTTGGCACACCTTTATCCTTTCAGCAATACCTACGGCGCTCCTCATCACTCTACCCTTGCTGGCTGCGGCAGTTGCAGTGTGCTACTACAAAACGTGGGTCTTCTTATGTTTACATTGCTGTGTACTTACTTTGATCATAAGCATGTTATACATATTATACTATACGTTGATAGTAAAGATTTTATACATGATTATGCGTGAATATATTTATAACTAACCCAAGATAGTTAATCTGTGTCGTTTACAGTTGGAGCAAATGAAGCATAGTTGGCAGAACAAGCAAAGAGGTGGGCAGAGCCAAGCACGAGCTAGTGAGATCCTATTGGCGCGTTGTAGCATGTATTTGCATATTCCCATTAGGGAAAGTGTCCTCTGTGAAGTGCGCATGTGCACAAACTCAATTCGACCTTGCACTCCTAAACAATGCAATTTTTAACAACGTCTATAAAACGTAGAACAATGTGTTCGTAACAGATTTTAGTTTTGGGAACATCATATATTTTTTGGATCAGATGTTTCATTGATGAGAAAATGAGTAGAATGCCGGCCCAGTTTCACCTAGTTCCATCCTCTCCCACTACCCGCGACTGGACTTCCTCTCACTACCAAGTTTGGTGGTGAGAAAATGTACTAAACGGATGCTTCAGCTTTATAGTCCCTGTGATGTGTCTGGGTTACACCTTCTGTCTGTGGTAAAAATGCACTATAACTGTTAGCGTAACATGTTACCATTTTGCTCTTCTTCTCTCCATGTTTCTTTTACATTTACTTCAAAGGACCAGGGGTGTTTTCCCAGTCCAATTATGGCGCAGAGGACAGCACAACTTGAAGCATGACATAGAGACTGAGATGTGGAGACACACGGACAGTGAGATGGATCTGCAGGACCCACAACAGAGAAAAGGAGGAGAGGAGAATGGAGACAGGAAGTCCACCAGTGACATCATCATCAGTAATCTAGAGACCACAACAAATGGCCCTTAGTAGCAATAGACGGCCATGTTGAGGGGGATTTACAGTGCTGAAAAAGACATTAGCAAAATATATAATTGACTAACAGAAACTGCAGAAATAAGTATTAGGAACTGTAGACATAAGAGAGGTCTGCAGAGGTTTTTTTCAGAAAATGTTTCTGATAATTCAATGTATTTTTTTTAAATAAACGATTGTAAACAATCAAACGAAAATGTTTTCCTTTGCCTAGATTCCCTGTCATCTATTTATTTCCGTTTTATTTTTTATTAATTCATTTGATTTGTCTGTCCAACTTGCATTTTTTACAGTTTCAAGTCACATTTTGTTTTATGAGTTGCAGCAAATCTTCACTTTGTTCAATAAAAAAAGAAATGCTACTAAAATGTCGATTTATTGGTGAGGGCCTAGAGCAGTGGTTCCCAACCAGGGGTACTAGGACCCCTGGGGGTACTTGGCCTATCCACAGGGGGTTCTTGAGAGGACTCATGAGACCATAGGCCTAATGGTACAATGCACATGTGGGGGTACTTCAGAGGAACTCATGGCAGAGCAAAATTCAGCTGGTGGTAAAGTCAGGGGCATCATGCACCCCAAAAATCTGAGTGGGCACAAAGTACGTGAGGATGTCTAGAAGGTGGTTTTTGAACACCTGAAACAGCGTTTTCCTGCAATCTACAGCCATAATCATTATGCTCAGTGCTTGATTTGAACTGAAATAGGTTCCAGTACTCATTTTGGGTGCAGGTACTGTTTATATTTAGGTGCAGGAGCTCCAAGATACTTTTGAGCTAATATTCTATAAGAGGAACAGGAGCTCAAGCAGTAGAACATTTGAGGTGCCAGTGAGCTCCTGCCCTAGTCAAGCACTGATTATGCTTAATACTATGTAAAAATAAAAATGCAAATTTTTCTGCATATCTAAGCATACATCTTGAGCTGTCTGTATCCTCCTAACTGGTGGTTATTTTTTAAAAGAAACTATGCTTCTCTGCTTCTCTGCTAAAATCTGGGTAACAGAAAGGAATGTGAGTCTTATTCAGTATGTTTAGTTATTGCCAGCTAAGATAGTTATACAAGCTAGCTAGTCTAACTTAATTGACAGCCTGAAATGGCTTCTTGGTAGCTAACATCAGTTATGAGGTTGGGAGATTGAGAACCTAAATGGGCTTTCATAAAATTGCTAGGTGGCTAGTAGTATTACAGAGAAACAAAACAAAACCAAAATATTTTTTACAGGACAAACCCCCTCTGGGCATGATGCCTCTGGGCAGTGGCGGCTCCTGAAAAAATTCTCAGGGGGGGCAATTTTTCTGATGATTTAGGTGACCTACACACATTTTAAAAAAGATATGTCCAGCAACAACATGAAGACAGGGGCAGCATATAAGTCAATACCAGAAGCATTTATTGACTGATCTCAAAAGTGTTGGCTTACCAGGGTTGGTGGAGCCCTCAGTTTCATCTTTGCCTCGCAAAGCTAACTCAAACACTCCGCAAAACTTCACACACTGGATTAGCCGGCTGAGGATGTGGCGGTTCTTGCTAATGTCGTAGTAAATATATTTGTTATAGTGAATATGGAATATGATATGTTGAGTAAAATGTTGTGCTAAGATCTATTTAGGTCAGGAGCTGGTTATAAGTTCTGTTCCTATCCAATAACAATGGACAAAAGGGTCCTATCTTGTCAGCCTTGTCAGTTTCAGTTCTCCAGTAAACTTGTGATTATCAACACTAACCTCATCGTTGTGGCGGCGGACAGCTAGCCTGTATCCCTCATCCAGTTGAGTGGGAATGTTCACTCTCCCCAAAGCAGACAATCTCAAACAGCTATCCATGTGGGTCTTTGACAGCTCATGTTTCTTAATCTTTCCTGAAAGATGGTGCATGTCCGTTACACACCAGTCGCTGTCCAAGCGGTGCTGTCTGCCGTGCCGCCTTCAGGGTGAAAGAGTAAGCAGGGGGTAGCAGAAGACTGCATTAGCTACATCGCAGCCTGCTAGCCAGGTTTTTCGTTCGTACCAATTTTTGGAAAATCCTCGGGTGTAGGACTTCCCCCCTTTAGTAGAAACCTGTTGAATTATTAAATTTGGTCTGGGAGGTCCTAATTGTTTCGTTGCCAATTTATCTTCATTTGTTCTCCGACAAAAAGGAACTTCTTTCAAAGACACAATCGAGTTGCACTGAAGCCTAGCCATTTTTACAGTAGTAGTGAATTGATTGATGAGGCTACCCGCTCTTTTCTTAGTTACGTTCATGGTTACGTTACGTATGACGAAAGCGCGTAAGTGCAAGCCCTCAGAAACCCATAGAGATTGTATTGAAAGCTCTGATATTTGAAAAAAATAGATTTTACATGGGAGTCTATGACAGACTTCTGGGCGATTTTCAACCTGACTGAAATTGCCCCAAAAGGGGGGGGGGCCATTTGAAGCACGACTTTAGCCTGATTGGACATTTAGTGGCACTGTGGCAGATCAGACGTCTAGATTACAACACTGATAACTACTGTTGCCGTGATATAATTGATTAGAAAAAAAATCCCTTCCTTTTCCCGTTTGGCAGTGCGTCGCCCATATCGCCCTATTGAACACACCGCCCCTGCCTCTGGGTACAGTAACCTAAAAAGGTTGGGAACCATTGGCCTAGAGAATACGTTTTGGATTGGTGGGGACCGTTCCCTTACGAAAAAAGATTGCAGTCAGAGTGCAGTAAACTGCAGTTAGAGTGCCGTATACTGTAACTGCAGTATGCTGCAAATACTGCGTCCAAAATAACACCGTTTTTTTTTACTGCAGTAATTTGTGTAACTGCAGTTAGAGTGCAGTATAACTGCAGTTATTCTACAATTACTGCGTCCAAAATACAACAGTTGACTGCAGTTACTGCACTGTCACTGCAGTTTCAAAATGGCAATATTTTTCTGTAAGGGTTGCGTGGAAGGGGGAGAGCCTCGTAAATGGCGTCCCTTGAGAAAGCAAGAAACAGATGTATGTCAGGAGAAGTGCAGTATTATCATAAAGAGACGTGTACTTGGATGACGGAGGAGGAATGGAGGGAAAAAGAGAGGCAGAGGAGGTCTAAGAGAAAGAGTGAGGAAGATTGTGAGCTTGAGTCTGTAAAAAAATGCCGGAAAAAAGGGTTGTTAAAGAAGAATGGTAGGAAATGTAAGCAAAGTGAGCTGAAGACAGGAGGAGAAATGGAAGTGAATGAGGGTGAAGTATCGGAGGTGGTAGGTGTGGTGAAGTACTCGGAGCCCGAGGCTTGCACAGAGGGTCAGGATAAAGATGAGTCTGTGACAGTAGGAGTTACGTTTTTGGAAAAAGTGGACCCTTGCCTTTTGCCTGATCCATTTGTGGTTTCAGGATGGGTGAAAAAAGCGTTGGGTATAGTGGAATCAGTGAGGGTAACCAGAAGTGGTCTAGTGATAATTGTTTTTGTTTCTGTTGGTCAGAGGGAGAAGGCGCTCAGAGTTAAACAAATGAGGGAAAGAATTGTGAATTGTTTCGCTCTCAAGAAAAGGGCGCCATTGAAAGGAGTGATTACTGGGGTAGCAGTAAATGTAAAAGTTGACAAGCTGAAGGGGAAGATTCCCGGTGTTTGTGATGCTCGTCGTTTGGTGCGACGCAAACAGGGTGGCGAGAGTGGTGAAACAGAAGAGTCATTGTCTGTTCTTTTGAGTTTTGAAGTTGAGTCTTTGCCTGATAAAGTGAAGTTAGGATATATAAGATATCCTGTACGAGCTTATGTGCCGAATACATTACGATGTTACAGGTGTCAAACCTATGGGCATATGGCAGCAGTGTGAAGGAGGGAGGTTCCAAGGTGTGAGAAGTGTGTAGAAGGGCATGGGACAAAGGAATGTGTGGCATTGGGGAAAGTAGTGGTATGTGCTAATTGTAGGGGTGCCCATGGGGCTGGGGATCAGAAATGTCCCGTGCGAGAGAGGCAGGTTGAGGTTTCCAGGGTAAGAGTAGTGAAGAAGTTGTCATATGCTGAGGCAGTGAAGAAAGTAGAGGAAGATGGGTCAATGGGGAGGAGTGGTGAGAGTAGTAGGTATGTACCAGTGCAGAGGGATAGGCCAACAAGTGATATATGTTTCAGTAAGATTGGATTTTTAGCATTTATAGCAATGGTTTTTAATTCTACTGCAGGGATGGAACGTAAGTTGAAGAAAATTGAGGTTGTGGTGGCAGCTGCAGAGAGGTATTTGTGTGTGCGAGACATCAGAAGGGTTACAGGGTGTTAAGTGGTGATGTCCCATCATTTCTGGTTGAGGGCATGAGGTAGGAATGAATATATTTAAATAATAAATAATAATATAATATGCCATTTAGCAGACGCTTTTATCCAAAGCGACTTACAGTCATGCGTGCATACATTTTTGTGTATGGGTGGTCCCGGGGATCGAACCCACTACCTTGGCGTTACAAGCGCCGTGCTCTACCAGTTGAGCTACAGAGGACCACATAGTGTAGTAGGGTGGTGTTAAATATTAATAATATTTTTGAATTTGTGAGTGTAGGGTATTTCTTTATTTTATTTTTCAAGCAAAGTATAAGGGAGTTGTACTCCAGTCTAGTAGGTGGCGGTAATGCAACAAATTGGATGCCAACCGCCGTTAAATCTCATCAAAGAAGAAGAAGTAAGGGTTGCGTTTCACTGCCATCTACTGGCAGGTTGCAACCAACCGGTGTTCTTACTGTCGATTTTCGATTGGCGGCTGCCCTGTAAGTAGCTAGTGGTTACTATACAAGGGAATGAACCAGTTCGAAGCAGAAGATAACTTCTCTCTTTGATCTTAATTATCCCGTATTAAAGTCGTTACGGAACTATCAGTCTGCCATAATGCGACGTTTCGGATCTGTGCAGCAAAAGATACCTTGTGTGTTTCTGACTGAGGTGAAAGAGGAACAGTCCAGAAAACGCGAATGTCAGGTGAGTGTCTATGAGTAACTGCAGTTAGCAGCTAACGTTTGATAGCTTAGCTAACTAGTTAGCGTACGCCAGCTAAAATAACTCAAATTAACAGTCATAGTATATCCTAAATACTACTGTATACATGAATGGTTTTGTAGATTAATTTTGTATTTGTTTTCCTAATAGCTAGTAGCTACGTTTCGTTATCATTCTTACTCTGCACCATAGTTAGGCGGATACTAAGCTAATGCTAACTAGCTAATTATGTCAACACAGCAGCAGTTGATTGGTTAGTGGTGCGGTCTGATGATGCCCCATTGAATGAAAGCCAGGGCGATGTTCAGTACGGGAACGTTGAAGATAGAAAAGCCATGACTAATGCTAACGTGATTTCTTATTCTATATACCAAAGAGATGTTTGCTCTAGCACCATCATACATTTCTATCTGAACGTTGGCCAACGTTGTCCTGCTGAACGCGGCCCAGTTGAGCTCTTGAAATGTTGTCCACAGTAGGGTGTTTTCACCATCTTCTCTCTTGTGGCACCAATGTGAGGGGTTATGGCAGCTGAAACGGTGTTGCAGAATAACAGAATAAACTGCTATTTATTCTGTTACCAATAATATTTGCATGTTAATAGTGTCTTCTGATTTACAATTATTGGCTCATCTTTTAACTAAATGCAATCTATTAGCTTCCAAAATGTAAGTAGGTATATCTAGCTGTCTGATAACACATTCTGATGGAATGGCTTGTCTTGCACAAGGTAAAAACCCAGAGTGCATTGAGTGGAATGTAAAAAAAAAAAAGATCTTGGTTCCATTCTGAATATAGCAATGTGAATGCAAAGAGGACTCGGACCACAAAATTGTGAACTGGCAAAATAGTTGAGTCCTCATTCAAAGGCAAGGGCAGTGTGAATACAAAGAGAACTGAGTTATTTAGCTTCTTTTTTTTTTTTTTACCCCAGAGTTCACTTTAAAGAGGACTGAGAACGGTTATTTTAAAGAGGACTATATTTTGGGCTCCCGAGTGGCGCAGTGGTCTAAGGCACTGCATCTCAGTGCTAGAGGCGTCGTTACAGACCTGGGTTCGATTCCAGGCTGTATCACAATCCAGCCATGATTGGGAGTCCCATAGGGCGGCGCATAATTGGCCCAGCGTCGTCCGGGTTTGTCCGGGGTAGGCAGTCATGGTAAATAAGAATTTGCTCTTAACTGACTTGCCTACTTAAGTAAAGGTACAAAATAAAAAACACTCTAAGATGCACACATCTTTGTGTATATTGTATGACAACAAACACATTTAAATTGAAATGGCACAATACAACAAAATATGTCCATAGTTTCTAGGTTATGACTGTTTTCTAGCTACTTTGTGATTTACCGGTAGCTGCTGAAAAAAGACAGTCAGTTGCACTTACTATGCAGGAAATCTTCACCTTTTCGCTATCTTTTTTCTAACAGCAATTTCAGGTTGTAGCCACCGAAAATGTGAACCCTATAGCACTGGAATCGAATATTGACGGTGCACTTACCACAGAAAAGCTGGATGGCACCTGCTGCTATGTTTCCATTTATAAAGGTGAGCTTTGAACTGCATAAATTAACATTGCAGCCCACACAGGTGGGTCTTCATTACATTTACATTTTAGTCATTTAGCAGACGCTCTTATCTAGAGCGACTTACAGTTTTAGTGAGTGCATACATTTTTCATACTGGCCCCCCGTGGGAAACGAACCCACAACCCTGGCGTTGCAAGCACCATGCTCTACCAACTGAGCTACAGGAGGCCCTTCATGCCCTCTTTATGGTTGAAATGAAGCTCCCTCATATCATATCAAATCAAATTGTATTTGTCACATACACGTGTTTAGCAGCTGGTATTGCAGGTGTAGCGAAATGCTAGTGCTTCTAGCTCCGACAGTGCAGTAAATGTCTAAACTGTAAATGGTTTATTTCTTTTACAGGGCAATCATATCTCTGGGCTCGACTAGACCGGAAGCCCACCAAGCAGGCAGACAAGAGGTTCAAGAAGCATCAGTATTCCCACAAAAGTTGCAAAGGTTTCACCTGGAATGTGAAAGAAGACTTTAAGATGGTTCCAGAGTCTTGGGTCCCAGCACACAGAGTTCAGCACCACAATGGACAGCCTGTACCAGATGAGCACGGACACATCCCAGGTGGGACACACTAAATAAGGACACACTCTTTGAGCTGGTTTCCCGGACACAGATTAGCCCTAGTCCTGGACTAAAAAGCCGGTCACTCACTCGCTTTTCACAATTTGCTATTTACTAACAGTATGTCCTTTTATATGGGAACTAAAATACTGATGGTACTTTCTCAATGTATGTTCAGGTTGGGTTCCTGTGGAGAAAGACAACAAGCAGTACTGTTGGCACTCCTCTGTTGTGGACTATGATGCTGGGGTAGCGCTGGTTCTGAGGCCCAGTGCTGAGAATGAAGACCTGCTAGAGATCACCATGATACCACTGGCTGATCTCCTGGAGCAAACCCTGGAGCTTATTGGAACCAACGTCAATGGGAACCCATATGGTAAATGTGACATACAGTCCAAGTCCTACACTGTACATGTACACATGCACTTCTGAACGTGGCCCCTTAGCAAGAGTATCTAAATAGTGTGTCGTTTCTGACAGGGATGGGAAGTAAAAAGCAGCCTGTCCACGTCCTGGTTGCCCATGGAAGTGTGCGCATCAGGAACCCTCCCCCGGTGGACTACCAGCAGTTGTGTTCCTGGTTCCAAGACAATCAGGAGGGCCGTGTTGAGGGGATCGTCTGGCACTGTAATGACGGGACCCTGGTCAAGGTAAGCGCTCTAGGGGCGCCTATTATGCAATTAAATTGAGACTTGGACTGTGGTATGTCTTCAGTGTTCCCCCCTCTCTCAATATCAGCTATAATGTTGTCTTTTTGATTATGTCCTGATTTTAGTATTTGATATTTTTGATTACTTAGCATGTTGGCATGGTTCCCTCAACTATGAGATTCAATTTAGCTCAGGTTTTATCGATCAGTAAAAAAAAAAAATAAGGGTGTTATTTTGTTTACTCCAGATCAGGAGCTTTGACATTTTAAGTGGTAAAACCAGTGTGTGTGTGTTTGTTTTGGCTGTAGCTCCATCGTCATCACCTGGGGCTGAGATGGCCGGACGGCGACACCATCCTGAACGCTCGGCCTGTGGTCGTCCACGTCGACGGGACCATACGAGAGTATGACATCACCAGCAAGGACTTGTTTACATCTCTCTCCCAGTTAAACGGACATCGCTTCAGCAGACTGCAGGACATCCAGTTTGACCCTTAACCTTAATTTAACCAGGAAGTCCCATTTAGGTCAGAAGACCTTTGTCCCTAAATCCACCAGGAGCCGCCCGGAATCTTAAGAAACATTCCTGTTTGTAATAGTCCGTGAGTCAGTGAGGTTGGTCAGGCTCACTTGGGGTAACAATGTCTCATAGTGATTTTTTGAAGGTCTATGTCCCTAGAGTTGAAAATGTGTGACAGCAATGGCAGCTTTCTGTATTATCACTCCAACCCATGTATTCTTCCCATAGGGATTTTACCCTATGACAAACAATGTCAGTATACAACAAGTTATTGCTCACGTATACCCTGTAATCATATAGCATTGGAAAGCTTAGATTCACAGCTATCCATCAGATACATTCTCGCAATGTTCAGGTCAACAGAACTTTGACCTCTATGGTACATATTAGATGTACCTGTATAAATTGCTTTAAAAAGGAAATCCTGATACATTTTAAACTTTGTTTAACAAAGGTCATGAAATAACATTTCAAATTATATATAATATAACCAACTTTGAATGCGCTAGCTACAACTATTTAAAAAAAATCTCCCATATTGTGCCATTGACATTAGAATGTTTTAAGCTTAACCATTGAAGTACATATAATGGGGCAGCTATGTTTTTGGATTGTAACTTTGGTGATGGAAGCACCACATTTCACACGCTCAGCTAGAACAGGGTTTAAAAAAATATTTGTAGGTACAGGCCCATTACAGGATTCATGCATTAACCCCACAGAAGCCTTTTTCCAATATGGCCGCCAAACAACTCAATTGGGTCTTATTGGATACATTTAGCATTACCATACCTGTATGAAATATAGTTGTATTATGCCCAATAATAACCAAATTAACCAGGTGTGCCAGATATATAAATATGTTAAATTATTGACAGAATTGTGGTAAGAATTGCTGATTTCTGAAGATTTTATGATCAATAATTGCAATATTTAATCTCCAAACCTTTAAAATTGATTTATACATGTAAATAGTCATGGATGTGGGCTGATTTAAAATGATATACAATGTTATCCTATTAACTGTTTTAATTATGAGGACTATAAACCTGCCATGTACATTCCATTACAATGTAGTCAAATCCTATGTTGGGCCTGTTGAGGTTATACTTTTAGTATTCTAGTCGCAGACCAACCTGCTATGGCCCTATAGAATACATCTTGATTTAGACTATGTGTAATGGTTTGCTGCTCTCATCATCCAGATATTAGGTTAAAACGTATTGGCATTCCTATGGAATTTTACATTGTAATGTTTCCAGTCCTCTGTTAATGAAAACAGTTAATATCATTTTCATCAGCTCACATCCATGGCTATTCACATGTACATATCCATTTTACATGTTTGAAGATTAAATATTGCAATTACTGATCATAACATCTTTGGAAATCAGTGATTCGGACAACTTCTTGGGCACATTCTAACCACTATTATGTCAATAATTTAACATTGTTATATATCTGGCACACCTGGCTAATTTGGTTGTGTATTCTACATCACTACGAACATTTTAAGATATTATTGGGCATACTAGAATTATTTCATACAGGTATGGTAATGCAACATTTATCCAATAAGACCCTATTTAGTTGTTTGGTGGCCATATTGGGAAAATAATTCTGTGGGGTTAATGCGTGAATCTGGTGATGGCCCTGAACACTCCAAGAATGTATCTGATGGAACACACAGAAAGCTACCATTGCTGCACTACTATCACACATTTTTCAACTCTAGGGACACAGACCATAAAAAAAATCACTGCGACATCGTCACCCCAAGTGAGCCTGGCTCCAGGACTGTAAACTTCCATACTGTATTACCATTAGTATGGTTGAACCAGACTGAATAGTGAGTGCAGCGTTCAATCTGGTTTAACCAGGCTATATGTCTTCCAATACAGTGGGGAAAAAAGTATTTAGTCAGCCACCAATTGTGCAAGTTCTCCCACTTAAAAAGATGAGAGAGGCCTGTAATTTTCATCATAGGTACACGTCAACTATGACAGACAAAATGAGAAAACAAAATCCAGAAAATCACATTGTAGGATTTTTTATGAATTTATTTGCAAATTATGGTGGAAAATAAGTATTTGGTCAATAACAAAAGTTTCTCAATACTTTTATATACCCTTTGTTGGCAATGACACAGGTCAAACGTTTTCTGTAAGTCTTCACAAGGTTTTCACACACTGTTGCTGGTATTTTGGCCCATTCCTCCATGCAGATCTCCTCTAGAGCAGTGATGTTTTGGGGCTGTCGCTGGGCAACACAGACTTTCAACTCCCTCCAAAGATTTTCTATGGGGTTGAGATCTGGAGACTGGCTAGGCCACTCCAGGACCTTGAAATGCTTCTTCCGAAGCCACTCCTTCGTTGCCCGGGCGGTGTGTTTGGGATCATTGTCATGCTGAAAGACCCAGCCACGTTTCATCTTCAATGCCCTTGCTGATGGAAGGAGGTTTTCACTCAAAATCTCACGATACATGGCCCCATTCATTCTTTCCTTTACACGGATCAGTCGTCCTGGTCCCTTTGCAGAAAAACAGCCCCAAAGCATGATGTTTCCACCCCCATACTTCACAGTAGGTATGGTATTCTTTGGATGCAACTCAGCATTCTTTGTCCTCCAAACACGACGAGTTGAGTTTTTACCAAAAAGTTATATTTTGGTTTCATCTGACCATATGACATTCTCCCAATCCTCTTCTGGATCATCCAAATGCACTCTAGCAAACTTCAGACGGGCCTGGACATGTACTGGCTTAAGCAGGGGGACACGTCTGGCACTGCAGGATTTGAGTCCCTGGCGGCGTAGTGTGTTACTGATGGTAGGCTTTGTTACTTTGGTCCCTGCTCTCTGCAGGTCATTCACTAGGTCCCCCCGTGTGGTGGTTCTGGGATTTTTGCTCACCGTTCTTGTGATCATTTTGACCCCACGGGGTGAGATCTTGCGTGGAGCCCCAGATCGAGGGAGATTATCAGTGGTCTTATATGTCTTCCATTTCCTAATAATTGCTCCCACAGTTGATTTCTTCAAACCAAGCTGCTTACCTATTGTAGATTCAGTCTTCCCAGCCTGGTGCAGGTCTACAATTTTGTTTCTGGTGTCCTTTGACAGCTCTTTGGTCTTGGCCATAGTGGAGTTTGGAGTGTGACTGTTTGAGGTTGTGGACAGGTGTCTATTATACTGATAACAAGTTCAAACAGGTGCCATTAATACAGGTAACGAGTGGAGGACAAAGGAGCCTCTTAAAGAAGTAGTTACAGGTCTGTGAGAGCCAGAAATCTTGCTTGTTTGTAGGTGACCAAATACTTATTTTCCACCATAATTTGCAAATAAATGCATTAAAAATCCTACAATGTGAATTTCTGGATTTTTTTCCTCAATTTGTCTGTCATAGTTGACGTGTACCTATGATGAAAATTATAGGCCTCTCTCATCTTTTTAAGTGGGAGAACTTGCACAATTGGTGGCTGACTAAATACTTTTTTTCCCCACTGTATGAACGAACCTGCCCAATAAAAGGCCTGTAAATATATCGAATTTGTGTAGCCTAAGTATCATGTAAGTTAATATATTTATTTTTTAAACCAAATACCTATTTCAAAAGCTGTTCCAAACTGTCTTTGCCCTTAAATTAAAAGCACAATTCGGTCATTGTAGTCACTGATGTACACATACAATGCACATTAAATCTACTTTATTGATAGAAGTAACGCGATAGAAACTGTATCAAACACAATCTAGCCTGTATACAGTGCCTTCAGAAAGTATTCACACCACTTTAGTTTTTACACATTTGTTGTGTTACAGCCTGAATTTAAAATGGATTTAGATTTTGTGTCACTGGCCTACACACACTACCCCATAATGTCAAAGTGAAATTATTATTTTAGATTTTAGTTGTTTTTTTAAACAAATTAATTAAAAATGAAAAGCTGAAATGTCTTGAGTCAATAAGTATTCAACCCCTATGTTATGGAAAGCCTAAATAAGTTCAGGAGTAAAAGTTTGCTTAACAAGTTACATAAGTTGAATGGACTCACTGTGTGCAATAAGTGTTTAACATGATTTTTGAACTATTACCTCATCTCTGTACCCCACACATACAACTATCTGTAATGTCCCTCAGTTGAGCAGTGGATTCCATTTGTTTAGATTTTATTTTTCCTTTTCTCTCCATCCTTCAAAACAAATGTATACAAACAGTAACCACATCTCTTCTGCGCAGACCTGCATCACACCCCCATTCCCATCATCGCTTGCCACCTGGTCCTAAATTGCACCAATTTGTTATTCTCAGTCGCCCATGCTATTTCAATAATAAATCATTAGATTTTTCCATTGTGTCAATGATAGCGGATTGTTTGACTTCCAAGTTTTAAATATCATTTTTTTCAAAATGAGTGATGAGAAAATAATCGTCCAGCCCATTGGGTATCTCACTATACCCCCATATGTCATGTCTTCTAATACTTCTGACTTTCTAGCTCCGCCCAGCTGTGACATTGAGCAGTGAATGTCAAACACAGATTCAACCACAAATACCAGTAAGGTTTTCCAATGCCTCGCAAAAAAGGGCACCTATTGATCGGTAAAAATAAAAAAGCAGTGTTGAATATCCCTTTGAGCATGAAGTAGTTATTAGTTACACTTTGGATGGTGTCACTACAAAAAGACAGGCATCCTTCCTAACTAAGTTGCCAGAGATGAAGGAAACTGCTCAGGGATTTCACCATGCCATTGGTGACTTAAAAACAGTTACAGAGTTCAACGGCTGTGATAGGAGAAAACCGGATGGATCAACAACATTGTAGTTACTCCACATTACTAACCTAAATGACAGAGTGAAAAGAAGGAAGCCTGTACAGAATAAAAATATTCAAAAACATGCATCCTGTTTGCAATAAGGCACTAAAGTAAAACTGCAAAAAAATGTGGCTAAGAAATTAACTTTATGTCCTGAATACAAAGCTTTATGTTTAGGGCAAATCCAACAACACATCACTGAGTACCACTCTTTATATTTTCAAGCATGGTGGTGGCTGCATCATGTTATGGGTCTGCTTGTCATCGGCAAGGACTAGGGAGGTTTTTGGGATAAAAATAAAAGGAATAGAGCTAAGCACAGACAAAATCCTAGAGGAAAACCTGGTTCAGTCTGCTTTCCAACAGACACTGGGAGACAAATTCACCTTTCAGCAGGACAATAACCTAAAACACAAGGCCAAATATACACTGGAGTTGCTTACCAATAAATTGAATGTTCCTGAGTGGCCTAGTTACAGTTTTGACTTAAATTGGCTTGAAAATCTATGGCAAGACTTGAAAATGGCTGTCTAGCAATGATCAACAACCAACTTGACAGAGTTTGAATAACTTAAAAAAGAATAATGTGCAAATATTGTACAATCCAGGTTTGCAAAGCTCTTAGAGACGTACGCAGAAAAAGACAGCTGTAATCACTGCCAAAGGGGATTCTAACATGTATTGACTGACTCAGGGGTGTGAATACTTATGCAAATGAGATATTTATGTACTTCATTTTCTATACATTTGCAAACATTTCAAAAAAATGTTTTTCACTTTGTCATTATGGTAGATGGATATATATTTTAAAAATGTTTTATCCATTTTGAATTCAGGTTGTAACACAACAAAATGTGGAATAAGTCAAGGGGTATGAATACTTTCTGAAGGCACTGTATACAAATGTACAAAACTATTTGACAAGTATGTAAAATCCCTGCTACATTGTCTGAACAAAACAAAACATTCACAAAGCTGCCTCAGGAGGAGAAACACAATTACATTCAACTTAATCTTTTAGATGACATTCACATTAAAACAAAATAAATACTATATATTTAAGACATTTAATGGTTTAAACGGCACAATATCCATCCTGTGTTAGCTGATGGACACATCAGGGATATCTGCAGCTGCTACACCAAACTGTTCACACACTTTCTTCAGTTGCTCTTCCAGAACAATGTTCTTCTTCACCTCCAGATTGTAATTGAACTTCAGATCCTCGATCTCCTCAAAGAATGTTGGGTCAAAGTTCTCCAGTTCCATCTTCATCTTTTTCACTTCGGCCTGGAATCGGGAAGGTAATAAAAAATATGTTCACAGAGGAATAGATTAGAACAAGCCATTCTTACTTTTCTTCACTCAAAACAACCCAAATAGATGAGGAATAGATCACAGAAGTCACAATACCTGCAACTGCCTTTTTTCCTCACCAGTGGCCTTCAGCAGGGCTTGTAGCTCCTCATACCCTGACGACAAAAAGATGACACACTTGTTGATGTGCATATTGTGCTAGTTAGCTACTGCGCCTATTCAGGTTCTGCATGATTCCTGAACAGGACAAGTTTAGTTTGACATCACAGAACACGCATGAACACATCAATAATACACATCTTCCATCTTGAAGTGGAAACTTGTCAAACAGGACCACATTGCCTTTACATGTCTAAACTGGCCCAGCAGAGGTTGGCTCATATTCTTAGTGTACTCACTGCGCTTCTGTACCAGCGCTTCCTTCTCCCTCTCCAGCTGGTTATTGGTCAATCTAAAGACAAAACGGGATAGACATTCCTGTGGGTGACTAACGGAGGGCAAATCAAACGTCTAATTTTCATGAACAAATATGACCCATCCGTGTAGTAATGGATATTACAAACATACATTCTGTTTTCAATTCCCTTCACTTTGTTGTTTACATTTGATAATGCATTCCCATGTTAGCTATGTGTGAACCATACGTTTGTAATGCTATGGTATGCAAAGGCAATCAGGTTAGATGCATCACAGGTTTGTCTACATTGAAGAGCTGGCCTATGGGATATATTCACCTTGTTGACTGGAACTCCTTGGCGAGGCCTGACTCAGTGTTTGCTGCGGTGGGAAAGTTGTTCAACAGCTCCACCTTCCGAACAAAAACAAATGTTTTCACCACCATAAAAATAATGCAGCATAGTACTAGAATGCTACTTAATTTTCTTTATATAAACCATCTGGTTTGATTGGCCCAGAACGACAAGTGCACCAGCTTCATATGGCACCCTATTCCCTATGTAGTGCACTACTTTTGACCAGAGCCCTATGAGCCCTGGTTAATAGTATTGCACTATATAGGGAATAGGGTGCCATTCAAGACTCAGACATTGAGAAAAATGAAGAACCGCACAGTGATTTCACAGTCTACGCAATCAGAGCTACGGAGCTCCGTTTGCGTCGCGTTCCAAAAATTCAGCCGCACAAGAGTATGTAGAACTACGTAGAGAGCTACGCAAACAAAGCTACGTCAGATCCGTTGCGTAGACTGTGTGGAGCCCTTACGCTTACCTGCTCCTGTAGTTGGCTGGCGACTCGATGTGCTCTCTCCTCCCTCTCACTGGCCTCTCGCAGCTGCAGCCTGAGCTCTGAGAGACTGGAGTTCTTCTGGCTGATGTCCTGCTCCAGCGCTTTCATCTTACTCTCAAACATCCTAAAGGAAGGGAGGGAAACCAACCTCTTTCAGTCAGCCATCTAGTTTCAAGACATCCCACTCTAGCCTACGTTGGCTTGGTATTCTACCTAGATAGAGAGTGATGGAGTGCTGCATAAGATGACCTGGCCTTCACAATCCCCCGACCTCAACCAAATTGCGATGGTTTGGGATGAGTCGGACCGCAGAGTGAAGGAAAAGCAGCCAACAAGTGCTCAGCATGTGTGGGAGCTACTTCAAGGCAAAGGGTGGCTACTTTGAAGAATCTCAAATATAAAATATTTTTGATTTGTTTAACACTTTTTGGGTTACTACATGATTCCATACGTGTTATTTCATAGTTTTGATGTCTTCACTATTATTCTACAATGTAGAAAATAGTCAAAATAAAGAAAAACCCTTGAATGAGTAGCTGTTCTAAAACCTTTGACCGGTAGTATATATAAAATAATATACAGTACCAGTCAAAGGTTTGTATACACCTACTCATTCAAGGGTTTTTCTTTATTTTGATTATTCTCTACATTGTAGAATACATTTTACATTTATGTCATTTAGCAGACGCTCTTATCCAGAGCGACTTACAGTTAGTGAGTGCATACATTTTCATACTGGCCCCCCGTGGGAATCGAACCCACAACCCTGGCGTTGCAAGCGCCATGCTCTACCAACTGAGCTACACGGGGCCACCACGTGGAATCATGTAGTAACCAAAAAAGTGTTAAACAAATCAAAATATATTTTATATTTGAGATTCTTCAAAGTAGCCACCCTTTGCCTTGATGACAGCTTTGCACACTCTTGGCATTCTCTCAACCATCTTCATCTGGAATGCTTTTCCAACAGTCTTGAAGGAGTTCCCACATATGCTGAGCACTTGTTGTCTGCTTTTCCATCACTCTGCGTTCCAACTTATCCCAAACATCTCAATTGGGTTGAGGTCGGGTGAATGTGGAGGCCAGGTCATCTGATGCAGCACTCCATCACTCTCCTTCTTGGTCAAATAGCCCTTACACAGCCTGGAGGTGTGTTGGGTCATTGTCCTGTTGAAAGCGCAAACCAGATGGGTGGCGTATCGCTTCAGAATGCTGTGGTAGCCATGCTGGTTAAGTGTGCCTTGAATTCTAAATAAATCACAGACAGTGTCACCAGCAAAGCACCCCCACACCATAACACCTCCTCCTCCATGCTTCACGGTGGGAACCACACATGTGGAGATCATCCGTTCACCTACTCTGCGTCTCACAAAGACACGGCGGTTGGAACCAAAAATCTCAAATTTGGACTCATCAGACCAAAGGACAGATTTCCACCGGTCTCATGTCCATTGCTCGTGTTTCTTGGCCCAAGCAAGTCTCTTCTTCTTATTGGTGTCCTTTAGTAGTGGTTTCTTTGCAGCAATTCAACCATGAAGGCCTGATTCACGCAGTCTCCTCTGAACAGTTGATGTTGAGATGTGTCTGTTACTTGAACTCTGTGAAGCATTTATTTGGGCTGCAATCTGAGGTGTAGTTAACTCTAATGAACTTATCCTCTGCAGCAGAGGTAACTCTGGGTCTTCCTTTCCTGTGGCGGTCCTCATGAGAGCCAGTTTCATCATAGCGCTTGATGGTTTTTGCGACTGCACTTTAAGAAACTTTCAAAGTTCTTGACATTTTCCAGATTGACTGACCTTCATGTCCTAAAGTAATAATGGACTGTCATTTGTCTTTGCTTATTTGAGCTTTTCTTGCCATAATATGGACTTGGTCTTTTACCAAATAGGGCTATCTTCTGTATACCCCCCCACCTTGTCACAACACAACTGATTGGCTCAAACGCATTAAGAAGGAAATAAATTCCACAAATTAACTTTTAACAAGGCACACCTGTTAATTGAAATTCATTTCAGGTGATTACCTCATGAAGCTGGTTAAGAGAATGCCAAGAGTGTGCAAAGCCGTCATCAAGGCAAAGGGTGGCTACTTTGAAGAATCTCAAATATATAAATATATAAAAATATATATATATAAAATATAAAATATATTTTGATTTGTTTAACACTTTTTTGGTTACTACATGATTCCATATGTGTTATTTCATAGTTTTGATGTCTTCACTATTATTCTACAATGTAGAAAATAGTCCAAATAAAGAAAAACCCTGGAATGGGTAGGTGTGTCCAAACTTTTGACTGGTACTGTATATATTTTTAAATAATAGCCTATAATCTTGGTGAATTTACAATCAACAAAATAAACTCTAGACAATCAGGCCCACATTGATTTTGTTACAATGTCTGAGCATAAACACAGCATTAGTCATGTTAGCTTAACTGCAACATTTTCTCTTAGCTTTTTGGCAAAATTAAAATGTTCTCTAAAACTACAAAATGTTCTCTCTGCTGCCAAGATTATATATTTTTTTACTTTATTCTTTGGTCTGTGTATGTGTTTTCACCGCTCAACCCTTATGGTGGGTCGTGACTCAAAAGACACCTCAATTGGTGGGTCACGAAGCAAAAATTTTTAGAACCCCTGCTCTAGGTTATACATTAAGTAGTTACAGTCCAAGAAACAGGGTTAGTGAGTTCGCTCGTGTCTTTTGGTCAGATGAGGACTGAGTGGTTGACTTCGTCCATTTCAACAGATCCCTCACCTTGTTACCACAGTAGCCTTCCAGGTCTTACTGTCGACCCCCTCAGGGATGACTCTGGACTGGGCTGCCACTAGCCGTTGTCTGGCCTCCTCCAGCTCAGCCTCCAGCTTCTCATTGGTCATCTCCAGACTGGTCTTGGCCACCTTCAGCCTCTCCGCAGCCTCAGTCTCCTGCAACAAAAAAATTAAAATGAGTCCTGAGACTTGACTAAATGTTGTAACTATGCATACCATGAAAAAGGGATGGGGCAGGACACATACCCTTTTAATCTCTTTGCGTAAACGTTCGTTTTCCATCACAATTTTCTCTACTCCTTTGGTTTTGGTCTCTAGTCTGGAGCTCAGCTGTGCTTCGGTGTTTCCCTTGAGCTTCTCGTAATCGTTCTAGAGAAGACAGAGAGCAAGAGGACAAAATCTATTTTTTAAACATTTGAACTTGAACAGCTCCACTGGTTGTTAAAAATGGAATAGGACATCTCATGCCCTATTACACAAGTAGTTCAACAAGAGTTCACCTTGAGTTTTTCATGTTTGCGCTCCAGAGCTGTGAGCTGTTCCTGACTCAGTGCTGCTGGAGTTTTCTTCAGCGTCTCGTTCTCCTTCTGCACCCTCTCCACCACTCTCTTCATCAGCCCGATGGTCTTCTCCAACTCTGGCACAGTTTTACCGCTGCGACCCGCCTACAGTGGACAGGAAAGAGTTTCATTCAGTCATGTGATCCAGTTGTTGTATCATACACTTTTACTAGATGGTTAAATTGACTGTAAAGTGAGAACCTCTCTACGTGCCAAGTCAGTAAAACAAGAGTGAACACAGGCAGGTGTCATAGATAGAGTAGACTTACAGCCTGACGACATGGGAATACAACATCTGTATACACCGAGTGTACAAAACATTAAGAACACATGTACATTTACGTCACCTTCCTACTATTGAGTTGCAACCCCCCCCTTTCCCTCAGAACAGCCTCAATTCGTTGGGGCATGGACTCTACAAGGTGTCGAAAGCATTCCACAGGGATGCTGGCCCTTGTTGACTCCAATGCTTCCCACAGTTGTGTCAAGTTGGCTGAATGTCCTTTGGGTGGTGGACCATTCGTGATACACACGGGAAACTATTGAGCGTGAAAAAACGAGCAGTGTTGCAGTTCTTGACACAAACCGGTGCGCCTGGCACCAACTACCATACCCCGTTCAAAGACACTTCAATCTGTTGTCTTGCCCATTCACCCTCTGAATGGCATACATACACAATCCATGTCTCAATTGTCTCAAGGCTTAAAACTCCTTCTACACTGATTTAAGTGGATTTAACAAGTGACATCAATAAGGGATCATAGCTTTCACCTGGATTCACCTGGTCTGTCTATGTTATGGAAAGAGCAGGTGTTCTTAATGTTTTGTACACTCAGTGTACACAAGCAGAGATTAAAGCAAAAAAATAATTTAAGTCGATCTCAGATCGGTGGGCAAACCTTTTGGCTCGAGAGCCACATTGGGATTTCGAAATTCAACGGAGGGCCTTTTTTTATGACTGATTTGTTTCTCAAAATCGATTTACTGGCCATAAAAACGTGCAGTTATTTGAAAATATATAGGTCCATTATAATTTCTACATACTTTCTATCTAGTTTTATACATTCAAGTGTGGCCTGGAGTGTTCTTTAACCCTAAATAATAACCCCCCCCCAAAAAAAATTATTTTCTATACTCAAACCTCATGCGTCATCCATATGACTAAAATCGACTAGGATAGACCTACCCCACGGACGTGGCCCAGTTTTTTCTCCACCTCAGCCTTTTCCTTCTTCAGAACATTGTACATCTCTTTGAGGTCTGCAACTTGGTCCTATCAGTTAAGTAGAGAGGGTATCATTGGATAAGCTGGATAAGCTGGAAAACAAACATCTCTGGCAGATCTGAATAGACCAAAGGTCTTAAAATCCCCCTATCCACTGAGGTCTTAACCTGTTGCTTGAACTTAGTTCCAGGGCTTAAGTTATTGGGCTTCAAGGCCCCAGTTGAAAGGGAGCTAATGATCTGCAGCTTTGTTTTTAGTTAAATCCCCCGAAAATGTATCTACCATACCTTTAGTCTGGGCAGGTCCTTGTTGGCCTGTTCCAGTTGAAAGCGGAGCTCCAGGTTCTCTGAGGAAAGCTTCAGGTTCTCTCTTTGAAGCTCGTGCTCTTTCTGCGAGGGGGTGCCTGAACCTCTCCCTGATGTCTGAAAGAAAATAAATAACAAAAAAAACATGTATGCACTCACTAACTGTAAGTCGCTCTGGATAAGAGTGTCTGCTAAATGACTAAAATGTAATGTAAATGTCACGCTTACACAATCAGAATGTGACTAAGCAAAAAAAGAACAATTTATTGGGAGAGAAGGAAGGAGAGATGAAGGGAGCAAATAAATTAAGTGTAAGGTGGTGACCACGTGGATAAACATACAAAAACGTAGCGCCTAGGACTGGAATGAGGTACTGTACACAGACTGGGAGCCTAATATTCTATCAAGCCAAACACTGCGGGTAGATGTGGCACTTTCTGCTAGCTCAAACACTCCACTAGCATCTTGGCAGGGTGGAAGCCAGGGGCAGCCTTTGGTACCTTATGAGTTTGGGGATTCAAAGATTTGGCCTTTTGTCTTATCTTCTTAATGTCATTGGTAATGACCTCGGAATCCAGCTCGGCGCCATGGATACTCTCCGAAGCAAACTCGAGCTTGCTGTCGGTGATATCATCAATGTAGAGTTCCTTGATGATAAAACTGTCAGAGACGCCATCAATGAGGTCTGCACTGGGGTCGACGTCCAGCTCCATTATGACGTCCTCTTCTTTTCTGACCGTTTCCTCCACTGTCCCACTTAATTTCCATCTCCACCTCCCTCTGTGTCTCCATCTCTTCCATCTCTGTCTCCCCCTGTATCCTCTGCATTATCTGTACCCATCACACTACCTGGCTTGTTCAGATGCAGGTTTAGCTGACTCAGGCCTCTCAGAGGTTGATGGCTCACTCTGGACTCTGGGATGTAGGGGTTTTGGATCGTAGAAATAGATTGAATAGAATGGGTGTCCCCATTCAAGTCAATTATGGCATAATGGGTGGACTGGCGGCCATTGCGAGTGTACCCATAGGAGCAAAGCAGGAAGTAAAAAAATAAAAAAGGAATTGTATGGTACACTTCTTAAAATATTTTTTTAACTTCCTGCTTTGCTCCTATGGGTACCCATCAATATGTGCTGCAATTTGTTGATTCTACTCAACTGAAATTACAAAAAATCCATTCCATCGCATGAGCCACATCAGTTAACATCATTTGAATGAACATTCTACATTACCATGGAAATTATTGCATCACAATACCATGCAGCCATTGTGAGTGTACCTATGAGTTCACCAGTCAAATTGCCAGGGTTAGAGGTTCCAAGCCTGTTCTATTCATTCTATTTCTATGCTTTGGGTATACTCAAATCCAGCACAGTGTCACTTGTAGAATCCTGTCTGGCAATGAGATTCTCCTCTGTGGTTATGTCCACTAGTTCAGCAACAGCCACCTCATTGACATTCTCTGACACTGCGTGGCTTTTTTCCAGGTTCTCCTGCTGGGACTCTCTGTCAGCCGCTTCTGTTTTCCCCTGTTCTCCATCTCCCTCTCCTGCATCTTCAGTCTGTTCAAAATGTCCTCCCCCTCCAGCTGCTTCTGTTTTCCCCTGTTCTCCATCTCCCTCTCCTGCATCTTCAGTCTGTTCAAAATGTCCTCCCCCTCCAGTCTCTTCTGTTTTCCCCTGTTCTCCATCTCCCTCTCCTGCATCTTCAGTCTGTTCAAAATGTCCTCCCCCTCCAGTCTCTTCTGTTTTCCCCTGTTCTCCACTCTCTGCCCTGCTTGGTTTCTCTGTCTGCTCTGCCTCAGGTACACTGTCATTCGTTCCATCAAAGACTGTCTGGGTTTCTTTCTGCCCTTGGTTTGGGTGTATTGCCACCTCCTTGTGGGCTGACGTGCCATCTGTCTGACAGGCTACACTGTCATTGGCCAAGGAGGTCATGACCCTCTTTTTCTCATGGACGTCACCAACATCAAACGTCAGCGAACAATGCCCTTTCAAGGACATGGACGGGGAGACCAAACTTCTCCCCTCCTTCACGTGCATCGAATGGGATTGAGGAGTGGGTGGAAGAGAGAAGTAGAAAAGAGAATAAGAGATGAAGTGAAGATTCACAAAGAGAAAGAAAGTGTAGAAACCTAATGACTTAGTCACTGATGGCTTAAGTGTGAAATTAATGCAAAAATACATACATAGCGAGATGAAAGAGGGTTGACAATATTTTTAAACAGTGGTTGTCTGTTGTTTCTGAGTGAGTTTTCACAAACTTTCAAGGTCAAGCCCTGCAGTTTTAGTGTGTTTTCCTGTGTTTGTGTATAAAAGGTACTGCAGTCTCAGCTCATGTTTGGGTCAGTCAGTGTGTATCTTACAGAGGGCCTGGAGGTGGGGTCCTTGGACTTCTGGCTCTCCAGGGAGTGAAGCCTGTCCTCCAGGTAGCGGTTCCTCAAGTTCATGTCCTCCATGGCAGCATCTCTGGGTAGGGCCTGCTGCTGTCTGGAATGGACATAGAGGAAAATGTTAGTCCTACAAGGGTTGGTCTGGTTATACTACAATCACAAACTCTGCGAACATCACAAGAGATAATAGTGCTGTCGATGTGTTCCCACCATCTTAGTTATCCACAAAAAAAGCCCTATCTAGGCATATGTTCCTTAAATTCAAATTGAATCACGCTACATTTTGTTTTTTGATTCACTCCACTAAACTCAAACCTAACCATTTGTGATTTAAGGATTTTGAGCTACTAAAGAAAAATATTTGCTATTAAACGAACCAATAGCACAGGTTACATTACAATGTCTGAAACACCTACTTTATGGTGAGGATCTGTTGCTCCAGTTCAGCGTTCCTCCTCTTCAGCTCATCCAGGTCTTTCTCAGACTCCTGCGTCCTCACCCCCACCACCTGATCTGCCGTCACGCCACGACCTTTCAGTTTCCTCTGCAGACCTGCCTTCTCTTGCTCCAGTCTGAACACAAAGGGACAACCAGGGACATGGCACAACGTAAGACCATATGGCTAAGGGGTCTTGGAGTGAAGAGGGGAGTGAGTGAGTGTTCGATGTCTATTGTGTATGAGTAAGCAGGGTCATGTGTGCATGTGCGTCTGTGTCAGTTTAAATGTATGTGCTTATGTAACAGGGTTATTTTGGAGTACTGTTACACTTAGTGTGTCTTCATGGAGTGTGTGGGAAGTGTATGTTGTCTTATGGTGTGGCTACACCCCTTGCACCATGAGTGTGTTGGTTCTAACCTGGCGTAGAGCTCCTTGAGAGTACTCAGCTGCTTAGAGACATTCTCTGTTTCCCTCTCCTTCTCTTTCAGAATGTTCCTCACTTTCTCCATCCTGGCCTGCCACTTCTTTCCCTCCTCCCACCGCACTATCTCTTCTTTATTCGTCTGCAGGATAGATAGTGTGATTATGAGGCGGTGGATCTTCATGTCACATCATTTATGTTCGTTCCAATACTGAAATACCTTGTATTTGTGAATGTCCATGAAATACAGGAATTGAATTATAGGATCTCTATGGAGGATCTATAGGATCTCTATGGAGGATCTATAGGATCTCTATGGAGTCAACATGCAGTGGGACAGGGAGGGAGGGATATCAAATCAAATCAAATATTATTGTACACATATTTTGCAGATGTTATTGCGGATGTAGCGAAATGCTTATGTTCGTAGCTCCAACAGTGCAGTAATACCTAACAATACATGCAAATCCCAAAAAATAAAATAAAGGAATGAAGAAATATAGAAATATTAGAATGATCAATGTCAGAGTCCAAAATATAAACAGTACAGTATATGAAGGTGTGTATAGACATTATGGACAGTATATGCTAAATGACTAAAATGTCATGTAAATGTATATGAATAGAAAAGGTGTGTACAGTAGTAGTTATACAGGATGAGCCTTGACTAGAATACATTACATAAATGAGGTGGGTAAAACAGTATGTATTCACCTTGTCATCCTTTAGGCCAACACCTTTCCTCTCTGTTGTTGACTCTGGTACACCTCTCCTCTCCAGCTCCGACTCCAACTTACGGATCTTCTTCTGCAGTGCCTCTACTGTGGGACCCTTCCCCTCAGGCTCAGATTGACCCTGCACACAACACAGTCACAATTATTTACAAGCATCAACACACAAAGTTCAAAAACATATTTTTGACACACAGACGTGTGCGCACATGCAGACGCGCTCCCACATACACAATTTAAACAATTACATAGATTGATAACACAAATAGATTATCAATCAAACATACTAACAGAGCCCCCCCCTCAATCAATTTATATATTGCACAACTATTGTCCATCCAATTAGATTACATAATAATAATAAAATACGCACATTCCTATTCCCTAGCTTGCCGATTGTACACAGAAACGAGACTGTGTCACTGACCTGCAGTCCGCTGTTGAGCCTCTTGATTCGCTGTTTGAGTTCCTGGATCTCCTCGTCTCTCTCCTCATTCTCCCCCTGCAGCTTGCTCTGGGTCTTCAGGCTCTTCTGGAGGTCCCTGTTCAGGCCCTCCACCTCCTCCTTCAGTGTGTTCTCCCTCCCCCTCCCCGCCTTCACAGCCTCCTTCGCCCCCTGGAGCTCCTCGTTTAGCTCCTGCACACGAGCCTGATGGAAACAACCAGATTAACATATCTTGGTATGTATTCAAGGGATATACTGTGCCACTTGACAATATGTGGTCCTCTGTAGCTCAGCTGGTAGAGCACGGCGCTTGTAACGCCAAGGTAGTGGGTTCGATCCCCGGGACCACCCATACACAAAAATTTATGCACGCATGACTGTAAGTCGCTTTGGATAAAAGCGTCTGCTAAATGGCATATTATTATTATTATTATGTTAAAGTTATTCTGTATTGATAATTGGGATATAAAAACATTTGCAGTGTAACATGCTGATGTTGTGCCATGACTGGGAATCTTAACATTTATCAGGAAAGATCAACCCTCTATCACTTACGAGTGTTAGCAGATTGTGTTTTAAGCGTTTGAAATTATGTAAGTGTTAGTTCATGAGCACAGAAGCGATTAATAGCATGGTACCTAATATGCTTTGAGATTGAGAGAGTGATGGGGACCAACCTTGAGGTCCTTGGTATGCTTGTCTACCAGCAGCTGGACATTGAGGCTATCCTCTCTGTGAGATGCGTTGGCTATTATCTGCTGCTCCGCATGGGATGTCATCTCTGCCCTCAGCGCCAACAGGGCCTTACTCAGAGCCTGATAGAGAGAGAAAGGGGGAAGAAGGGAGAGAGAGATGGAGAGAGGAATAATATAGTTACGGTCTGTTTAGTCAGTCTATAGTGACGTTCCTATAAAATCAGGAAGAGTGTGGCAGACATGTTCATGCTCCCAAGATGCTGTAACTACACTGACGATACACAGGTACAGTTCTACAGAGCCAGACCAACAGATACAGTAGCGGCCAAATATATTAGCACCCTTGCACTTTTCTCAAATAATTCCCTACTTCTTCTCAAATGAGCAACAAATTAAAAAAAAACTTTGGTTCTCCACACCTTGCTATTGGAATTTCAACATTGCAGAACCAATTTTATTTTTGTCAACTTAAGTTTACCATTTTTATTTAGAAAATAAAGACAAATGGCATGGACAAACGTATTGGCACCCCGGAGATAGTACTTGGTTGCACAGCCTTTGGCCAAGATAACTGCCAACAAATGCTTCTTGTAGCCATCAATGAGCTTGCTGCACCTTTCTACTGGCAATTTGGCCCAATCTACAGCAGCAAACTGCTCTACTTCTTTAATATTTGAGGGGTGCACTCCACCAACTGCTGTTTTCAGCTCTCGCCATAGGTTATGGATGTGATTCAGATTTTGACTCTTCACTGGCCACTCCAGAACAGTACAGCGTTTCTTCTTGAACCATTCCAGGGTGCTTTATATGTGCGTTTGGGGTTGTTGTCCTGCTGCAAGATCCATAACCTTCAACAGAGAGACAGTTTTTGGACACTGGATTGAACATTGCACTCCAAAACACCTTAATAATCTACTGATTTAATATCTTGCACACATTCAAGGCCCCCCAGTACCAGAGGCAGCAAAGCAACCCCACAGTATCATTGTAGGTAGGGTGTTATTTTCTTTGAACGTTTCATTTGGTCATTGGTAAATATAGGAAGACCCCACTGCTGAAGGAGACACAAGAAAGCCTGATTGAACTTCTCAAAAACCCACCTAAACAAGCCTAAATCCTGGGGAAAATGTTCTGTGGACCAATTTAACAAAATTAGAGCTCTTTGGCAATACCGATTAGCACTGTGTTTACTGACGACCAAATTAAGTATTCAATTAAAGGAACACCCTCCCTACAATCAAAGATGGGGGAGGTTCAATAATGCTGTGGGGTTGCTTTGCTGCCTTTGGTACTGGGGGCCTTGAACATGCGCCAGGCATCATGAAATCAGCAGATTATCAGGAGTTTTGGAGTCCAATGTTCAACCCAGTGTCCAAAAACTGGGTCTCCATTGAAGGTTGTGGGTCTTCCAGCAGGACAACGACCCCAAACACACATCAAAAGCACCTAGGAATGGTTAAGAGATCCTGGAAGGTTCTGGAGTGGCCAGCGAAGATTTCAGATCTGAATCACATCCATAACCTATGGCAAGATCTGAAAACAGCAGTTGGTTGGGGGAACCCCTCAAAGATTGAAGAATTTGAGCAGTTTGCTGCTGAAAAGTGGGCAACATTGTCAGTAGAAAGGTGCAGAAAGCTCATTGATGGCTAGTGTTTGTCTGCAGTTATCTTGGCCAAAGGCTGTGCAACCAAGTACTATCTCCGGGGTGCCAATACGTTTGTCCATGCCATTTGTCTTTATTTTCTCAATTAAAATTGTAAACTTAAGTTTACAAAAATAAAATTGGTTCTGCAATGTTGAAATTCCAATAACAAGGTGTGGCAGGTAGCTTAGTGGTTAAGAGCGTTGTGCCAGGAACCGAAAGGTCGCTGGTTCTAATCCGACTAGGTGAAACATCTGTCGATGTGCCCTTGAGCAAAGGCACTTAACCCCAATTGCTCCTGTAAGTCTCTCTCGATAAGAGCGTCTGCTAAATTCCCCCCCCCTCCAAAAAAAATACAAATAATCAATCACATTTATTTATAAAGCCCCTTTTCACATTTACATTTTAGTCATTTAGCAGACGCTCTTATCCAGAGCGACTTACAGGTAGTGAGTGTATACATTTTATTTATTTTTCATACTGGCCCCCCGTGGGAATCGAACCCACAACCCTGGCGTTGCAAGCGCCATGCTCTACCAACTGAGCTACACAGTGCTTATACAGAAACCCAGCTTAAAACCCAAAAGAGCAAGCAATGCAGATGTAGAAGCACAGTGGCTAGGAAAAACTCCCTAGAAAGGCAGGAACCTAGGAAGAAACCTAGAGAGGCACCAGGCTCTGAGGGGTGGCCAGTCCTCTTCTGGTTGTGCCGGGTGGAGATTATAAGAATGATTTAAGAAAAGTGCAAGGGTGCCAATATATCTGGCCACAACTGTATCTTCCTATTCTTCACCTTCAGTTGTTTCTCTTTCTGGTTGAGCTGTGCTTTGAGTCTCTCCACCAGGTTCTTCATGGTGTTGCTGGGCGAGCGGACGTTGGCCTGTTTCTGTGCCTCCAGCTCTGTGCGGAGGTAGTGCAGCTCCTTCTCCATGTGACCCAGCTGAGCCCGCTGCTCCTCAGCCTCCCCTGACAGGGCCTTGGCCTGGGCTGCATGACGTTCCTCCAGCCTGGAACACACAGTGGGGTTAAGCTAAACACAGGGCACAGGTCAAATTGGTTAAACACAGTTTGTATAGATAGGATGAAATTATCGACAAAGACAACTGAATAATACATATTTTGTGAGTTAAACATGCCTAATCCTAGCTTAGATATAGCTTCATCATTGACTGTTTCTTGCTACCTTTTTCCTAGGCCTGGGATACCATCAAATTCACTTTTCCTGATCACGTACAGTAGGCCAACGTAAATGCAGATCTCAATTCTCAATTACATGACAGATCAGGTAAACAATGTATGCAGCTTAGCACTGAGTATCTTTGGTGTGCATCTTGAGCCGGCCAGTGACTTACTTAGCCCTCTCTGAGGCATGCTCCTTGGCCTGCATGGCTGTGAGGTTCCTCTGCCTGTCCAGCTCTGCAGTGAGGCCCTTCAGCCGGTCGGTCAGGGAGGACAGAGAGCGGTCTTGTTCCACCACCGTCTGCTCCATCTCAGCCAGGCGAACCAGGTGCTTGGTGGTCGGCACCGTGATGGTGGGCTTCTTCATTAAATCCTGGGGACGACAAGGAGAAGAACAGAAGAGATTTTTGGGTCGTTCCACGAAAAGAGAGCCTTTTGCATCCCTTTGATATTTTAAGTAGAAATTGTGCACCAATATTGCATTTTAAATGTCTGTTATATTATGTGCTTGACAAGTCATTTCTAGATTATATTATTTAATGTGATATGATCATTACGTCGCACTCTTTAAGGCAACCGGTTACAGAACGACTCCGTGAATCTAAAAAAAAAAAAAAAAAAAAAAAAAAAAAAAAATGAAATCTATATCAATCTAGTGTAAAGCAGTGATGTCACTTTTTTGGCCATTTCGGTGTTTGTGAGGAAAACTGAGCGGGTTGAGCACAAAACTCAACCCGGCTTTACCTAGATACAAGGCGAAATTTTTAGCATTCATTGGGGGTGTATCTTCATTCAATCCACTCCCTTGCCACAAAAACTTCATTAATTACATTTACATTTACATTACTACGTCATTTAGCGCGTATCCGAGCGATTACAATTGTGCTACCTATAAGTGGATACCTTTAATATAAGTTTATTTATGTTTTTTGGGGGGGGGGGGGGGGTCCAGGTATTCTTATCTATCCAGGTATTCCTTTAAAGAGGTGGGGTTTCAAATGTCTCCGGAAGGTGGTGAGTGACTCCGCTGTCCTGGCGTCGTGAGGGAGCTTGTTCCACCATTGGGGTGCCAGAGCAGCGAACAGTTTTGACTGGGCTGAGCGGGAACTATGCTTCCGCAGAGGAAGGGGAGCCAGCAGGCCGGAGGTGGATGAACGCAATGCCCTCGTTTGGGTGTAGGGACTGATCAGAGCCTGAAGGTACGGAGGTGCCGTTCCTCTGTAGCTCAGCTGGTAGAGCACGGCGCTTGTAACGCCAAGGTAGTGGGTTCGATCCCCGGGACCACCCATACACAAAAATGTATGCACGCATGACTGTAAGTCGCTTTGGATAAAAGCGTCTGCTAAATGGCATATTATGTTATTATATTATATGCTCCATAGGCAAGCACCATGGTCTTGTAACGGATGCGAGCTTCAACTGGAAGCCAGTGGAGTGTGCGGAGGAGGGGGGTGACGTGAGAGAACTTGGGAAGGTTGAACACCAGACGGGCTGCGGCATTCTGGATGAGTTGTAGGGGTTTAATGGCACAGGCAGGGAGCCCAGCATTACCCCTGTCACAACGGGATTTATGGCAGATTTAAGATGAAATCGTCAACCCAGTTATGGTCAACCGTGTTACGGTCAACCCAGTTACTTTATTTGGCATTACTACTGTAATTTTTTTGAGATGGGAAAACATGTTCTTTTTATGACAGAATGTAAAAATTTGGTGAAATCAAACGTTTATTTTGACCAAGATACACTTTTCAAAAGGCACCGAATTGGTGGAACGATCCTTTTACTGGGACAAGGTCTACCCAAATAAAGAACAGTGAGAGACATCATAAAAGTCCATAGCAATGTTGTATTGGTGGTAGACATCAATGATCCAGACTTACAAAATTCAGGGAACTTCCATCTGGGAATCCTAAAACCAGAATTTCTGAAAAGCCAGAGAAAGTTTCTGTAACGTTGTAACCCTAACACAGACCAAGAGAGAGACATGGAGTGGAGCTAGGCAGGGCTACATACCAGTGCGGTCTGTTTGAAGCGGTCCAGGGAGGTGTCAGTGTGCAGGTCCAGTTTCTGGTGCAGCGTCCTCATCTCCTCTTCATGTCTCCTAGTGATATCCTCCTGCTCCTGGGGTTAATACAGGAGGGCCACAGCAGTCAGAACCAACTCAGTACACACCACAGCCACATACAGATACACTATACATGGATTCGGCCATTTCAGCCACACACGTTGATGACAGATGTATAAAATTGAGCACACAGCCACGCAATCTCCATAGACAAACATTGGCAGTAGAATGACCTTACTGAAGAGCTCAGCGACTTTCAACGTGGCACCGTCATGGGATGCCACCTTTCCAACAAGTCAGTTCGTCAAATTTCTGCACTGCTAGAGCTTCCCCGGTCAACTGTAAGTGCTGTTTTTGTGAAGTGGAAACATTTAGGAGCAACAACGGCTCAGCCGCGAAGTGGTAGGCCACACAAGCTCACAGAACGGGACCACCGAGTGCTGAAGTGCGTAGCGCGTAAAAATCGTCTGTCCTCGGTTGCAACACTCACTACCGAGTTCCAAACTGCCTCTGGAAGCAACGTCAGCACAATAACTGTTCATCGGGAGCTTCATGAAATGGGTTTCCATGGTGGAGCAGCCGCACACAAGCCTAAGATCACCATGCACAATGCCAAGCGTCGGCTGGAATTGTGTAAAGCTCGCCGCCATTAGACTCTGGAGTGATGAATCACGCTTCACCATCTGGCAGTCTGATGGACAAATCTGGGTTTGGCGGATGCCAGGAGAATGCTACCAGCCCCAATGTATAGTGCCAACTGTAAAGTTTGGTGGAGGAGGAATAATGGTCTGGGGCTGTTTTTCATGGTTCGGGCTAGGCCCCTTAGTTCCAGTAAAGGGAAGTCAACACTACAGCATACAATGACGATTCTGTGCTTCCGACTTTGTGGCAACAGTTTGGGGAAGCCCCTTTCCTGTTTCAGCATGACAATGCCCCTATGCACAAAGCGAGGTCCATACAGAAATGGTTTGTCGAGGTCAGTGTGGAAGAACTTGACTGGCCTGCACAGAGCCTCAACCCCATCGAACACCTTTGGGATGAATTGGAATGCTGACTGTGAGCCAGGCCTAATCGCCCAACATCAGTGCCCGACCTCACGAATGCTCATGGCAGAATGGAAGCAAGTCCCCGCAGCAATGTTCCAACATCTAGTGGAAAGCCTTCCCAGAAAAGTGGAGGCTGTTATGGCATCAAAGGGGAGACCAACTCCATATTAATGCCCATGATTTTGGAATGAGATGTTCGAAGAGCAGGTGTCCACATACTTATGGTCATGTAGTGTACATAAACACATGCACGCTGCAGAGTTAAAACATCTTCTCGCACCCTCTCTTTCTCTCACACTTTCTAATATACTGTTTGTCTAAATGGCCATTTGTTGTTTAAGTCCAAACATCGACCACAAATTGTGCATCAAATGGAGACACACTTGGCAGGCTTGTTGCTTCCTACCAATTCTATAGTTCTCTATCCATTGCTGTACCTGTCTAGCCCGGGCCAGTAGGTTCTGGTACTTCTTAAGGACCTCCTCCTTCTGGTCCAGGCGTCCCTGCAGGTTGTTGATGGTCTGGTGGGCCACCTTGAGGGCCGGCTGGCTCTCCCTCTGGTCCTCCTGGTGCTTAGCCAGGTCTGCCAGGAGCCTCTCCCTGTCTGCAGCCGCAGGGAGCCGCAGACGCAGCTCATTGATTACCCGGTCCCTGGAGAGGATGTTCTGCTCTGCCTTCCACAGGGCAGATTCCTTCTCTTTCAGCTTCTGCACAGGGAGAGTGGAGCAGAGGAGAAACAGCCACATAGATGAATGATGTTTAGACGTACCTTTATACAATTCCTTTTACAATCTTTTACAAGGGATGGTGCTCTAAGGCATTTCCACTAAGGAATTTCCTGTGTGTCAACTGTAGGGTAAGTAATAATATGGCAAACAAATACATGCTACAGTATAATTACCTCATCTAATATTTTGCAGGTGGCCTGGGTCTCCAGGATGGTGCGGACGTGCTCTTTGATTTTCCTCAGGGCAAAGTCCAGCTGGTGGGCCAGGGGCAGGCTTGGGTCTGGCAAGGCTCCGGTAGCCTCCTCAAACTACATACAACACACACTACGGTTAACTGAGAGGAAATCCTTGGTTGACTTGGTAGTCAACAGTTTGTGACAGGGTGAGTTATGAGTAATATACAGTATCATATCTAGGGTTGCAAAGGATGGGTATATTACTGGAAACTTTCTAAGCTACCAGAATCTTGGTATCTTTCAACAACGTTATTACAGGTGTCTAATTATCTGTGTGGCCTTATCACATGTAAAATATCTAAAACAATTAAATAAGTAAATCTGTAAAACATTATCCTAAATATAAATATGAGGGTTTTAGCATTAAATATCCTTTATATATTTTTTCTCACACTTTTATTTATTTTACTATGTCAATATTTATTTGTTGTCAATGTTTTGGCAACAAAATGGTGGCAGTTGTGAAAAAATGCAATAGTTGGAAGAGTTGCAAAGTTAATTGAAAATAATGCCATTGTTGATTAGATACTTTCTTCATTAATTAGGATATTTTCTCTTGAACCATATGATCTATCTACTTGAAACTCATGGACAATATGGACACAGATAAAAATTACGTTATTCAAGTATAAATTACCAAAGTTACAATAGATTGCCATATATTTTCTGTTAATTACCAAAATGACTGAAGATTTCAGTCACTTTGGTAAATTACTGGTAGCTTTGCAACCCTAATCATGTGTGACTAGATTATTTATTGAACATAAATTTAATATTGTGCATTCAAGTACATACACTGAGTATACCAAACATTAGGAACAACTTCCTAATATGGAGTTGCACCCCCCCTTTTGCCCGCAGAACAGCCTCAATTCGTAGGGGCATGGAATCTACAAGGTGTCGAAAGCATTCCACAGGGATACTGGCCCATGTTGACTCCAATGCTTCCCACAGTTGTGTCAAGTTGGCTAAATGTCCTTTGGGTGGTGGAACATTTTTGATACACATGGGAAACTGTTGAGTGTGAAAAACCCAGCAGCATTGCAGTTCTTGACACAAACCGGTGCGCCTGGCACTTACTACCATACCCTGTTCAAAGGCGCTTAGATCTTTTCTCTTGCCCATTCACCCTCTGAATGGCACACATACACAATCCATGTCTCAATTGTATCAAGGCTTAAAAATCATTCTTTAACCTGTCTCCTCCCCTTCATCTACACTGATTGAAGTGGATTTAACAGGTGACATCAATAAGTGATCATAGATTTCACCTGGATTCACCTGGTCAGTCTATGTTATGGAAAGAGCAGGTGTTCTTAATGTTTTCTATATTCAGTGTATATCCAGGGCATGCAAAATTATAATTAATGGCAACCAGAAACAAAACGTTAAATTCATTCCTATTGGCAGACAGTGGGGAGGCTAGTGTACAGTAAATGAATGTCAGTGTGTTGTTGCGTCCCAAATGGCACCCTATTCCCTACAGTATATAGGATACCATTTGGGGCACGACCAGTGTGCATCTGTTTGGTGTTAGACAGGACCTTCTGGGCAGAGCCTATGATTTGGTTCTGCTGTTTCTCATAAAGATCCAGCTGGCGCTCCAACTCCACCTCTCTCTGATCCCACGACAACTGACGCTCCTCCTGAACCTGGGGGGGGAGAGACAGATCGTGTGTTTATGTGTGTGTGAATGTCTGTCTTTGTGAGTGTCTGTTAAACTTTGACTTGACTATTAGTGTGTTTATGTGTTATACACTGCTCAAAAAAATTAAGGGAACACTTAAACAACACATCCTAGATCTGAATGAATGAAATAATCTTATTAAATACTTTTTTCTTTACATAGTTGAATGTGCTGACAACAAAATCACACAAAAATTATCAATGGAAATCAAATTTATCAACCCATGGAGGTCTGGATTTGGAGTCACCCTCAAAATTAAAGTGGAAAAACACACTACAGGCTGATCCAACTTTGATGTAATGTCCTTAAAACAAGTCAAAATGAGGCTCAGTAGTGTGTGTGGCCTCCACGTGCCTGTATGACCTCCCTACAACGCCTGGGCATGCTCCTGATAAGGTGGCGGATGGTCTCCTGAGGAATCTCCTCCCAGACCTGGACTAAAGCATCCGCCAACTCCTGGACAGTCTGTGGCGCAACGTGGCGTTGGTGGATGGAGCGAGACATGATGTCCCAGATGTGCTCAATTGGATTCAGGTCTGGGGAACGGGCGGGCCAGTCCATAGCATCAATGCCTTCCTCTTGCAGGAACTGCTGACACACTCCAGCCACATGAGGTCTAGCATTGTCTTGCATTAGGAGGAACCCAGGGCCAACCGCACCAGCATATGGTCTCACAAGGGGTCTGAGGATCTCATTTCGGTACCTAATGGCAGTCAGGCTACCTCAGGCGAGCACATGGAGGGCTGTGCGGTCCCCCAAAGAAATGCCACCCCACACCATGACTGAACCACCGCCAAACCGGTCATGCTGGAGGATGTTGCAGGCAGCAGAACGTTCTCCACGGCGTCTCCAGACTCTGTCACGTCTGTCACGTGCTCAGTGTGAACCTGCTTTCATCTGTGAAGAGCACAGGGCGCCAGTGGCGAATTTGCCAATCTTGGTGTTCTCTGGCAAATGCCAAACGTCCTGGACGGTGTTGGGCTGTAAGCACAACCCCCACCTTTGGACGTCGGGCCCTCATGGAGTCTGTTTCTGACCGTTTCAGCAGACACATGCACATTTGTGGCCTGCTTTAGGTCATTTTGCAGGGCTCTGGCAGTGCTCCTCCTGCTCCTCCTTGCACAAAGGCGGAGGTAGCAGTCCTGCTGCTGGGTTGTTGCCCTCCTACGGCCTCCTCCACGTCTCCTGATGTACTGACCTGTCTCCTGGTAGCGCCTCCATGCTCTGGACACTACGCTGACAGACACAGCAAACCTTCTTGCCACAGCTCGCATTGATGTGCCATCCTGGATGAGCTGCACTACCTGAGCCACTTGTGTGGGTTGTAGACTCCGTCTCATGCTACCACTAGAGTGAAAGCACCGCCAGCATTCAAAAGTGACCAAAACATCAGCCAGGAAGCATAGGAACTGAGAAGTGGTCTGTGGTCACCACCTGCAAAGCAGTCCTTTATTGGGGGTGTCTTGCTAATTGCCTATAATTTCCACCTGTTGTCTATTCCATTTGCACAACAATATGTGAAATTTATTGTCAATCAGTGTTGCTTCCTAAGTGGACAGTTTGATTTCACAGAAGTGTGATTTACTTGGAGTTACATTGTGTTGTTTAAGTGTTCCCTTTATTTTTTGGAGCAGTGTATGAACATGCCTCTCTGTGTGTTCAACGCAAATGCCTCTGAAGCAAGATATTCAATTATCCTGTAAAACAAATGTATTTGTGTAAACAGAGCTCTATCAGACTGACTAACCCTTGTCATCATGCCATTGTGACTTTGTCTGCGTGCCAAATGGCATCCTATTCCCTATATACATGACTTTGACCAGGGCCCATTTAGGGCTCTGGTCAAAAGCTGTGCACCTTATAGAGAATAGGGTGCCATTTTGGACGCAACCATTGTCCTAGCATGGCAGGATTTGGAGAACATGCATTGTCTGAAGCCACCAGTACTAGTATTTAAGGAGTCCATCTGGAGCACTGTATGTTTAGGGGTATAAAACTAAACCATCTGAGCATCAAACACATAAATAGAGACAACAAGTCCTCTATGTTCTCCTCTTGTTCCTATTATGACTGACTCTCAGAGTCATGGGGAGATGACATTACACTATAAAGCCCAGAGTCATGGGGCGATGACATTACACTATAAAGCCCAGAGTCATGGGGCGATGACATTACACTATAAAGCCCAGAGTCATGGGGCGATGACATTACACTATAAAGCCCAGAGTCATGGGGCGATGACATTACACTATAGAGCCCAGAGTCATGGGGCGATGACATTACACTATAAAGCCCAGAGTCATGGGGAGATTACATTACACTATAAAGCCCAGAGTCATGGGGCGATGACATTACACTATAAAGCCCAGAGTCATGGGGAGATGACATTACACTATAAAGCCCAGAGTCATGGGGCGATGACATTACACTATAAAGCCCAGAGTCATGGGGAGATTACATTACACTATAAAGCCCAGAGTCATGGGGCGATGACATTACACTATAAAGCCCAGAGTCATGGGGCGATGACATTACACTATAAAGCCCAGAGTCATGGGGCGATGACATTACACTATAAAGCCCAGAGTCATGGGGCGATGACATTACACTATAAAGCCCAGAGTCATGGGGCGATGACATTACACTATAAAGCCCAGAGTCATGGGGCGATGACATTACACTATAAAGCCCAGAGTCATGGGGCGATGATATTACACTATAAAGCCCAGAGTCATGGGGCGATGACATTACACTATAAAGCCCAGAGTCATGGGGAGATTACATTACACTATAAAGCCCAGTCACGGGACACTGAACCAATAAACCTATTTCACACTCCAAAGTGATCCCGTGAGGTAGGCTGTGTTTTAAGCCTACAAGAGTAAACAGATTCATAAATTCACTGAAGACAAAATGTAAACATGAAATTGCTCCACTCACATTTCTAATGCCCAAAATGTGTGAATATGTTCATTCGTTCAATTACTGTTTGTGTGTGTCTCTCTCTGTCTGTATGCAGCTACTATCTGGTTCTTTATTTGACTTTTATTATTATCTATCCTGATGCCTAGTCACTTTATCCTGCCTTCATGTACATATCTACCTCAAATACCTTATTATTATCTATCCTGATGCCTAGTCACTTTACCCTGCCTTCATGTACATATCTACCTCAAATACCTTATTATTATCTATCCTGATGCCTAGTCACTTTATCCTGCCTTCATGTACATATCTACCTCAAATACCTTATTATTATCTATCCTGATGCCTAGTCACTTTATCCTGCCTTCATGTACATATCTACCTCAAATACCTTATTATTATCTATCCTGATGCCTAGTCACTTTATCCTGCCTTCATGTACATATCTACCTCAAATACCTTATTATTATCTATCCTGATGCCTAGTCACTTTACCCTGCCTTCATGTACATATCTACCTCAAATACCTTATTATTATCTATCCTGATGCCTAGTCACTTTACCCTGCCTTCATGTACATATCTACCTCAAATACCTTATTATTATCTATCCTGATGCCTAGTCACTTTATCCTGCCTTCATGTACATATCTACCTCAAATACCTTATTATTATCTATCCTGATGCCTAGTCACTTTATCCTGCCTTCATGTACATATCTACCTCAAATACCTTATTATTATCTATCCTGATGCCTAGTCACTTTATCCTGCCTTCATGTACATATCTACCTCAAATACCTTATTATTATCTATCCTGATGCCTAGTCACTTTACCCTGCCTTCATGTACATATCTACCTCAAATACCTTATTATTATCTATCCTGATGCCTAGTCACTTTCCCCTGCCTTCATGTACATATCTACCTCGAATACCTTATTATTATCTATCCTGATGCCTAGTCACTTTCCCCTGCCTTCATGTACATATCTACCTCAAATACCTTATTATTATCTATCCTGATGCCTAGTCACTTTCCCCTGCCTTCATGTACATATCTACCTCAAATACCTTATTATTATCTATCCTGATGCCTAGTCACTTTACCCTGCCTTCATGTACATATCTACCTCAAATACCTTATTATTATCTGTCCTGATGCCTAGTCACTTTACCCTGCCTTCATGTACATATCTACCTCAAATACCTTATTATTATCTATCCTGATGCCTAGTCACTTTCCCCTGCCTTCATGTACATATCTACCTCAAATACCTTATTATTATCTATCCTGATGCCTAGTCACTTTCCCCTGCCTTCATGTACATATCTACCTCAAATACCTTATTATTATCTATCCTGATGCCTAGTCACTTTCCCCTGCCTTCATGTACATATCTACCTCAAATACCTTATTATTATCTATCCTGATGCCTAGTCACTTTACCCTGCCTTCATGTACATATCTACCTCAAATACCTTATTATTATCTATCCTGATGCCTAGTCACTTTACCCTGCCTTCATGTACATATCTACCTCAAATACCTTATTATTATCTATCCTGATGCCTAGTCACTTTCCCCTGCCTTCATGTACATATCTACCTCAAATACCTTATTATTATCTATCCTGATGCCTAGTCACTTTCCCCTGCCTTCATGTACATATCTACCTCAAATACCTTATTATTATCTATCCTGATGCCTAGTCACTTTCCCCTGCCTTCATGTACATATCTACCTCAAATACCTTATTATTATCTATCCTGATGCCTAGTCACTTTACCCTGCCTTCATGTACATATCTACCTCAAATACCTTATTATTATCTATCCTGATGCCTAGTCACTTTACCTTGCCTTCATGTACATATCTACCTCAAATACCTTAATATTATCTATCCTGATGCCTAGTCACTTTCCCCTGCCTTCATGTACATATCTACCTCAAATACCTTATTATTATCTATCCTGATGCCTAGTCACTTTACCCTGCCTTCATGTACATATCTACCTCAAATACCTTATTATTATCTATCCTGATGCCTAGTCACTTTACCCTGCCTTCATGTACATATCTACCTCAAATACCTTATTATTATCTATCCTGATGCCTAGTCACTTTCCCCTGCCTTCATGTACATATCTACCTCAAATACCTTATTATTATCTATCCTGATGCCTAGTCACTTTCCCCTGCCTTCATGTACATATCTACCTCAAATACCTTATTATTATCTATCCTGATGCCTAGTCACTTTCCCCTGCCTTCATGTACATATCTACCTCAAATACCTTATTATTATCTATCCTGATGCCTAGTCACTTTACCCTGCCTTCATGTACATATCTACCTCAAATACCTTATTATTATCTATCCTGATGCCTAGTCACTTTACCCTGCCTTCATGTACATATCTACCTCAAATACCTTAATATTATCTATCCTGATGCCTAGTCACTTTCCCCTGCCTTCATGTACATATCTACCTCAAATACCTTATTATTATCTATCCTGATGCCTAGTCACTTTATCCTGCCTTCATGTACATATCTACCTCAAATACCTTATTATTATCTATCCTGATGCCTAGTCACTTTATCCTGCCTTCATGTACATATCTACCTCAAATACCTTATTATTATCTATCCTGATGCCTAGTCACTTTACCCTGCCTTCATGTACATATCTACCTCAAATACCTTATTATATGTGGTCCTCTGTAGCTCAGCTGGTAGAGCACGGCGCTTGTAACGCCAAGGTAGTGGGTTCGATCCCCGGGACCACCCATACACAAAAAAAATGTATGCACGCATGACTGTAAGTCGCTTTGGATAAAAGCGTCTGCTAAATGGCATATTATTATTATTATTATTATCTATCCTGATGCCTAGTCACTTTACCCTGCCTTCATGTACATATCTACCTCAAATACCTTATTATTATCTATCCTGATGCCTAGTCACTTTACCCTGCCTTCATGTACATATCTACCTCAAATACCTTATTATTATCTATCTTGATGCCTAGTCACTTTACCCTGCCTTCATGTACATATCTACCTCAAATACCTTATTATTATCTATCCTGATGCCTAGTCACTTTCCCCTGCCTTCATGTACATATCTACCTCAAATACCTTATTATTATCTATCCTGATGCCTAGTCACTTTACCGTGCCTTCATGTACATATCTACCTCAAATACCTTATTATTATCTATCCTGATGCCTAGTCACTTTACCCTGCCTTCATGTACATATCTACCTCAAATACCTTATTATTATCTATCCTGATGCCTAGTCACTTTACCCTCCCTTCATGTACATATCTACCTCAAATACCTTATTATTATCTATCTTGATGCCTAGTCACTTTACCCTGCCTTCATGTACATATCTACCTCAAATACCTTATTATTATCTATCCTGATGCCTAGTCACTTTCCCCTGCCTTCATGTACATATCTACCTCAAATGCCTTATTATTATCTATCCTGATGCCTAGTCACTTTACCCTGCCTTCATGTACATATCTACCTCAAATACCTTATTATTATCTATCCTGATGCCTAGTCACTTTCCCCTGCCTTCATGTACATATCTACCTCAAATACCTTATTATTATCTATCCTGATGCCTAGTCACTTTCCCCTGCCTTCATGTACATATCTACCTCAAATACCTCGTACCTCTGCACATTGATCTGGTACTGGTACTCCCTGTTTATACCTTATATAGCTCCGTTCTTGTGTATTTTATTCCTCGTGTTACTATTATTATTTTTTTACTCTGCATCGTTGGGAAGGGCTTGTGAGCAAGCAAGTCTACACCCATTGTGTACAGCGCATGTGACACATACAATTAGATTAGATTTTGTGTCTGTCTGAAGTGTGTATTTTCTCTTCTCACAGTGTGTTGCTGTACGCTGTCCTCCTCCAGTGTACGGATGGTTCTCTCCTGCTCGGCCACCAGGCTCCTCAGGTAACTGATCTCCTCTCTCTGGACCCCCAGCTCCCGGCCCCGCCTCAGCTCCTGCAGTCTGACCTCCTCCATCTTCTTGTGCCACTCGTTCACCTTAGAACATTCATATAGAGTAGACAACATGAGGAAAAACATATTTTCAAATGGAAGGCAATAGACTGGAGTTTTTGTGAGGAGGGATAGTTCCTGTACTGGAGTTTGGTGAGGAGGGATAGTTCCAGTACTGGAGAGCTGGAGATGGGTGAGGAGGGATAGTTCCAGTACTGGAGTTTGTGAGGAGGATAGTTCCTGTACTGGAGTTTGGTGAGGAGGGATAGTTCCAGTCTGGAGATGGGTGAGGGGGAAGTTCCAGTACTGAGTTTGGTGAGGAGGATAGTTCCTGTACTGGAGTTTGGTGAGAGGGATAGTTCAGTACTGGAGTTGGTGAGGAGGGATAGTTCCTGTACTGGAGATGGTGAGGAGGGATAGTTCCAGTACTGGAGTTTGGTGAGGAGGGATAGTTCCTGTACTGGAGTTTGGTGAGGAGGGATAGTTCCAGTACTGGAGATGGGTGAGGAGGGATAGTTCCAGTACTGGAGTTTGGTGAGGAGGGATAGTTCCAGTACTGGAGTTTGGTGAGGAGGGATTGTTCCAGTACTGGACCTCAGTCAGAAGAGAAGCTATACAATGGCAGAGTTGGACATTTGCAATTAAAAAATGGAGGGATAGCAATAAATGGTCATACCAAGGATCATTTACACTATATATACAAAAGTATGTGGACACCCCTTCAAATTAGTGGATTCGGCTATTTCAGCCATACCCGTTGCTGACAGGCGTATAGCAACAACGGCTCAGCTGCGAAGTGGTAGGCCACATAAGCTCACAGAACGGGGCCGCTGAGTGCTGAAGCGCGTAGCGTGTAAAAATCGCCTGTCCTCGGGTTGCAACACTCACTACCGAGTTCCAAACTGCCTCGGGAAGCAATGTCAACACAAGAACTGTGTGCCGGGAGCTTCATGAAATGGGTTTCCATGGCCGAGCAGCCGCACACAAGCCTAAGATCACCATGTGTCGGCTGGAGTGGTGTAAAGCTCGCCGCCATTGGACTCTGGAGCAGTGGAAACGCGTTCTCTGGAGTGATGAATCACGCTTCACCATCTGGCAGTCCGACGGACGAATCTGGGTTTTGAAGAAGCCAGGAGAACGCTATCTGCCCCAATGTATAATGCCAACTGTAAAGTTTGGTGGCGGAGGAATAATGGTCTGGGGCTGTTTTTCATGGTTCGGGCTAGGCCCCTTAGGTCCAGTGAAGGGAAATGTTAATGCTACAGCGTACAATGACATTCTAGACGATTCTGTGCTTCCAACTTTGTGCTAACAGTTTGGTGAAGGCCCTTTCCTGTTTCAGCATGACAATGCCCCCGTGCACAAAGCGAGGTCCATACAGAAATTGTTTGTTGAGATCAGTGTGGAAGAACTTGACTGGACTGCACAGAGCCCTGACTTCAACCCGATTGCACAACTTTGGGATGAATTGGAATGGTGACTGCGAGCCAGGCCTAATCGCCCAACATCAGCGTCCGACCTCTCTAATGCTCTTGTGGCTGAATGGAAGCAAGTCCCTGCAGCAATGTTCCAACATCTAGTGGAAAGCCTTCCCAGAAGAGCGGAGGCTGTTATAGCAGCAAAAGGGGGACCAACTCCATATTAATGCCCATGATTTTGGAATGAGATATTAAACAAGCAGGTGTCCACATACTTTTGGTCATATAGTGTAGCTATTTGATTTTGAACTTTAGGACCTCTTTAGGTACTCCTCCTCCATTGTAAAAAAGATTTTGGAAGCTATAGAAATGCATTTATTACAGACACCCTAATGCATACTTATATTATGTGAACTGAACATAAAACAAATATTAAAAATAATAATATAAAAACATATTCCTTAAAGTACTTTTCTTTACAGAGTACTAATGTTACTGTCCCCACTACAACAAAGAAATATTTAAATATATGTAATTTTGTCCTTTAAACATTTTATTGAAATACTGTAGAATTCCATTCATTCCTATGGAGGACTGCACCTTCTGTGGAGTACCAATGCTGTGGCTGGTGGCTTCAAAGCCTCTCATTGGCCATTACATAGCATCAGCAATACAGGGTTTATATACAGTGCATTCGAAAAGTATTCAGATCCCTTCCCTTTTTCCACATTTTGTTACGTTACAGCCTTATTCTAAAATTGCTTAAATTAATTGTTTCCCTCATCAATCTACACACAATACCCCATAATTACAAAGTGAAAAGAGGTTTTTAGAAAGTTTTGCAAATGTATAAAAAATAAAAAACTGAAATACCTTATTTACATAAGTATGCAGACCCTTTGCTATGAGAATTGAAATTGATCTCAGGTGTACCCTGTTTCCATTGATCATCCTTGATTGGAGTCCACATGTGGTAAATTCAATTGATTGGATATGATTTGGAAAGGCACACACCTGTCTATATAATGTCCCACAGTTGACAGTGCATGTCAGATCAAAAACCAAGCCATGAGGTTGAACGAATTGTCCATAGAGCTCGAGACAGGATTGCTGAGCACAGATCTGGGGAAGGGTACAAAAAATGTTTGCAGCAATGAAGTTCCCCAAGAACACAGTGGCCTCCATCATTGTTAAATGGACGAAGTTTGGAAGCACCAAGACTCTTCCTAGAGCTGGCCGCCCGGCCCAACTGAGCAATCGGGGGAGAAGGGCCTTGGTCAGGGAGGTGACCAAGAACCCGATGGTCACTCTGACAGAGGTCCAGAGTTCCTCTGTGGAGATGGGAGAACCTTCCAGAAGGACAACCATCTCTGCAGCACTCCACCAATCAGGCCTTTATGGTAGAGTGACCAGACTGAAGCCACTCCTCAGTAAAAGGCACATGACAGACCGCTTGGAGTTTGCCAAAAGGCACCTAAAGGACTCTCAGACCATGAAAAACAAGACTCTCTGGTCTGATGAAACCGAGATTGAACTCTTTGGCCTGAATGCCAAGCGTCACGTCTGGAGGAAACCCATCCCTACAGTGAAGCGTGGTGGCAGCATCATGCTTTGGGGATGTTTTTCAGCGGCAGGGACTGGGAAACTAGTGAGGATCGATGGAAAGATGAACGGAGCAAAGTACAGAGAGGTACTTGATGAAAACCTGCTACAGAGCACTCAGGACCTCAGACTGGGACGTAGGTTCACCTTCCAACAGGACAAAGACCCTAAGCACACAGCCAGCACGCAGGAGTAGCTTCAGAACAAGTCTCTGAATGTCCTTGAGTGGCCCAGCCAGAGCCCGGACTTGAACCCAATCGAACATCTCTGGAGAAACCTAAAAATAGCTGTGAAGCGACGCTCCCCATCCAACCTGACAGAGCTTGAGAGGATCTGCAGAGAAGAATGGGAGTAACTCACCAAATACAGGTTTGCCAAGCTTGTAGCGTCATACCAAGAAGACTCGAGGCTGTAATCGCTGCCAAATGTGCTTCAACAAAGGGCTGAGTAAAGGGTCTGAATACTTATGTAAATGTGATATTTCAGTTTTTATTTTTTTTATTTTTTTGCAAAAGAATCTAAAAACCTGCTTTTGCTTTGTCATTATAGGTTATTGTGATGAGGGGAAAAAATGATTTCATCCATTTTAGAATCAGGCTGTAACATAACAAAATGTGGAAAAAGTAAAGGGGTCTGAATACTTTCCGAATGCACTGTACATCATTGGTTCTTGCCCACACACCTTCTGAGCTCCCTTCACATCCTTCAGCGTAGCTATGAGCTCCTCTAACCCTCTCAGCCTCAGCTCCAGCTCCTGGGCCTTCCCCTCCATCCTCCTCCTCTCCTCCTCTGCTCTCCTCTTCTCCTCCTGCGCGGTCCCTCTATCCTCCTGCAGGCGCATCATGGTCTGAGAGAACTTCTCCTGCTGGGCTAAGGGCAGGGCCCCGGCAAACTGCCTGTGGAGAGACTGGATGGTCTGTCGGAGGTGCCTGGCTCGGTTCCGGCCCTCCTGGCGAGCGTGGTACAGGGATTTCTCGCTGGCGTCCAGTTTCTGCTCTGCACGTAGCTTGTAGGCCTCAAGCTGCTGGATCCGGGTGGCGGTGGCCTCTAGCTTCCCCACGGCGGCTGATTCGCTGAGCTGCAGCGCTACGATGTGCTGGTGGAGCTTGGCGATCAGGGCTCTCTCGTCTGACTGGGACTGGGTGGGCAAACAAGCCAGAGCAGGACAAGAGGGACATTTTAGCATCAGCAACAATGCTAGTAGTGAGATATATTTGAGCAACATGGTAGTTAGCTATTCTTACTACCGGTATGCACAATGAATGCCCAGTCATAGTATTCCAACCTAGCCACGCCCACAACTGTTTATGTTTTAAAAGCAATGGTATCATTGTTAAACTTTGTCAACTATTGACAAGAAGAAGATTTCTCATCTCTCTTGTGGTTGAGTTACTTGAGTAGAATGAGGACGAGTTAGATGAATATGGTTAAATAGGGTTGAATAGCATCCGTGTTGTGTTGTGTTACCTGGTAGTCGAGGACCTGCCTCCTCAGAGCCTCAACCTCCTTCTCTCTGGACTGCTGTCTGGCCTCCAGGGTGGACACCTGCATCTTAGCCACGTCAGACACCTCCCTCAACCTGGATACACAGCATGGGGTTAGCACCTTATCCCATTACCAACTGCCATTATAAAACACAAGCTTACTGGGCAGTAGTAGTAAAGCTTAGTAAATCAGGGATGGGATCAGGGCAACATACATTTAGGCATTAGGCCAGCTTCATTAGACATACTGTACATGTAAATATAACTAGATCACAGGAGGAATTATCACACATTTGATTTAGTACATACTTTGAGGCCTCCACCTTGAGTTCGGCCTCAGCCTTCTCCAGCTGGGTGATCCTGGCGCGGTCGGCATTGCTGGCGTCTTTAGAGACACTGTCGGCCAGCTCATCTCTCAGCTCCCGCTCCGTTCTCTGGGCCCCCAGGTACTGCTTTGTTAGCTGGGGACCAACAACACTTCAAGTTAGGGGCTCTGTGTCACTATAAAATATGGTCCAGGATACTGCATGGCCTTGTCCAGCAACGTTCTCTACTAAGGACAGGTGTTGAAAATTACCATGATCTATACACACTATCTACGCAGTGCAAATATTATTATTTATTCAATGTGTCCATGTGTTTGTATCTGTCCCAATCCAATAAACTATCAAATGGAAATGAAATTATTGTCCATTGCCACAGGAAACAGACATTTGTTTTTTTGCTTTGTCCCCTCCCTAACTCTCCTACCTCTGCGAACTTGGTCTCCAGCTCCACGTTGCGCTCCTCCACCAGTCTGAGAGAGTTCCTGAGGTGTTCGTACATCTTGTGGGCGTGCTCAGCCCTCTGCCGCTCATTCAGCTCCTTCATCTCCAAGGTGGTGATCCTCCTGGACGTTGATATAATCTCACTGTTGGCCACTGCCTTCGCTGCCTTGTCCATGCTGTTCTCACCACCTGGGAATTCAAAGAATCTTCCAACTGAGATTTCGGAAAAACTCGGAAACTTCAAGAAAGTTCAGGGAACTTTGCAACCCTCGTCAGCAATTATAGGGCTTTGGAGAGACAATAAAGACTCTAAAAGTGAAGTATTTTCAATCTATACACAATACTCAGTTGTGAAGCTTACCTAATGTGTTGATGTGCTCCCAGGCTTGCTCCAGAGTGTGGAGTTTCTCCTTGGTAATCTCCAGCTCTTTATTGAGGGCAGCGATGTGTTCACGGAGGGACATGTTCTCACCCTAAAAGTATAGGGGTAAAATACAGATATGGTCTGGGTCCCCAAAAAGCTCTATAGAGAACTCAATCAATGAAAGAGGAGCCATTGCGTCAATAATTATCCACTAATAATGTTTAATTTGACACCACACAGTTAACTACTAAACGAAAGTTCCTTTTCTTCACCTGCACTAACATGAAGACATTTGAGATTCCACCAAGTCCTGGAAAGAAGATGAGGAGAGGAATATACTGGTTATTGTCCTACCTCTAGGTGTTCTAGGTTGGTGGTCCTCTGCACCAGGTGGTTGTCTTTCTGGAGCATGTCCCTGTATTTCACCGTCAGCTCCGTGTAGTGTTTGTTGGCCCTCTCCAGCTCTGACGAGGGGACGCTGTCATCCAGGGCTTTCTGCAGCGCTGCCAGCTTATACGCTGCCATGTCCTACAAAAGTAGGAAGTAAAAAAATGCTATATCAAGCCTTGTGAAGAAAACGATTGAATTGTGGGTTAAATTATTCTCTATACCAGTCATTAAAGGTATACACTTCAAAGTTATTTCTTGGTAGTATGTCAGTCAAGCGAACCCTTCTACCCTTGAACCTTGTTTTATTGTTCCTGGATATTGTTCCTGGATTGTTCATACACAAAAAATGTATGCACGCATGACTGTAAGTCGCTTTGGATAAAAGCGTCTGCTAAATGGCATATTATTATTATTATTATTATTATAAGTGTATGCAATATGGAAACATTTCAGACAATCAGAGGGGCACGTGTACCTTGTATCTGGTCAAGTATCCTATCCTCTGTGTGACGGAGGCCTGCATGGTGCTGAAGTCATCCCTCAGTTTGTTGTTGTCCTTGCGGAGGTGCTGCTCCTGCTCCAGCAGGGTGGTGTAGCGATGTGTCAGAGACTTCTCGTTCACACGCAGCACCGTCATCCTCCGGGCCGCCTCCGCCACCTGCCTCCGCAGCTCCTCTGGATCCTTCTGCAGTGCCTCCAGCCAGTGCTATTGGACACAGTGTGGATTAGAAATACATGGTAAATAATGTGAAAAGTTTAGAGATACAGTGTTTGTGCCACTGTAACTCTAATGAGCAATGTTTGGCTCTGTCACTCACATTGAACTCTTTGATCTTCACTGTGTCCACTTGCTTCTGCTCCTCCAGCTTGTTCTTCATCTCTGTGAATGTCTCCATCTTCTTCTGCCAGGCCTCCTTCTCACTACACCATCATAACACACAGAGATAAGTTAGAGGTTCAAATGACACAGACTTTTCTGGTGCCCTAAAAATAGGGGGCTGGGTTAGTGTTAATATTCTGAACAATAATGGCAGAGTCCATGTTGATCTTTTCAAGCATAAGGGGGTGTTCTGATTTGGTAGGTACGCAGAACCACTGTCATACTGTACATGTACAGTTAGTTTGGTCCTCTAGCTGCAGATCATCTCAACCAACTGCTCTACTGTACCTTTGGTGCTCCTTGTAGAGGAGTCCCTGCTGATGGCGAATCACAGCAAACTTCCCCTTGTACTCCTCCAAGGCTGCCACCAGCTGCTGGCTCCACTCCTCTTTGTTTTTCATCTCCTAAAAAATAACATTATGTGTGAAAATGTCTCTCAGATCATTTGGGAGATGTGTTACAGAGAAAAATACAATAAATAGTGCGTGTTTGAGATTGACTGCACTGCAGTCGCCCGACTGCTTTGTTGTCAATCTCAAACACAATCGATTAGGCTAACGGTGACGGGCGGAGTTGGGTGAGACTGACCTGTAACAGTCGAACGGCATACTCATTCAGAGAGCTGATGACCTCAGTGCTGGATAGGGCCATGTCGTCAGGGAGATTCAGGGTCCTAAAGATAACCCCGCCCCCTCTGGACTTTCTCAGCGCCTCCATATCGCCCTCCAAACGGGTCACCTGACCAACAGAGATAGAAGGGAAACAGTTTACATTTTGGCACCTATTATAGATTTAGTCTTAAATGGTATCAATGGCAGCAGTACAGGCACATTTACTAGACATTCGAAAGACTGCAATGAAAAAGACACAGATACGCAACAATATCCATGGAACAACTTAACAATGGAATCCACAGTAGGGGGAAACAGAGCCACTGTCCGCCCCACCACCGTAGGGGGAAACAGAGCCACTGTCCGCCCCACCACCGTAGGGGGAAACAGAGCCACTGTCCGCCCCACCACCGTCGGGGGAAACAGAGCCACTGTCCGCCCCACCACCGTAGGGGGAAACAGAGCCACTGTCCGCCCCACCACAGTAGGGGGAAACAGAGCCACTGTCCACCCCACCACCGTAGGGGGAAACAGAGCCACTGTCCACCCCACCACCGTAGGGGGAAACAGAGCCACTGTCCGCCCCACCACCGTAGGGGGGAAACAGAGCCACTGTCCGCCCCAACACCATAGGGGGAAACAGAGCCACTGTCCGCCCCACCACCGTAGGGGGAAACAGAGCCACTGTCCGCCCCACCACCGTAGGGGGAAACAGAGCCACTGTCCGCCCCACCACCGTAGGGGGAAACAGAGCCACTGTCCGCCCCACCACCGTTGTTATTGTTTTTGTTTTGTTGACAAAGCGGAGGTGAGGAGCGTCACGCAGCATGGTAAAAAATATTTTCTGTACATTTTCTGCTGTTCTATCACACGTGCAATGATGTCAGAGGAGAAAATAAACAGTGCTCGTCGTTTGCAGTAACTTCTTTGTTACTGTAATATTGCAGACGGACGTGTCAGTTTCACCAATTAAGGATTCCAGCTTTAAGCTATTGAGGTGGAGTGGAATTACAGTGCCTGTATGTTTGAGGTTTATATGGATTGGGTGACATTACTACTTAACATTGAGTTATTCATAGCCTGCAGGTACCTGACTGTTTCTGCCATTAACAGCACTACATTGTTGCCTTGACAAACAGTCTGCCTGTGGCAAGATAATATATAACAAGTTGACAAAATAAATAAATAGACAGACATTATTTGGCCCTTTGTGAAAAATGTATCTACACTCATAAAACAGCAAAATGTCATTCTGTGGCTTTCTCATAACTTGCCCTACATACTGTACAGTAAGTGCAACCAGCCAGCTGGATACCTTTTCTTTGGCTTTGACCAGTTGACTCATGGCGCTGGCAGCTTCCTCCCGAGCTGACCTCATTTCCTGTCTGATCTCGTCGTTCCTTCCTGTCAGCTGGTCTACCTGGGCCTTCAGGTGGAGGCTGGCGTCAAACTTCCCATCAGAGTTCTTCATCTCTATTGCCTGGAACATGGCGGAGCAGGGTTGGGGTCAATTCCATTTCAATTCAGGGCATTAATGGAAATTCTAATTTTCCTCATTGATACAAAAATAAGAACAATAGAGTGACAACATATCAAATGTGGACAGCTGTGATGGTGCTACTGGCTACACTTACCTGGACCAGCTTCTCCAGAATGGGGATAGAGACAGAAGCTTGTGAGGAGGGGGTTTTCTGTTCAGTATCCTGGATGGTCTGAAGGATCTCCTTCAAACCTTGTTCTAGGTGCTTGTTCTCCTTAAACAAGTTTTCCACTAAGGAACACAGAGAGAAGACAGCAGCGCTTATCCAACTGTGTTCAGGGATTCCTTTGGACATCCATGTTTCTCACTCAATGCATTGACAGTACCTAGTCCTTTACTAGGAAATAGTATTGAGGAAGACATAGTGTGCATTTCTGACAGCGTATAGCGTGAAATGCTGTGAGTAGCCATAAAACTACTTCAACCTTTCCTACTATACGATATACCCCCAGTTTGTACATACATTTGGATTTAAACTGAGATGACAGGGTCCTCTGATGCTCCAACTCTCTCTCCTTATGGTCCAGCTCTCTCCTCAGATGCTCATACTGTAAAACACGTGGGAAAGGATGTATATAAGACAGTATATAGCCTACATAAACCATTCACAGGGGGAAAAACTGGCAGCAAGAAAAATGTCAGGGTGATGTCTTTGGTGACGTCATGGTTAGGTCATATACTGATTGATAAAGGCCATTTTTAAACGTCTTTTAAGCGACCAGAATCTCCTTCTGTCATCTAACCTTGCGTTTGATCTCCTCCTCATCTGCAGAACTGAAGGTTGGTGTTGGTTTGAAGGATCTGGTGGGCTTGGTTTGGTCTTCAAGCAATGAGCTGGTCACTGTGTTCCCTATGATGGAGAAAAGTGGGTTTATCAGCACAAAAATACAGACAGACTTAGTTAAATGGGGGATGAAATACAAATAACTACTAACTTGTTATCAGTACTCGTATGGCATGCTGGCTAACCAACTCATATATCCCTCCTATAGTTTTGTAGCAGGGAGTGGATATTTACCTTTGTCCTTTACCATTCGCCTGATTTGTTTCTTCAGTTCAAGTCTCTCCTCTTCCAGTCGTTCGATCTGTGGATTCAAATGGGGTCATGAGGGAATCAGGGCCACTGTCTGAGCTAAAGGTTTTGTTCCAAATGGCACCATATTCCCTTTATAGTACACTACTTTTAACCAGTGTCCATAGTATAGTGCACTATGTAGGGAATATGGTACCAAATGGGACACAACCAAATTGACATCAAGAGGTTCCTTCCCATCCCAATTTACCTCTTTGGTGAGAACCTGGTTCTCTGCTTTGAACTGCCTCTGTTTCAGGGATTTGGTTCTTCTGAATTCTGTCAGATCCACTTCCTCTTTGGGCTCCAGACCTTATGAAAGAGGATGATGGATGAATACAAAAACTGAATAAAAGGATATCCAACAATGAAAATGTCTAGCTAATGAGGTCATTCACTAACTTTATGAAATATACAGTGCATTCGGAAAGTATTCAGACCCCTTGACTTTTTCCACATTTTGTTACGTTACAGCCTTATTCTAAAATTGATTTTTTTTTTTAAAAACATTTCCTCAGCAATCTACACACAATACCCCATAATGACAAAGCGAAAACAGGTTTTTAGATAAAACATTATTTATTTATAAATTTTTTATCAATGGAAATAGAGTGGGGGAAAAAAGTATTTAGTCAGCCACCAAAAGTTCTCCCACTTAAAAAGATGAGAGAGGCCTGTCTTTTTCATCATAGGTACACGTCAACTATGACAGACAAATTGAGAGAAAAAAAATCCTGAAAATCACATTGTAGGATTTTTTATGAATTTATTTGCAAATTATGGTGGAAAATAAGTATTTGGTCACCTACAAACAAGCAAGATTTCTGGCTCTCACAGACCTGTAACTTCTTCTTTAAGAGGCTCCTCTGTCCTCCACTCGTTACCTGTATTAATGGCACCTGTTTGAACTTGTTATCAGTATAAAAAACACCTGTCCACAACCTCAAACAGTCACACTCCAAACTCCACTATGGCCAAGACCAAAGAGCTGTCAAAGGACACCAGAAACAAAATGTAGACCTGCACCAGGCTGGGAAGACTGAATCTGCAATAGGTAAGCAGCTTGGTTTGAAGAAATCAACTGTGGGAGCAATTATTAGGAAATGGAAGACATACAAGACCACTGATAATCTCCCTCGATCTGGGGCTCCACGCAAGATCTCACCCCGTGGGGTCAAAATGATCACAAGAACGGTGAGCAAAAATCCCAGAACCACACGGGGGGACCTAGTGAATGACCTGCAGAGAGCTGGGACCAAAGTAACAAAGCCTACCATCAGTAACACACTACGCCGCCAGGGACTCAAATCCTGCAGTGGCAGACGTGTCCCCCTGCTTAAGCCAGTACATGTCCAGGCCCGTCTGAAGTTTGCTAGAGTGCATTTGGATGATCCAGAAGAGGATTGGGAGAATGTCATATGGTAAGATGAAACCAAAATATAACTTTTTGGTAAAAACTCAACTCGTCGTGTTTGGAGGACAAAGAATGCTGAGTTGCATCCAAAGAACACCATACCTACTATGAAGCATGGGGATGGAAACATCATGCTTTGGGGCTGTTTTTCTGCAAAGGGACTAGGACGACTGATCCGTGTAAAGGAAAGAATGAATGGGGCCATGTATCGTGAGATTTTGAGTGAAAACCTCCTTCCATCAGCAAGGGCATTGAAGATGAAACGTGGCTGGGTCTTTCAGCATGACAATGATCCCAAACACACCGCCCGGGCAACGAAGGAGTGGCTTCGGAAGAAGCATTTCAAGGTCCTGGAGTGGCCTAGCCAGTCTCCAGATCTCAACCCCATAGAAAATCTTTGGAGGGAGTTGAAAGTCTGTGTTGCCCAGCGACAGCCCCAAAACATCACTGCTCTAGAGGAGATCTGCATGGAGGAATGGGCCAAAATACCAGCAACAGTGTGTGAAAACCTTGTGAAGACTTACAGAAAACGTTTGACCTGTGTCATTGCCAACAAAGGGTATATAACAAAGTATTGAGAAACTTTTGTTATTGACCAAATACTTATTTTCCACCATAATTTGCAAATAAATTCATTAAAAATCCTACAATGTGATTTTCTGGAGAAAAAACATCTCATTTTGTCTGTCATAGTTGACGTGTACCTATGATGAAAATTACAGGCCTCTCATCTTTTTAAGTGGGAGAACTTGCACAATTGGTGGCTGACTAAATAAAATGTTTCCCCACTGTACCTTATTTACATAAGTATTACTATGAGACTCGAAAATTGAGCTCAGGTGCATCCTGTTTCCATTAATCATCCTTGAGATGTTTCTACAACTTGATTGGAGTCCACCTGTGGTAAATTCAATTGATTGGACATGATTTGGAAAGGCACGCACCTGTCTATATAAGGTCCCACAGTTGACAGTGCATGTCAGAGCAAAAACCAAGCCATGAGGTCGAAGGAATTGTACGTAGAGCTTCGAGACAGGATTGTGTCGAGGCACAGATCTGGGGAAGGGTACTTCTGCAGCATTGAATGTCCCCAAGAACACAGTGGCCTCCATTTTTTAAAATGGAACCACCAAGACCCTTCCTAGAGCTGGCCGCCCGGCCAAACTGAGCAATCGTGGGAGAAGGGCCTTGGTCAGGGAGGTGACCAAGAACCTGATGGTCACTCTGACAGCGCTCCAGAGTTCCTCTGTGGAGATGGGAGAACCTTCCAAAAGGACAACCATCTCTGCAGCACTCCACCAATCAGGCCTTTATGGTAAAGTGGCCAGATGGAAGCCACTCCTCAGTAAAAGGCACATGACAGCCCGCTTGAAGAGACTCGCAGACCATGAGAAACAAGATGCTCTGGTCTGATGAAACCAAGATTGAACTCTTTGGCCTGAATGCCAAGCGTCACATCTGGAGGAAATCTGGTGGCAGCATCATGCTGTGGGGATGTTTTCAGCGGCAGGGACTGGCAGACTAGTCAGGATCGAGGCAAAGATGAATGGAGCAAAGTACAGAGAGATCCTTGATGAAAACCTGCTCCAGAGCGCTCAGGACCTCAGACTGGGGCGAAGGTTCACCTTCCAACAGGACAACAACCCTAAGCACACAGCCAAAACAACGCAGGAGTGGCTTCGGGACAAGTCTCTGAATGTCCTTGAGTGGCCCAGCCAGAGCCCGGACTTGAACCCGATCGAACATCTCTGGAGAGACCTGAAAATAGCTGTTCAGCAATGCTCCCCATCCAACCTGACAGAGCTTGAGAGGATCTGCAGAGAAGAATGGGAGAAACTCCCCAAATACAGGCGTGCCAAGCTTGTAGCGTCATACCCAAGAACACTCAATGCTGTAATCGCTGGCAAAGGTGCTTCAACAAAGCTTAAAGCTTAAACTATGTATTTAGATTGTAGTTAGGTATTGTAGGTAGTTATCGTGGGTTGTTGTATGTAATTATTGTAGGTTAGTATTGTATTCGACTGAGCCCGGTGAAGCACGAAGCTAGCTAACCCACTACCTGGACTAGCTAGCGGGTAACTACTGGTAACTATTTGCAACTGTGGATAGTTGTTTCACGCCTGAGAGTACCTGTAATTACGCCAGCTAGCTGCCTACAATAGTTACATACAATAATGCCTACCATTCAGCTGTTTTTCTAACCTCATTGTCTGAAGCGTAACGTTAGGTAGTAAGTGGCTACTGTGCTTGAAATTTAGCTAGCTTGTTGCTACCTGGATAGCTACTAAACAATGGCTGGAACGACCTAGCGAACAGACGCGAACTGGCTGAGTCAATTCAGTGGCTAGCTTTGCACTTGGCTAGCTAACAGTAACTGCTAGGGGTAAGTTATAACCTACATTTGTGTTTTGTTTTTACATACTGGTAGCCAGAGTCGTTCAATGGAATTCGGGACATGGGTGACTAATTAACATTAGCTTGGCTGTGTGTTCGTGCCGTGGGAGGAGGGGTTTCTTCTTTGTCTGAAAGCAATGGCTAGCTAGTATGCTAACTATTCTAGCTAACTAACTGGCTGAATAAGTTGACGACGGACTCGCTCAAGCTGTCGGGACTAACCCACAACGTTAGACACGGACACGAATGATCTGCTTGGCGTGTTGACACACTGGTGGTTTGTTGTGGCCGAGTATTGGTGCTAAACCGTGTTGTTGGAGTCCAGCATGCTAGTTGGCTGTGGCGTCATATGACTAGGTGCCCTGGACGATTTTCACGGAAGAATACTGTACCAAGTTAGCTAGCTGAATAAACTAAGTTAGTCTAATCCTAGAAAACATTGAACCGCTGTAGTTTACAACAATTTTAGTTTCTGAGGTGGAAGTTGGGAGAGTTATATTTGGGTGTTTCAGTGAAACATAAGTGAGGGAGGCCCCACTCTCTCCTTTCCCAGATGTTTAGTTCATTTCATTCCGATCTCCTTTGCATTATTGTAGCCATTTTCTGTAGCCTGTCAACTATGCCTCTGTCTATCCCTGTTCTCTCCTCTCCGCACAGGCTATACAAACGGCTCACACCGCGTGGCTGCTGCCTCTCTAACCTGGTGGTCCCTGCACGCACCACCCACATGGAGTTCCAGGTCTCAGGCAGCCTCTGGAACTGCCGTTCTGCTGCCAACAAGGCAGAGCCTATGCTACCCTCCAGTCCCTCGAATTCTTGGCGCTGACGGAAACATGGATTACCACTGAAAACACTGCTACTCCTACTGCTCTCTCCTCGTCTGACCATGTGTTCTCGCATACCCTGAGAGCATCTGGTCAGCGGGGTGGTGGCACAGGAATCCTCATCTCTCCCAAGTGGACATTCTCTCTTTTCCCCCTGACCCATCTGTCTATCTCCTCATTTGAATTCCATGCTGTCACAGTCACTAGCCCATTCAAGCTTAACATCCTTGTCATTTATCGCCCTCCAGGTTCCCTTGGAGAGTTCATCAATGAGCTTGACGCCTTGATAAGTTCCTTTCCTGAGGATGGCTCACCCCTCACAGTTCTGGGTGACTTCAACCTCCCTACGTCTACCTTTGACTCATTTCTCTCTGCCTCCTTCTTTCCACTCCTCTCCTCTTTTGACCTCACCCTCTCACCGTCCCCCCCAACTCACAAGGCAGGCAAAAGACGCTTGACCTCATCTTTACTAGATGCTGTTCTTCTACTAATCTCACTGCAACTCCCCTCCATGTCTCCGACCACTACTTTGTATCCTTTTCTCTCTCGCTCTCCTCCAACACTACTCACTCTGCCCCTACTCAGATGGTAATGCGCCGTCGCAAACTTCGCTCTCTCTCTCCCGCTACTCTCTCCTCTTCCATCCTATCATCTCTTCCCTCTGCTCAATCCTTCTCCCTCCAATCTCCTGATTCTGCCTCCTCAACCCTCCTCTCCTCCCTTTCTGCATCCTTTGACTCTCTATGTCCCCTATCCTCCCGGCCGGCTCGGTCCTCCCCTCCTGCTCCGTGGCTTGATGACTCATTGCGAGCTCACAGAACAGGGCTCCGAGCAGCCGAGCGGAAATGGAGGAAAACTAGACTCCCTGCGGACCTGGCATCTTTTCACTCCCTCCTCTCTACATTTTCTTAATCTGTTTCTGCTGCTAAAGCCACTTTCTACCACTCTAAATTCCAAGCATCTGCCTCTAACCCTAGGAAGCTCTTTGCCACCTTCTCCTCCCTGCTGAATCCCCCCCCCCCCCCCTCCCCCCTCCTTCCTCTCTGTGGATGACTTCGTCAACCATTTTGAAAAGAAGGTTGACGACATCCGATCCTCGTTTGTTAAGTCAAATGACACTGCTGGTCCTGCTCACACTGCCCTACCCTATGCTTTGACTTCTTTCTCCCCTCTCTCTCCAGATAAAATCTTGCGACTTGTGACGGCCGGCCGCCCAACAACCTGCCTGCTTGACCCTATCCCCTCCTCTCTTCTCCAGACCATCTCCGGTGACCTTCTCCCTTACCTCACCTCGCTCATCAACCCATCCTTGACCGCTGGCTATGTCCCTTCCGTCTTCAAGAGAGCGAGAGTTGCACCCCTTCTCAAAAAACCAACACTCGATCCCTCTGATGTCAACAACTACAGACCAGTATCCCTTCTTTCTTTTCTCTCCAAAACTCTTGAGCGTGCCGTCTTTAGCCAACTCTCTTGCTATCTCTCTCAGAATGACCTTCTTGATCCAAACCAGTCAGGTTTCAAGACTGGTCATTCAACTGAGACTGCTCTTCTCTGTGTCACGGAGGCTCTCCGCACTGCTAAAGCTAACTTTCTCTCCTCTGCTCTTGTCCTTCTAGACCTGTCTGCTGCCTTTGATACTGTGAACCATCAGATCCTCCTCTCCACCCTCTCCGAGTTGGGCATCTCCGGCGCGGCTCAATCTTGGATTGCGTCCTACCTGACCGGTCGCTCCTACCAAGTGGCGAGAATCTGTCCCCGCACCACGTGCTCTCACCACTGGTGTCCCCCAGGGCTCAGTTCTAGGCCCTCTCCTATTCTCGCTATACACCAAGTCACTTGGCTCTGTCATATCCTCACATGGCCTCTCCTATCATTGCTACGCAGACGATACACAACTAATCTTCTCCTTTCCCCCTTCTGATAACCAGGTGGCGAATAGCATCTCTGCATGTCTGGCAGACATATCAGTGTGGATGACGGATCACCACCTCAAGCTGAACCTCGGCAAGACGGAGCTGCTCTTCCTCCCGGGGAAGGACTGCCCGTTCCATGATCTTGCCATCACGGTTGACAACTCCGTTGTGTCCTCCTCTCAGAGTGCGAAGAGCCTTGGCGTGACCCTGGACAACACCCTGTCGTTCTCCGCTAACATCAAGGCGGTGACCCGATCCTGTAGGTTCATGCCCTACAACATTCGGAGAGTACGACCCTGCCTTACACAGGAAGCGGCACAGGTCCTAATCCAGGCACTTGTCATCTCCCGTCTGGATTACTGCAACTCGCTGTTGGCTGGGCTCCCTGCCTGTGCCATTAAACCCCTACAACTCATCCAGAATGCCGCAGCCCGTCTGGTGTTCAACCTTCCCAAGTTCTCTCACGTCACCCCGCTCCTCCGCACACTCCACTGGTTTCCAGTTGAAGCTCGCATCTGCTACAAGACCATGGTGCTTGCCTACGGAGCTGTGTGGGGAACTGCACCTCCGTACCTTCAGGCTCTGATCAGTCCCTACACCCAAACGAGGGCATTGCGTTCATCCACCTCTGGCCTGCTGGCCCCACTACCTCTGCGGAAGCACAGTTCCCGCTCAGCCCAGTCAAAACTGTTCGCTGCTCTGGCACCCCAATGGTGGAACAAGCTCCCTCACGACGCCAGGACAGCGGAGTCACTCACCACCTTCCGGAGACACTTGAAACCCCACCTCTTTAAGGAATACCTGGGATAGGATAAAGTAATCCCTCTACCCCCCTTACCCCACCCCCCCAAAAAATAAAATAAAACATATTGTAAAGTGGTTATCCCACTGGCTATAAGGTGAATGCACCAATTTGTAAGTCGCTCTGGATAAGAGCGTCTGCTAAATGATGTAAATGTAAATGTACTGAGTAAAGCGTCTGAATACTTTGTAAATGTGATATTTCAGTTGTTGTTTTAAGAAATATATAATTTAGCATCAAGTTTCTAAAAAACAGTTTTTGCTTTGTCATTATGGGGTATTGTGTGTAGATTGATGAGGGGAAAAAACAATTTAATCAATTTTAGAATAAGGCTGTAACGTAACAAAATGTGGAAAAAGTGAAGGGGTCTGTATACAGTAAATAAATGTTGCGTCTGCTGTCTCTCTGTTTATTCTTTCTTTGTTGTTGTTTCTTGTTATTTTTAATTAAATGAAAGGATATAATATGCCATTTAGCAGACGCTTTTATCCGAAGCGACTTACAGTCATGCGTGCATACATTTTTGTGTATGGGTGGTCCCGGGGATCAAACCCACTACCTTGGCGTTACAAGCGCCGTGCTCTACCAGCTGAGCTACAGAGGACCACAACAATGAAAAAATGTCTAGCTAATGACATCATTCCTTAACTTCATGAAATATAACACATTCCAACAGAAAATGAATTTTGCGTCTGCTGTCTCTCTGTTTTTGATTTCTTTGTTGTTGTTTCTTGTTCTTTTAAATTTCCATCTGTAACATGTGTTGAGACATTGTGAAATGAACATTAAATAAAATGTGACTTGAAGTTTGTTAATTACATTTGTTTTGTGTGGGACTTACCGAGTCGTTCCCTAAGATCTTCGTTTTCGTCCAGAAGGTTGTTGATTCTCATCTCCAGCTGGTTGATCTCTCTGGTCATAGCCTCCGCCTCACGGTCTCGCACTCTCATTTGATGCTTACACTCTTTGATCTCAGCGATGGCCACCTGCAGACCGTCAGTGCCCTGCAGGACAGTAAAGAGAGACAAGAGAGATCAGCCATGGCTTTCGTACTTTGTTTAATCTAGGATACAAGCTTTGACAGACCAGACATCTCGAAAACAAAGCCTGTTGCATTAGTCATGAAAATAACCACAGGGGTAGGGGAAAATTTTTTTCTGATTAGGGTAGAAGAAGTTGACCTTGTTGGAGAACCTTAAGCAACTGAGCATGTGTGAAACCGGGCAGGCTGAGCAGACTTACAGACTCATAAAGTCTCATATGGCTTAAGGTGTCACTGAGCTCTTTGTCCTTGTCCCTGGCGTCTGTCTCGGCTAGCTCGGCCACACGTTCTGCCTCCCGTGCTCTTGTCTCTGTGGCCTGCAGCTTAGCGGTTAGCTCGTCCAGCTTCCTCTGCTGGACAGCTGAGGGCAGACCTGGGGAAAAACTTAAAGCTATGAGCTATTGCTAACAATGCTACATCAGAGTCAATGGTTCTGTGCTACACTAGAGATACAAATGCTAACTCTAACGGCCTAAATGGCTTCCCTTTAAGAAACATTTTAGCTAAACTGGCTGAAGCAAAAAAATATACTGTAAAGTTGGCGCCAACTAACCTGCAGCGAATTCCCACACTCCCACACCTTTTCAATCTTATAGCAATGTTGGTGCATAGCAGCCTTGGCTGACACCAAGAACAAAATTCCTTTTTAACAGCATCCAGATCCATGTGCTTTTACAAGACAATTTGACACGCACCTCTGTCTTTCTTCAGGGGCTTCTTGAGTTCCTCTATGAGCAGGGCATTTCTCTCCATCTCCCCCGTATACTGCTCCACTTGCTCTGTCAGCATCTTGATTTGATTGTCCCTCTCTTGCACGGCCTTGAAGACATTCATAAACATTTTATTAGTTTGGATCCAGCATTAGTACAAAGACAACCACGGAAGAGCACAGCAGGTTGTGATTTGTGGACAATAATGTGTAATAAAAGACATGAGATATTGTGAAATTAAATTAAATGAAAGCAGAGAGAGGTATGTAAAATAGACAAGAAATATGGAAGACCGAGTAACTTACACCACATAGCTCATATATGACCTGGCCACGAGTTAGTGATGCGAGTGCAAGTAAAGACAGGAGAAAACAGGAGAAAAGAACAGAATGAACAGAAGAGAAGCTGCAGTGAAAATGACAGATGGAACACAAAGATACAGTATCTTGTCTGAAGTTGGTACTGCCGATGTGCCAACATCTGTCTGTAGAGTCTGAACGGTTGGGGCTAAACACTAATCTACGACCTCCACAAGTGTCACAGGACTTGTCTGAAGGTAACACGGTACCGGGCCGAAAAACAAATGGAAGTGAATAGGGCATTTCCACGTGTAACAAATACGCGAGTGCGTAAATCCCACAAAAGCCAAAGAACCTAAACATACAAGACAGGCGGACAATAACACACAAAATGCAAACCTAACACAGGGGAACTTATAGGAGACATAATCAAGACAGAATACGAGACAGGTGCACCAACTAGACATAACCAAACAAACATCGAAAACATCAAGCGGTAGTAGCTAGTACTCCGGGGACGACGAACGCCGAAGCCTGCCCGAGCAAGGAGGAGGAGCAGCCTCGGCGGTCTCCGTGACATCAATGTTTCATCAAATACTGTTTTTATATACAGTACCAGTCAAATGTTTGGACACACCTACTCATTCAAGGGTTTTTCTTTATTTTTACCATTTTCTACATTGTAGAATAATAGTGAAGACATCAAAACTATGAAATAACAAAAAGTGTTAAACAAATCCAAATATATTTTAGATTCTACAAAGTAGCCACCCTTTGCCTTGATGACAGCTTTGCACACTCTTGGCATTCTCTCAACCAGCTTCACCTGGAATGCTTTTCCAACAGTCTTGAAGGAGTTCCCACATATGCTGAGCACTTGTTGGCTGCTTTTCCTTCACTCTGTGGTCCAACTCATCCCAAACCATCTCAATTGGGTTGAGGTCGGGTGATTGTGGAGGCCAGGTCATCTGATGCAGCACTCCATCACTCTCCTTCTAGGTCAAATAGCCCTTACACAGCCTGGAGGTGTGTTGGGTCATTGTCCTGTTGAAAAGCAAATGATAGTCCCACTAAGCCCAAACTAGATGGGCTGGCGTATCGCTGCAGAATGCTGTGGTAGCCATGCTGTTTAAGTGTGCCTTGAATTCTAAATAAATCACAGACATTGTCACCAGCAAAGCACACACACACACCATCACACCTCCTCCTCCATGCTTCACGGTGGGAACCACACATGCGGAGATCATCTGTTCACCTACCCTGCGTCTCACAAAGACATGGCGGTTGGAACCAAAAATATGAAATTTGGACTCATCAGACCAAAGGACAGATTTCCACCGATCTAATGTCCATTGCTCGTGTTTCTTGGCCCAAGTAAGTCTCTTCTTCTTATTGGTGTCCTTTAGTAGTGGTTTCTTTGCAGCAATTTGACCATGAAGGCCTGATTCACGCAGTTTCCTCTGAACAGTTGATGTTGAGATGTGTCTGTTACTTGAACTCTGTGAAGCATTTACTTGGGCTGCAATCTGAGGTGCAGTTAACTCTAATTAACTTATCCTTTGCAGCAGTGGTAACTCTGGGTCTTCCTTTCCTGTGGCGGTCCTCATGAGAGCCTGTTTCATCATAGCACTTGATGGTTTTTGCGACTGCACTTGAAGAAACTTTCAAAGTTCTTGAAATGTTCTGGATTGACTGACCTTCATGTCTTAAAGTAATGATGGACTGTCATTTCCCTTTGCTTATTTGAGCTGTTCTTGCCATAATATGGACTTGGTCTTTTACCAAATAGGGCTATCTTCTGTATACCACCCCTACCTTGTCACAACACAACTGATTGGCTCAAACGCATTAATTAACTTTTAACAAGGCACACCTGTTAATTGAAATGCATTCCAGGTGACTACCTCATGAAGCTGGTTGAGAGAATGCCAAGAGTGTGCAAAGCTTTCATCAAGGCAAATGGGGGCTATTTGAAGAATCTCAAATATAAAATATATTTTAATTTGTTTAACACTTTTTTGGTTACTACATGTCATAGTTTTGATGTCTTCACTATTATTCTACATTTACATTACATTTTAGTCATTTAGCAGACGCTCTTATCCAGCGTCTGCTAAATGACTAAAATGTAATGTAAATGTAGACTAATAGTGAAGACATCAAAACTATGACATGTAGTAACCAAAAAAGGAGCAATTAGGGTTAAGTGCCTTGCTCAAGGGCACATCGACAGATTTTCACCTAGTTGGCTCGGGGATTTGAACCAGCGACCTTTCGGTTACTGGCACAACGCTTTTAACCACTAAGCTACCTGCCGTCCCTGACAATGTAGAATAATAGTCAAAATAAAGAAAAACCCTGGAATGAGTAGCTGTGTCCAGACTTTTGACTGGTACTGTATATATATATTTTTATACCTACAGGGGTCCTAAAATTCTAAATCAAATAGCTACATGATGCTTGGTATGACCATCTTAAAACAATTCCATATGTTAGCTTAGTAGAAACCCAGCCCCTGGCACGTAGTTAAAATATGTTCACCGTTGAAATATATGTATCTTTTAACAGACAGATATTTCAAAGATAAAGAAAGATAAACAAAAAACACATTGTTTGAACTGATAGATTTAGAGATTTCCTAATTAAAAATTTGTATTTCACCTTTATTTAACCAGGTAAGCCAGTTGAGAACAAGTTCTCATTTACAACTGCGACCTGGCCAAGATAAAGCAAAGCAGTGCGATAAAAACAACAATAAAGTATAAAATGCCACTGTTTTTAAAATAATTTGCATGTGTCGTTCCATGTACTGTAAGTACCAAACACCACACAAAAAGTTCCCTCACAGGAACAATTAACTATCTCAATTGAAGTATGAAAATGTATGCACTCACTACTGTAAGTCGCTCTGGATAAGAGCGTCTGCTAAATGACTCAAATGTAAAAGTAAAATTCCGATCTAGCCAAGTTTCTTAGATGTATTTATATGTGTTTATTTATATAAAGATAAGGATTTTCAGCTTTGAGACGGACCTGCTGCAAGGCGATGATGTTGCTCTTGTCTGTGTCCATCTGGGCCGAGCGTAGCTTGTCCCTTAACTCGCGGATCATCTGCTGGTACTCCATGATCTCCTCATCCTTCCCAGCCAGCACTCTCTGAAAATCACAAATCACAAACACAACCAAGGCCACTCACAGAAACGCAAACGCAGAGATCCCAGGGCCACTGACTGAAAACCACACAACTGCAACTAACCAGGCAGTATGCCTTGACGAAGACAGGCCCAAAGCCAAAATGTTTTAATTTATGCTGACTGACTACTAATGTTTGAAGTGTGAAGAATAAATGTAAATATTCCCTCTACACATAATTAGCTGTGTGTTGTCAAGTTCTTTAATGATTCAGAAAACATACAGACAGCAGCATGCAGTACTTGATACCGTCAGTGTATCACCTGCTGCCTTTTCTCCAAGCCAGGTAAATGATGTGAGAACACCCACCTTCCATTCGTCCACCTTGGCGTTGACGGCTGCCATGACAGGGTCATCTTCCTCCGCCCGGCTCTGAATCTGCTCCGTCAGCTCTCTGACCTGAAGTGAAGAACACAGCACACAGTAGTACATTGTTTTTATTCAGCACCAATGGATGTACGTTATTTACAGTGTCAATTCACAAAAATGTTTCGATATTAGAAATGCTTCATAAAGTCTATGCAAAGCAGTGCTGAAACTTTCCCAGGTTCAACCTTTACATTTTTCCGTATAACCAGAAAACCAGTTTGCAACCTGTAATTTTGTCCCTCTGGGCTACCTGTAGCTTGGCGTGGTCCCTCTCCTTCCTCAGCTGGTCCATGATGGAGTCTGTCTGCTGCACGACGATCTTCATCTTGTTGTACTCGTCCGTCATCTTCTCCATCTCCTTCACTGACTCCTCTAGGCTCTTCTGCATCTGATCGTTCTGTGTCTTCAGGTGGGCTACCTCTTCCTCCGCACGCTAGAGGTAGAGGAGTGAGGACACAGTTCTGGGGTTAGTACAGTAAGCAATGTAAATCATGCATTGATATCAATGGAAGATTTTGTCCTTGTGTTTCTCAAGTCAGGACTTGTCCCCAATATCCTTTTGACACTACTGAGCCAAGTCAAGCCGAGTTGTACTGCGCTGGTCTGGTTACGCATTAGGATAATATCCAAATCAGCGCAGTACTCTTCGAGGCAGACTCTTTGTATGAAAGGGTATACTGTAAGTGCAGTTTGGTGTCTGCAGTACCTGCACGTCTTCCATGCACTGGTAGAGCTGTCTGTTGGCTGAGTTGAGCCTCCTCTGTGTCTCAGTACTCTCCTCTCTGGACTGGACCGGCTCCTTCTGGTCCAGCTCCCTCCTGTAGAAGTCTACATCCTGCTGGAGCTGCTCGTTCTGACACACACCAAGGAGAAACAGTTAGAGAGGAGTAGTGGGACCCAGTGCCTAATCTACTCTCATAGGTTAAATGCTAACTACTACATCATCATATACTTGTCCAACCACATACTACAACACACACTTATACTGGTGTACAGTCGTGGTCAAAAGTTTTGAGAATGACACAAATATTAAATATTAATTAAAGTCTGCTGCCTCAGTTTTTATGATGGCAATTTGCATATACTCCAGAATGTTATGAAGAGTGATCAGATGAATTGCAATTAATTGCAAAGTCCCTCTTTGCCATGAAAATGAACATAATCCACAAAAAACTTTTCCACTGCATTTAATCCCTGCCACAAAAGGACCAGCTGACATCATGTCAGTGATTCTCTCGTTAACACAGGTGAGAGTGTTGACGAGGACAAGGCTGGAGATCACTCTGTCATGCTGATTGAGTTAGAATAACAGACTGGAAGCTTTAAAAGGAGGGTGGTGCTTGAAACCATTGTTCTTCCTCTGTTAACCATGGTTACCTGCAAGGAAACACGTGCCGTCATCATTGCTTTGCACATAAAGGGCTTCACAGGCAAGGATATTGCTTCTAGTAAGATTGCACCTAAATCAACCATTTATCGGATCATCAAGAACTTCAAGGAGAGAGGTTCAATTGTTGTGAAGAAGGCTTCAGGGCGCCCAGGAAAGTCCAGCAGGGGCCAGGACCGTCTCCTAAAGTTGATTCAGCTGCGGGATCAGGGCACCACCAGTGCAGAGCTTGCTCAGGAATGGCAGCAGGCAGGTGTGAGTGCATCTGCACGCACAGTGAGGCGAAGACTTTTGGAGGATGGCCTGGTGTCAAGAAGGGCAGCGAGGAAGCCACTTCTCTCCAGGAAAAACATCAGGGACAGACTGATATTCTGCAAAAGGTACAGGGATTGGACTGCTGAGGACTGGGGTAAAGTTATTTTCTCTGATGAATCCCCTTTCCGATTTTTTGGTGCATCCGGAAAAAGCTTGTCCGGAGAAGACAAGGTGAGCGCTAACATCAGTCCTGTGTCATGCCAACAGTAAAGCATCCTGAGACCATTCATGTGTGGGGTTGCTTCTCAGCCAAGGGAGTGGGCTCACTCACAATTTTGCACACAGCCATGAATAAAGAATGGTACCAACACATCCTCCGAGAGCAACTTCTCCCAACCATCCAAGAACAGTTTGTTGACGAACAATGCCTTTTCCAGCATGATGGAGCACCTTGCCATAAGGCAAAAGTGCTAACTAAGTGGCTCGGGGAACAAAACATCGAAATGTTGGGTCCATGGCCAGGAAACTCCCCAGACCTTAATCCCATTGAGAATTTGTGGTCAATCCTCAAGAGGCGGGTGGACAAACAAAACCCCACAAATTCTGACAAACTCCAAGCATTGATTATGCAAGAATGGACTGCCATCAGTCAGGATGTGGCCCAGGGTGGATTGCAGAGGTCTTGAAAAAGAAGGATCAACACTGCAAATATTGACTCTGCATAAACTTAATGTAATTGTCAATAAAAGCCTTTGACACTTATGGAATGCTTGTAATTATACTTCAGTATACCATAGTAACATCTGACAAAAATAACTAAAAACACTGAAGCAACAAACTTTGTGAAGACCAATACTTGTGTCATTCTCAAAACGTTTGACCACGTCTGTATACTGTCATACACATATTATGAACAGTTAACACACACTTATACTGGTATATACGGTCATACACGTACTATGAACAGTTAACACACACTTATACTGGTATATACGGTCATACACGTATTATGAACAGTTAACACACACTTATACTGGTGTATACTGTCATACATATATTATGAACAGTTAACACACACGCAGACAGACACACACTAGTGTTTTCTTCACTTAGACTAACACGTATTTTCACCTTTAAAGGTCCAATGCAGCTGTTCTTATCTCAATGTCAAATCATTTTTGGGTAACAATGAAAAACTTACTGTGATTGTTTTCAATTAAAATGGTCAAAAATAAACTAAAATAGCTTCTTCACAAAGAGCAATATCTCAAGCAATAATTTTGCTAGCACTGTCAGGGAGTGATCTTAGTGGGAATGGGGAAACTGAAAACTAGCTGTTACTGGCAGAGAGGTTTGGAACTCTCTTTCTTATTGGTATATTGAGAAATGCAAAAACTCCATCCCACCAAAACAGGCTGAAATTTCAGGCGGTCTTTTCAAACAGCTCTTACACTAAAAAGGGCATTATCATAATTTGGGCACAACGTAGCAAATCATTTTGAAACGGCAAACAAAAATAAATGTTCAGGTAGTGCCTCCCCAATTCAGACATGACCAAGCTGTCACTAACCTCTCTTTTCAGCTTCCTGCTCTCATCCTCAGCCTCCTCTGCCCGAATCATCAACTGTGGGAACATATGGGAGATATTAGGTGCATGGGAACTGTGAACGCAATGGGAGGTGACTTTGTATAGGCTACATACAGTAAAATCAATGTAACATTTTGCACTAGTATGACATTGCATGACATGCTTTTCAAAGTAGGAAGGTCTTAGTATAGTATTGAGTACACAATGACACAAATTGACACTAGCTTGCTATGGAATTAATGACGTCTTATAACATAAGGTCATACTTCCTCATTGATTTTCTTCTCCTTGCTCGTCTCTTTCTCCAAATGTTGGATGTCCTTCTCTCTACGGTCCAACTGGGCTTCCAGTGTGCGCATCTCGCCCCGCATGAAGCGAGTGTCTGGCCCGCCGCCAACGCCCGACTTCTTGGCCATCTGGACAGGAAATCAAGCAGACAACAAACTCTCAGACTCCCTCTGTTTACAACACTTACTCATGTAATTAAACTACCACCAGGCTCTCAAAACAAGATTAGTTTATGTGTCCATTTGCTTCTATGAAAGTGTAAAAAAGTCCCAGGGCAAAATTATTGTTCAGGAAACGCAGAGAAAAGCACAACAAACCGCAGCTTAGCAGAGCACTCTAATCTCCTTAAGTGCCGTCATTCTATGGTCACAGCTTACAATCTCCTTTGTGGACAGTGAGTGACTTTACTATTGGCTGAGAGGTGTACTAAGTCCTATTGAAGGAAACTGAGCAGCATGAGGTGAAATGACCTGTGGTCCAATTCAATCAAAACTGCTATCCAGAACCGGCAGTTTCGATTGGACCCTAAAGCTTCACCGTTTCATTTAATGACAACATTCACACCAAGCCTTACCTCTAACTCTTGTTCCCACTTTAACTCCTTGGCCTTCCACTCATTTTCTGTAAGACACAAAATAGATACTGTTGTAGTATCGACTGTGGGCCATTCATTTCAAACACTAGTCCCAACAACTGGATTGCAAATAATGCTTTATGCACCTACCCGATCTAGCTTGTTCTGTCCCGGCATTATCGATGAGTTCAAATGCCATGGTAACCTCCTCTTTCTTCAACTGCAAAAATATATAAAGATTTTGAAAGGCTTGGGTGGTATATCGTATATAGAAAAGGTTGGTCAGCACACCTTGTTATTGGATTTTCAACTTAAGTTTACAATTGTAATAAAAAAATAAAGAAAAGTATTATTGGCACCCTGGAGCTAGTACTTGGTTTCACAGCCTTTGGCCAAGATAACTGCCGACAAACACTTATTGTAGCCATCAATGAGCTTGCTGCACCTTTCTATTGACAATTCGGCATACTTTTCAGCAGAAAACTGCTCTAATTCTTCTATATTTGAGGGGTACCCGCCACCAACTACGGTTTTCAGATCCCACTATAGGTTTTGGATGTGATTCAGATCTGTTATCTTCACTGGCCACTACAGAACAGTCCAGCATCTCTTCTTAACCATTCCTAGATGCTTTTTGATGTGTGTTTTGGTTTGTTGTCCTGCTGGAAGACCCACAACCTTCAGTGGAGACCCAGTTTTTGGACACTGGTCTGACCATTGGACTACAAAACACCTGATAATCTGCTGATTTCATTATGCCTAACAAACCTAAATCCTGGGAGAAATGTTATGTGGACCAATTAAATGATTTTAGAGCTCTTTGGCAATACAGACCAGCGCTGTGTTTACTGAGCACCAAATTAAGCATAATTCAATGAACATGCTGTGGGGTTGCTTTGCTGCCTCTGGTACTGGAGGCCTTGATTGTGTGCAAGATATTAAATCAGTAGATTATTAAGGTGTTTTGAAGTGCAATGTTCAATCCAGTGCCCAAAAACTGTGTCTCTGTTGAAGGTTGTGGGTCTTCCAGTAGGACAACAACCCCAAACACACATAAAAAGCACCTTAGAATGATTAAAAAAGAAACACTGGACTGTTCTGGAGTGGCCAGTGAAGAGCATAACATATGGCGAGAGCTGGAAACAGCAGTTGGTGGAGTGCACCCTTCAAACATTGAAGAATTAGCGCAGTTTCGTGCTGAATAGTGGGCCAAATTGCCAGTAGAAAGGTGCAGCAAGCTCTTTGATGACTACAAGAATCATTTGTGGCAGTTATCTTGGCAACCAAGTACTAGCTCCAGGGTGCCAATAATTTTGTCCATGCCACTCATCTTTATTTTCCTAAATAAAAATGGTAAACTTAAATTTACAAAAATGTAATTGGTTTCTGCAATGTTGAACATCGAATAAAAAGGTGTGGAGACCAAAAGTTATTTTCAATTTCAACTTGTTTTAGAAGAAATAGGTAATTATTTAAGAAAAGTGCAAGGGTTCAATATATTTGACAGCAACTGTACGTAACATGAAACTGAGACTATAACAGATGCATACTGTAAATCCACACACAAGCAGGTCAAGAGATTAAGCAAATATAATCAAACTGTACTCTATTACTTATACCACACTGTGTAGAGCTTATTCCTTCACACCAACTACATTATGTATTCCACTGATATTAACATTGGATGAAATCATTTCAGGATTTCATTTCAGCACAGTGATGGAACACAGTTTTAGTGAGCTTGAGTAATGCAGCTCTGGATGTGTCTGGGTAATTATAGCATGGGACACCTTCAGAAGGCCCTGAGCGACTCGCAAGAGCTGAACAATTTCCTCTGGGCTTCCATCTTTCAGCTCCCGCTCCCATCTTTTGACCTGCAGAGAAATAGAGCACCAAGGCTGTTCAATTAAACATAATGCGAATTTGACCTCAGGCAGAAACACATCAACAACTGTACTGCTAGGTGCAAAATGAAGTAAACCCTGTGCATAGCAGTCTAGACCCAGGAACAAGTACTGCTTGGTATTTTATGCATGTTCCTGTCTCACTGGTATCAGAGGTCAAAATTGCTTACATGTTTGTTTAGTCTACAAGCCAGGTGCTTTCCTAGCCAAATAGGGAAATGGTAGGGGGATCAAAATTAGGTGCACAGAAGAGGATTAGTCTGTTTTTAGGCATTTTGGTGACACAGGCAGTCTGTAATTTGGCAGCAGGCAGCGGAGTCCTTTGCGTTGTTTACACCGACAAATCAGTCTGATGCTTTTGTCAGGGGCAGCAGGGACCGACCACTCACTAGATTGGACTATTTGATTGAAACACACTTGGGAAACAGTACTATCAGATTAGAATATTTGAGGTGCACGCATGGACACCTAGGAACAGGTATGTGTGTTTCGGGAACAGTAATGTCACTGTACCTGTAAAAACATGTGGTTGATTATCTCTGCATCTCCGCTCTCCTGCAGCTGTTCTGGGTCAGCATCCATCACCATTCTCCAGTCAAGATGAGGAGGCATTGTGACAATTGTGTTACCTAACAGGAACTGGGGAACAAATTGATGGACAGACACACATTGTAAGTTAGGGTAATGCTGTAAAGGGACAACATATAGCTATGGCTATTATCCTTGCAAAATGCATTTTAGTTGTGGCTATGTAGCTAGCTAACGTTAGCTGCTGCTATTTGCTTCAAGATTAGCTAAACATTGCATTGGCATTGGGCGACACAAAATACATTCAACAATGCATATGAATAACATATGGTGATATGCATGCAACTGGGTTATTTTCCTTTTATCAGTAAGTAGCTTTTATCTAACCTTTTTTTTCATATGCCCGCTGCAACGTACTGTTTGGCTAGCTCACTTGCTATTTTAGATAGCCATCTTTAACTGCTGCTCCAGTTGCTAAGTTACCGTTGACAACAGTCGTAAATCGATTCGTGCAACCTGCTACTTTACGGCTGATAACGTCAAGTCACTAATGCAAAAGCTATTTAGTGAGCCAAAGAGCTTTCTGTCCACTTTAGTACACGTTTCACGTTTTATAGAAAATACATTGTATCCCCACCTTTTTTTTTTATAGTGTCAGTGGATGTGTGACAACAACATTATAGTCACGGCTGTTTCAGAAACCACTGCCACTTTTTACCTTCAACTTTGCCCCGGAAATGTTTTGGGATTTATTGCGAGCCTTTTTTGATGGCCTTTATGTTCATACTAGTTGCTAGCGTATGCAAAATCAGAACGTCAATGGCCGATAAAATACTCTAGTTCACGTATGTTTCTGTATTTTCACACTTCTTCTAACATTGCTATTGAATATATTTAAGGAAATGTAAGCTATTTTTATCAGTAGTTTGTAAACGAGATAATCAAGTCAAATGCTAGATAGCCAAACAATTTACCTAGTTTAACCAACGTAACACTAGCAGGCATAGAAATACCTACTGTAGCTAGCTAACGTTAGAGTTTTTGTTTTGCGTCTAATTAGTCACAATTACTGCATAACTACATGATAATGTTTGACGTTTATTGAAGTTAAATGTAACATGTATAACTAACATAACTGAAACGGCATGATTCCAATCGTGTTCTCGATGTATAGCTTAGCTAGCTAGTGAGGAACGCATACTAACGCCGGGGACCAGAGCTAGCACACTACATTGGAGCCTTTCAAGTTTTAATATGATCTCCCTGGTCATCGTCAGTATTAATCGAATCTGTCTGCGTTGTATGGGAACATAAATCAAACAGAGTTTACTAGAAGGCATACATTGTTGTGATGCCAGTCTCTTGTCACCTGGCAGCACCATGCAGTGGCAGTGGCATCCTAGCAAATCTGGGCTTGGCACATTGTATCGTGTGACCATGATGTAATAATGAACAAGGATAACCTCTAGTGTGATCTCTCCTGTCCTGCTCTTACTTCATCTATCATAGTGATCAATGAAGCCGTTGGTCAGCGATGGCTGTCGTGTCATGGATGGAGATCTTGCTTTTGACTGGACTGGTGGTGGGGTGTTACTGGAACAGCCTGTCCTGCGGCTTTGTGTTCGACGATGTCTCGGCCATCCTGGACAACAAGGACCTGCGGCCCGTCACCCCTCTCTGCAACCTCTTCCTCAATGACTTCTGGGGCACGCCCATGGCTGAGGTGATTTGAATCTCTGTGTCTGGTGTATACATCTGGTCTTTCATTGGACACTGTGTTAACAAACCTCCAAACGAGCTTCAATGCCATACAGCACTCCTTCCGTAGCCTCCAACTGCTCTTAAACGCTAGTAAAACTAAATGTATGCTCTTCAATCGAACGCTGCTTGCACCCGACTGCCCGGCACACCTGTTTTATTTAAATTCATTCCAGGTGACTTCCTTATGAAGCTGGTTGAGAGAATGCCAAGAGTATGCAAAGCTGTCATCAAGGCAAAGGGTGGCTACTTTGAACAATGTCAAATATAACAAATATTTTGATTTGTTTCACACTTTTTGGTTACTACATGATTCCATTTGTGTTATTTCACAGTTTTGATGTCTTCAGTATTATTGTACAATGTAGAAAATAGTAAAAAATAAAGAAAAAGCCTTGAATGAGTAGGTGTGTCCAAACTTTTGACTGGTTCTCTCTCTCTCTGTGTGTGTTTTTTTTTCATACTGGCCCCCCGTGGGAAACGAAGCCACAACCCTGGCGTTTCAAGAGCCATGCTCTACCAACTGAGCTACACAGGGCTATACACAGAGAGAGAGAGAGAGAGAGAGTACCAGTCAAAAGATTGGACACCTACTCATTCAAGGCCTTTTCTTATTTTTTTTTACTATTTTCTACGTTGTAGAATAATAGTAAAGACATCAAAACTGTGAAATAACACAAATGGAATCATGTAGTAACCAAAAAAGTGTTAAACAAATCAAAATATTTTTTATATGGGAGATTCTTTGCATACTCTTGGCATTCTCTCAACCAGCTTCATGAGGAAGTCACCTGGAATGAATTTAAATAAACAGGTGTGCCTTGTTAAAAGTTAATTTGTGGAATTTCTCTCCTTAATCTGTTTGAGCCAATCAGTTGTGTTGTGACAAGGTAGGGGTGGTATAAGACCAAGTCCATATTATGGCAAGAACAGCTCAAATAAGCAAAGAGAAACGACTGTCCATCATTACTTTAAGACATGAAGGTCAGTCAATCCGGAAAATGTTAAGGACTTTGAAAGTTTCTTCAAGTGCAGTCGCAAAAACCATCAAGCCCTATGTTCAAACTGGCTCTCATGAGGACCTCAGATAGCAGCCCAAATAAATACTTCACAGAGTTCAAGTAACAGACACATCTTAACATCAACTGTTCAGAGGAGACTGCGTGAATCAGGCCTTCATGGTCGAATTGCTGCAAAGAAACCACTACTAAAGGACACCAATAAGAAGATGGACATTAGACCGGTGGAAATCTGTCCTTTGGTCTGATGAGCCCAAATTTGAGATTTTTGGTTGCAACCGCCGTGTCTTTGTGAGACGCAGAGTAGGTGAACGGATGATCTCCGCATGTGTGGTTCCCACCGTGAAGAACAGAGGAGGTGTTATGGTGTGGGGGTGCTTTGCTGGTGACACTGTCTGTGATTTATTTAGAATTCAAGGCACACTTAACCAGCATGGCTACCACAGCATTGTGCAGCGATACGCCATCCCATCTGGTTTGGGCTTAGTGGGACTATCATTTGTTTTTCAAGAGGACAATGACCCAACACACCTCCAGGCTGTGTAAGGGCTATTTGACCAAGAAGGAGAGTGATGGAGTGCTGCATCAGATGACCTGGCCTCCACATTCCCCCGACCTCAACCAAATTGAGGTGGTTTGGGATGAGTCGGACCGCAGAGTGAAGGAAATGCTGCCAACAAGTGCTCAGCATATGTGGGAACTCCTTCAAGACTGTTGGAAAAGGATTCTAGGTGAGTGTGCAAAGCTGTCATCATGTGCGCCGACCCATGGGTCTGCGACAGAGCCTGGACTCGAACCAGGATCTCTAGTGGCACAGCTAGCACGACGCAGTGCCTTAGACCACTGAGCCAACAAGTGCTCAGCATATGTGGGAACTCCTTCAAGACTGTTGGAAAAGCATTCCAGATGAAGCTGGTTGAGAGAATGCCAAGAGTGTGCAAAGCTGTCAAGGCAAAGTGTTATTACTTTGAAGAATCTCAAATATAAAATATATTTTTTAACACTTTTTTGGTTTATACATGATTCCATATGTGTTGTTTCATAGTTTTGATGTCTTCACTATTCTACAATGTAGAAAATTGTACAAATAAAGAAAAACCCTTGAATGAGTAGGTGTATCCAAACCTTTGACTGGTAATGTATGTATGTGTGTATACTAGATTACTGATAGGGGACGATGTGTTGAAGCCACTGTGCCACCATCTTGGCACTCTCCAACCACTGAAAAAAATATTTTGTAAGCTATAGAAATACATTTATTAATGTCCACATTTGTTTTTGCCACATTTATTCTATAATAGACTACTTTAAATTATATTATGTGAGCTAAACAAAAATGAAAAAATATAATTTTTGGTTGTTGAGATTACTGATTTTACTGTCCCCACTACAACAACAAAATAATGTAATTCTGGCCTTGAAACATTGAATTGAAATACTGTAGAATTCCATTCATTCTTATGGAGGACTGCTCCTACTGGAGAGTGCCAATATGGCCGACCATTGGCTTCAAAGCCTCTCAATGGCCAATACATAACATTAGTAATCCAGGGTTTATGTACATAATTGGTTTCTGCACATGAGCTTAGCTAGCCAACGTTGCCATAGCATCACCTACAAGCTTGGTTGGGGGTTTCTTTTGGAGAAGCAGTTTCTGCCCATCTTCATATTGTACTGTCTTTTGACTCAGTAGCGCATTGACGCTAAATGAAGTCGTTTAAGATGGCGTCTCATGGAGACATAGCATGCGCAGTTTGAGCTATTACAGGAAGTGACGTTGCAGGCTTGCGCAGTGCTTCCCCCTCATTGAGTAGCTAAATTTAAGGGTGACCTGGGTACAGCAAGTTGCCGTTAGCAACTCAATTGTCCTTAACTTCTTCTGGGTGTGATTATAAAAAATAAAATAAAAAACGGTTCAAGGACATCTGGTGTATTAGACCCAGTTATTGGTACAATGATTATCTTCGCAACATTTTGTTATTTACACAAAGATTGACCACGAAGATTGACAACTGTAAGACCATGATAAGCTGTAGACCACACTATGTACCAAGAGAGTTTCATTCTATATTTTTTGTAGCCATCTATTTACCACCACAAACCGATGCTTGCACTAAGACTGCACTCAACGAGCTGTATAAGGCCATAAGCAAATAAGAAAATGCTCATCCAGAAGCGGCGCTCCTAGTGGCCGGGGACTTTAATGCAGGCAATCCAAATTCAGTTTTACCTAATTTCTACCAGCATGTCACGTTTAACCAGAGGGGGAAAAACTTTAGACCACCTTTACTCCACACACAGAGAGGC